TGTAAGTGTTATGACTCATGTATACTAAATGTAATATTTTGTAAATACATATTCCATATTGTCCTTTTCTGTCCACTAAGTCACCCCGATCCTGAATACGTTCTAGTCATTTTCTCACAATGACTTTTCACTCTGCGTTCTTTCAAACGCTCTCTGCTTTACTCTCATTTTACCTCTCTCTCGGGTCACATCTCTTACTATCGTCATATCCCTCTTGTCTCTTATGCTTTTTATATTTCGTTCTTTATCCTACCTTCCTTCCTTCTTCCTTACTTCCCTTCTCTCTTCCCTGCGTCTTTCCTACTTATCACCCTCTCAAACTAGCTACCAGATCGCCCATATATGGCATCAGCACACTGTCTATGGCGGCCAGACAAGCACACATTCATTATCCGCCGTAGTGGGTAATGATTTGTGTGCATGGAGGGCCGCCATAGGTAGTTTTTACTCTAAATTATCGACAGTTCTAATCAGTTTCCACTTTTCAAAAACTTCATTCGATGCATTATCATGCATATTTATTACTAGCATTAGATGTTGGATTTTTACCTTGTTCCTTACGTTTGTACAAATGTCTACTCCAAATTCAAACATAGCAATTCTTATCTATATTCTTTTGGCTATTGCTGGGGATATCCATCCCAATCCCGGTCCTAAATCAAACAACAGTTCCATCATCCACTCATTAAATATTCTGCACTTAAATATCAGAAGCTTGAGAAGCAAACTTGATTATATCCAAACACTGACTGATGACATAGATGTCCTTTGTCTGACAGAAACACATCTTGATAATACTGTTTCTAATGATCAAATTATAATAGATGGTTTTTGTAAGGAACCCTTTAGAAAAGATAGAAATATGTTTGGAGGTGGTGTAATAATGTACTATTCTTCTTCTTTAGTTGCAAAACGTCTAATTGATCTTGAATGTCTTAACGATGAAATTATATGGGCTCAATTTGTTTTTAAAGGTAAAATTTTTGTTATTGGTAATTTATATAGACCTCCTAATACAAGTAACTTGAACGGGCTGTGGCAACATATAAATTTCTCTCTTGATCGGGCTTTTGAACTCACAAATAATGTTATTCTATTGGGAGATCATAACATAGACTTTCTTAAACCTCTCCGAGGTGAACCTTCTACCATATTTACATCTTACAACTTAAAAAATGTTATTACAGAACCTACCAGAGTCACGGCTGAATCTTCTTCTTTATTGGATCCAATTTTAATTAGTGACAGCGTGAATATTCTCTACTCGGAGGTTATAACTATTGATAGATCTATTAGTGATCAAGATGCTGTCTTTGTCATTATTGATGTACCTAATATTATAAACAAACTGGTCAAAAGAAAGGTCTGGTTGTATAATAGAACTGACACTGACGGACTTGGGAAATTTATTTCTGATATTCCATGGAATCACGCTTTGAATGAGTTCAATGATGTAAATGATATGTGCGAATTTTTAACTACCAATATTTTAATTGCTGCAAACACCTGTATTCCTTTTAAGGAAGTTCAATTACGTACTCATGATAAACCCTGGATGAACAACTCTGTACGTCATCAAATTAGAATAAGGGATAGATTAAAAAAAAACAATATATTCGAAGAGGTAGTAACTTTAATAAGAACAAATATAAAACTGCAAGAAATAAGGCTAATAATATGATTAAACGGGCCAAAGAATTTTTTTATGAAAATATTGATACTATTATCGATAAAAGTAAATCTGAACCTAAAACTTATTGGAAACTCTTGCGTCTATTGATGAAAGGAAAGAAAAATGTTGAAATACCCCCACTCTACGATGAAAAATCACATGAATATATTTTTAATGACAAAGACAAGTGTGAACTCTTAAACAACTTTTTTTCTTCCATATCTTCACTTTCTGATAATGATAAGTCTGTACCTCACTTTGAGAAAAGAACTAATTCTACTCTTTCTGATCTTATTATTTCACCAAATGAAATTGAAGATGTAATTCACTCATTAAATGTAAATAAAGCTTCAGGTCCAGATGGGACATAAAATGTTGATATTTATTTCCAAAGAAATTTCCTTACCCCTTTCTATTATTTTTAATTTTTCTCTTTCCAAAGGCTCATATCCCGATAAATGGAAATTTGCTAGTGTAATGCCTATCTTCAAATCGGGTGATCACAACAAAGTGTCAAATTACAGACCCATATCTCTTCTTAGCTATATCGGTAAACTTTTTGAACGTGTGGTATACAAACACATATATAACTTCCTTTTTGACAACAGTCTTGTCTACAAATTCCAGTCAGGTTTCTTGCCAAATCATTCTTGCACGCATCAACTTATCGAGTTGTATCATACCCTCCAACTTAGTTTAGAAAAATATGAACATACTGCATTTGTCTTTTGTGATTTTTCTAAGGCATTCGACAGGGTTTGGCATATTGGTCTTCTTTATAAATTAGAAAAACATGGAATTAATGGTAAACTTCTTCAATGGCTTTCAAGTTATCTTTCCAATAGAACTCAACCTGTCTTTATAAATGATTCTCGCTCTACTGTTATGAATACCTCTGCAGGAGTTCCTCAAGGTTCTGTTCTAGGGCCTCTTCTTTTTCTAATCAATATAAATGATATCTACACAGAACTTACATCTTTATCACGCTTGTTTGCAGATGACACATCACTCTCCTACTCTTCTCGTAATATAGCAGACATAGAATTAGCAGTTAATAGTGATCTGAGAAAATTAGAAAAATGGTCGAAAGACTGGCTAATGTCTTTTAATCCACACAAAACAGAAATAATGATAATATCTAACACACGACCTGATCACCAACCACAAATTATTTTTAACAATACTTATATAGAACTTACAGATCATCACAAACATTTAGGAGTCATACTGAGTAATGATGGATCATGGAATAAACACATAGAAGAAGTTATTAAAAAGGTATCTAAATATATAGCACCTTTACGTAGGTTAAAATTAATTCTAAACAGACACACTTTAGAAAAAATGTATCTCACATACATAAGGCCATTATTAGAATACGCCTGTGAAATTTGGGATAATTGTGGAGTTAATATGTCATCAAATATTGAAAAAATTCAATTAGAGGCAGCCCAAATTGTGACTGGTTTACCCATTTATACTAGATCTGACTTTCTACTAAATGAAACGGGCTGGGAAGAACTTAAATTACGACGTCAACATCGCAAGTTATCTCTTTTTTATAATATAATTAATGTGATCGCACTATCTTTCCTCACTGACTTTATCCCTGAACATATTAATAATCTCACTAGGTGTGACTTACGAAATGCAGATCAGTTACGACAACCAACTTATCGTCTTCAATCTATGTGTAACTCTTTTTTTCCTTCTAAACTGAACTCTGGAATAGATTAGATGAATCTTTAAAAACGGCTGGTTCACTAAAATTGTTTAAAACCAAACTACGTCTAAAAAAACTCCAACAAGCTTAAATCGCGTTTCCTATCATATGGCCCCCGTCAACTGAATATTCTTCATTGTCGTTTAAGAAATATGGCAAGCTCACTCAACTATGACCTATTCAGAGCCAATCTCATGAACTCAGCATCTTGCTCCTGCGGACATCCCTCTGAAGATTTCTTTCATTATTTAATTCATTGTTCGAACTACATTCAAATTCGTAACACCCTGTTCAACGAACTGTCGTCGTATCAGGGTGATATCTCGATAGATGTACTTTTAAATGGAGACGTACGACTAAGTTCAGCTGAAAACTCACTTTTAGCTAGAGCTGTTCAAAAATTTATTGATGCCTCTGGGCGATTTGGCTAGTTTCTGCATTTCTTCCTTTGTACTATATATTCCCTTCTTCCTTCCTCACCTATCCTCCTTTCTTCTTTACATCCTTCTTTTTTTGTTTCAATGAAAAATATCATGATTCAATATATTGTTACATTGCTTGTAGTTAAGTATTGTTTTATCATTCATGTAATGGAGAGGGCTTAATAAGTTGGAAAAACTTGTGCCCAATCCAATTGTACAAAGTTTTGCAATAAAATAATTATTAAATCAAATCAATTTTCCCACAATGATTTCTGGTATGAACGACGGAGATAAATTGCCTCCATAATTCTTTATAAGATAATAATTATTTACTATTCCTGACAAGATAATAATTATTTTACCATTCTTTACAAGATTATAATTATTTTAACATTCCTGACAAGATAGTAATCATTTTAACATTCCTGACAAGATAATAATTATTTTAACATTCTTGACAACATAATGATTATTTTAACATTCCTGACAAGATAATTATTTTTCATTCCTGACAAGATAATAATCATTTTAATATTCCTGACAAGATGATAACCATTTTAACATTCCTGACAATATAATAATTATTTACCATTCCTGACAAGATAATAATTATTTACCAATCCTGAAAAGATGATAATTATTAACAATTCTTTAGAAGAAAATGATTATTAACCTTTCCTAAAAAATTACTATTCTTTACAATATTATTATTATTAACCATTCTTTATAAGATAATAATTATTTTACCATTCCTGACAATATAGTAATTATTTACCATTCCTGACAAGATAATAATGATTAACCATTCTTGACAAGATCATAATTATTTTCCATTCCTGACAAGATCATAAATATTTACAGATTTACAGATTAACCATTCTTGACAAGTTGATAATCATTTTAACATTCCTGACAAGATAATAATGATTAACCATTCCTGACAAGATATTTCAACTTTTTTCATCATGAACGTGAGATGTACATTTGTATTGAACTGTTTATCTGCAGTCAGTGAAACTGTCCAGTCATTTTTCAGTTTGAATAAAAGTGTATCCCTACTAACCCGAAATCCTGGATCCACCCCTCGTTACTACATATATGTCATGGTTGGATATGGAACATCTATTCCCGCACGCGAAATCAGCAATTGTTATGATGCAGTGTTATTTAATATGATCCGGAATTATTTCATGTATCTGAACACATTGATTATCCCAGTGTCTGAGTTGCTGACCCAGAGATGGTCCGTACCATCAACAGAGATTGCTCCAGGGCATGTGACACCGTGTTCTGGTCCCAGGAAACACCGGAATCGATCCCCCTTTTTGTTCATTAAGAACACTCTGCCCTTTTCTGAGTCGGAAAGAAAAGTATTGCCGAACACGTCGCAACACATGGCTGTCGGCTTTATAGCCTCTCTCTCCGAGGTCTCACAAAGAATTTTTCCAAGAACTTGCAAGCTTGGCGAAACAACGACAATCTCAAAGCAGTTGTTTCCACAAAAATTACCCACCAACAAGTCACCATTCGCATGTTCTGATAATCCCTTTGGGGACTTCAGAATCTTTTCATCAGTCTCTGTATTGGGGATTTCTTTTCCATTACACATATTTTCATCGAATTTCACGAGTTTTGCTTTCGTTTCGAAGTTTAAAAGACTTGCCGACGAAATGAATGTAGCATACAAACCATTAGAGCCTGAACATATATTCTGTGGTTTATGTGGAAATTTGTCTTCACGAATGATCCCACTATATGTCTTGTCGACTTGCCAGATAACGTTCCTCTGCTGACTGACTATGGACAGATTTCCTTCTCGACTAACGGAAATGTCGGCGACTTTTCCGGGAAGAGCGATTTGTTTCTTTTCAACACCATCCTTATTGCAGAGGTAAATTGTTCTACTGTTGTTGTAACAAACCCATGCTGATGTATTCGATATTGGTGCAATGCTAGTTACCTTTGTCTCTCCACTTATGCTTTTAATTGTCGACACGACCTTTACTTCAAACATCGGAACGTATAGAACCCGCTTCGGAACTGAAACACTTAGAGCTCTCGTCGACTCACTTATCACAGTTCCTACAGTCCTGCTTCCATGGCTAGGAATTTCGCTAGGAAGGAAAGACATTTCTTCACACGGAACTTCTACGCGTTCGCGAACAAGACTAAGAAACCGATTCATGATTGAACGACTGGAATCTAGGATGTCAATTTCAGAGTCAAGAACAGTCTTGCTGCTCTTCTCAATGATGCTAGTCACCAATTTACGTTTCTCCTCCACTTCTAATGCAAACTGCTGTAGTTTTGACTTTCTTAATCTTCGTTCTGAATCAAGATGTTTTCCCATTGCAAGCAAATCTTCATCAATTGCTTTTTTCATCTTCTCTGCGTGATCACGTGCGGAATATTTTAGCGACGTGATTTCTCGAGTCATACGTATGTATTCATCATGTGTGTTAGCAAGCGCCTCTTCAATAGAACCAAGAAAGTACTGGGCGTTTTTTGTTACCTCAGTTAATTTGAGTTTTTCTCTCTCAGATGCAACCGATATATACTCGACATCGTGATCGATATGTAGTTCATCTTTACACTTGACACACAGCTTCTGTTTACATAGGATACAGTAAATGTAGACTTTGTGTGTTGAGTGGATTTCACACGGGGTATCGTTATCAGATGCCTTGCAATGAGTCGTACTTTGCCTTTTGTTTTTGTTTGAATGAGAGACGTAAAAATTTCTCTGGAATCCGCTTACTCCTTCAGAAGGTATTTCTATTTCCATTCGACATAAAGGACACGGAAAACTCCCTCGCTTGCACCATTTACGGAGAATTGGTTCTAGACAAGTAGTACAGAATGTATGGAAGCAACTGAGAATTCGTGGATCGTTGAAATCAGACATGCAAATACTGCATTCTAATGTGGCCTCTTGTTTAGACATCGCCATGTTTCTGTAATCCGCTGAATACTGTCAATATAAATCACAAAGAACAGTCCAGTTATCTTCTGTGGCAGACATCGTGGCAAATCATCAGTGTCTTTGAATATGACGTTTTCAGATCTGGAGTTTTAACAAAGTTCCGGTATGGATGAATTCTTGTAATCTCCAAAAAAATCTGCGTTATCCATTGGTTGAAAACCCTAATTCATCCTGTATCAAACGTAAATAAGTTTGAGTGTGTTTCATTATCAAGGTTCGAACATGTATACATATGGTATCAGCTGATCGGTTTTGTTTACCGCGGGATAACATTTGTATTGTGATATCGGTCACGTGAAGTGATATGGCCGATATAGAGAGGCATGCGTTTAGATAATGTTAGTACGTGACAGGTATTTAACTTATACTAGGGACAATGAATATGTTAACTCTTAGACGGTACATGATAGTCAAAAGCACCTTTCATCTTTGTGACATAGAAAGATGGTTGATGCCATTTATTTGAATGAAAATCCTGAATAAGACTAACAAGACCCTATAGGCCTTGTCGCTGGATTGTTTATTCTTCCGAAATGTCAGTACGTTATCTCGGCTGAATATCCATTGTGCGTGGTTAAAGACACTCTACCCTAATTGCACTGAGCGGTATTCGGCGGGCCTCCCGTGTGCTGTTCAGCGAGAATATTTGTGAAAGCTGTCTGCACTGCTTCAAACAGTCATACAGAAGACAATCTAGAAGTTCTGTTCACATCATTTGTTTCTTGATATTAACTAACTTTAGGGAGAAAGGTTTTGAAAAAAGATGCAAGACCTTTTTTTAAGAATTCACGTTCACTTTTATTTTGATCATGTCATGACTTTGAAAACAAGATGGCTGCATCATTATATATTTGCATGATATTCATATATACATGAACTTACAAGTGATTGCTTTTCGCTTTTTGTCACACACACGTCAAAATTGTACACTGTAAAAATCAATAAATTTCCTGATGTATTCATTTCGGTTGATTTCGTGGGTACTCCATATGAAATCAAGTGTTTATGAAATAGTATTTTTTATACCACGAATATTGAACTCAACGAACATATATATTTTGTATGTGGTTATCTATTATATTTGACACTAAAAGTTGGTCTAAATCAACTCTAACTTAACAACCTTTCAAACAAGAATGCTCCCTGAAAATGATTTTATTTAACTCCTGTTATTGAAACAAAATTACAGACAACACAAAGTTGTGCTTGTAAATTAGACAAGTAGAAACCAACTAACAGACAACACAAAGTTGTGCTTGTTAATTAGACAAGTAGAAACGAACTAACAGACAACACAAAGTTGTGCTTGTTAATTAGACAAGTAGAAACCAACTAACAGACAACACAAAGTTGTGTTTGTTAATTAGACAAGTAGAAACCAACTAACAGATAACACAAAGTTGTGTTTGTTAATTAGACAAGTAGAAACAAAGAAACAGACAACACAAAGTTGTGCTTGTTAATTAGACAAGTAGAAACCAACTAGCAGATAACACAAAGTTGTGCTTGTTAATTAGACAAGTAGAAACAAAGGAACAGACAACACAAAGTTGTGCTTGTTAATTAGACAAGTAGAAACAAAGAAACAGACAACACAAAGTTGTGCTTGTTAATTAGACAAGTAGAAACCAACTAACAGACAACACAAAGTTGTGCTTGTTAATTAGACAAGTAGAAACAAAGGAACAGACAACACAAAGTTGTGCTTGTTAATTAGACAAGTAGAAACAAACTAACAGACAACACAAAATTGTTCTTGCAAATTAGACGAATAGAAATAAATTAACAGACAACACAAAGTTGTGCTTGTTAATTAGATGAATAGAAACCAACTAACAGACAACACAAAATTGTTCTTGCAAATTAGACGAATAGAAATAAATTAACAGACAACACAAAGTTGTGCTTGTTAATTAGATGAATAGAAACCAACTAACAGACAACACAAAATTGTTCTTGCAAATTAGACGAATAGAAACAAATTAACAGTGCTGACAGCAGTTTTTAGCCTCCTATGGTTCAGTGTTAACAAAGTGTTGACAGCAGTTCAGTCTCCCATGGTTTGGTACAGTGTTGACAAAGTGTTGACAGCAATTTACAGTCTCCCTTGGTTTGATACAGTGTTAACAAAATCTTGACAGCAGTCCACAGTCTCCCATGGTTTGGTTCAGTGTTAACAAAGTGTTGACAGCAGTCCACAGTCTCCCATGGTTTGGTACAGTTTTAACAAAGTGTTGATAGCAGTCCACAGTCTCCCATGGTTTGGTTCAGCGTTAACAAAGTGTTGACAGCAGTCCATAGTCTCCCATGGTTTGGTACAGCGTTAACAAAGTGTTGACAGCAGTCCACAGTCTCCCATGGTTTGGTACAGTTTTAACAAAGTGTTGACAGCAGTCCACAGTCTCCCATGGTTTGGTTCAGTGTTAACAAAGTGTTGACAGCAGTCCATAGTCTCCCATGGTTTGGTACAGCGTTAACAAAGTGTTGACAGCAGTCCACAGTCTCCCATGGTTTGGTACAGTGTTAACAAAGTGTTGACAGCAGTCCACAGTCTCCCATGGTTTGGTACAGCGTTAACAAAGTGTTGACAGCAGTCCACAGTCTCCCATGGTTTGGTTCAGTGTTAACAAAGTGTTGACAGCAGTCCACAGTCTCTGCCAGTTAGGTACATTAGGTACAGTAGAGCGATTTCTCTTTATCATTTTTACATGATCAAATGTCATTAACTTAGTCTATATTAAAAAATCATAGTACATAAGATAGCATGGCTCATTAACAGAGACTCCTTGTCAACCCAGAGAAATAGTGGAGCAAGTTCTGGTGCTTATTATGAAAATAACACAAAGAATAGTCTTTCATGAATTGAACCAAATACAACGACTGATCCTTAATTAAATCTGATAATTCACAGTATTACAAAAAGAGTGTATATGAATTACCAAACATATCACCTGATCAAGTTACCCGCAGGGTTTAAAGTAACTGGTAAATCCTTATAGATATATATACAACTGCAACCTGAAAGACAATTCTCGCAGCTATTACTGAAATATAGATTGTCGTTATTGTCAAAATCACAGTTAGAAAGATTAGTTCTTTTCAGGAACCTGTATTTTCCTTCCTAGACTCTTTTGACTTCTTTTGAATTTTTGGCAAAATGCCCATGTATTTACATATGATTGACAACATAACTTCATCAGCCCCACCTCCAATAGACAGAAGACGGAAATCCCTGAAAACAAAATTAAACTAATTGTTAACAAAAACCCAATTAACATGGCTTAATAGTTGTTGAATATATTAATTATTGAATAGATTTATAAGTACCTTATTACCCTATTGAAAGCTTTATTAATGGACACACTTGTTATGTTCATTACTCGAGTTTAACATAACAGAACGTATGCTTGTGGTGATGCTGATATGCGAGACACATTACTGAGCCTAATTGAAAAATCAGCTTATGTCTCTGTCATCCATTCTGAAGTAATAGTGATAAACAGATTGTCTATGAGTTGATATAAAGATAAGCATCGGACAATGCACCATGACAAGCAGAGCTGAGAATATGTCTCATTCTAATGAGTAATACCTTATTATGTATTAAATATGGCACAATAGACTTGAAACATAAACAACCAGACAGGCTAAATTTGATGACATTGCTGACCTCAATCTTGGCTGACTAATACCTGTAAAATCTGCTGATTAGAACCTCATTAGTGAATCCCATGCCTCCCCAAAACTGTAGACATCCATCAGTGACTTCTTGAGCCAGTCGTCCACACTTTAGTTTACACATGGAGGCTAGCATGGTCACATCATTACCTTCAATATACTGGCCTGAAAATATTGAAGAATTAGACTCCCAGATATAAGTTTACGAAGGCATGACACTGGACAATGGGGCATCGCAATAGGTCACAAAGTGACCTAACAATAGGCATTTTTGTTCAGGAAAATTATGATTGCACAATCATGTTACACAGTCCCGCAGGTGGCCCCAGAGTACCCAGTAAGTCATGCAGATATACAAAAATGTCTTCAGTCTCACCTGAATAACAATCCATATCTCAGTTGTATTCCACATCCTTTTATAAACTTACTTCAAATTAATTGCAATCATGATTTGCATTAAAATGATACAAAGTTGCTGAAGCAAGACTTAAAAGACAGCTGATAGCAAATTATGATGAAATCTTTGTTATATATAGGAAACTTATGAGTATTATCAGATAAGATTTTGAAATGAAAATGAAATTATCTGTCATTTAATATCTGGTGTGAAGCAAGTACTAATAGGGTGTGCAGCATTTCATGACAACAATAGGCACAGTAATTATCCAGATGGGGTCAGACTATTTACAGGATCAAGGGAAAGAATAATTTCAGTGGTGTTTATGTAATATTGGATAGCGGCCCTTGGATTGAACTGGAAGTAGATGTCCTTTATGTAGTAGGCTAGTGCAAATCTACTCTGAATTCTAACAAACAAGCATTATTTTTGGTTAAAAAGTCATATGTAAAATGAGGTTTTGTAGTACAGTGAAAAGATGAAGTCCGGTCGGTTTGTTTATTGTAGAGTAGGCTACGGGAATGGTCGTAGATTGGATTGTTTTCCACAAAATTAATGTACACTGACCTTCAAACGATAGACAGGGCTTAGGTAATAACTTGTGTAATCAGGAAATGAATTAATAAGATAGTTCATATGACTGAATTTCTAAGAGAAATAACTACTTACCAACTGCACGGTACAACATGGAACGGACAGCCTCCACTTCTGTGGCAAGCTCTGCCAGACGAAAGTGGACCACTTGGTTGTGGAGAATGGGTTGTCCAAACGCCTTCCTCTGGCTAGTGTACTCTGCTGTCATAGCAATACACTTCTCCAGGGCCAACACAACTGTAAATCAGAGATATTGTTTTTATTTAGCAGTTTTAGCTTACTACACCATGATAAACTGGAAATTGAACAGCTGTGGTAACGCACAACACATCAAAACTTAGTGTGAATGTTGTGCATACATTGTGTGCATATTGTCTGCACACACACACACATACACACACACACACCCTCATACACACACACACCCTCACACACACAAACACACACACACACCCTCATACACACACCCTCACACACATACAAACACACACACACACACACCCTCACCCTCTCCCTCACACACACACACACTATACAGTATCTACCACACAACTGTGCGATAGGATGATACATTCTATGCACTTTAGTTAAAATGTTGGCTACTATTACAGATCGAAAAACTAAAACAGAAAACTTGTGTAGTTATGACTAAATAGCCATCACAAGTATATAAAATTTCATTGGTGATTATAAAAGCCATTTATTGGTGATTATAAAAGTCATTTTTTATTTAACAGTTTTCGAAATAACACCAGATCCTGTAGTGACTAGTCTTCCTATTGTATAGTTTCACACCTCAGGAAATGGCAAGTAGTATGTCTTCTCCATAACATCTTACCTGTATATGGTTATATGCCTGACAGGTCCAAATCCATACTTGCTACCCCTTCCGTGGTAACAAATACCACACTTATCACTTACCTGAGTATGTATTTTTTGTTTACAAAATGATAGAATAATGATGGTCATGTGTGGGACTTTGTCAACAAAATACTTTTAATTACAAGTGCATATAACTATTAAGACTGTATCAGATAGATCTGCAGGTGTCCAAGCTGGATGCGGTCGTATATTGTCTTCTCCTTCTGTCCGTCCATTTCTTGTGTATGCAACTCCTCCTAAACTAATAAGATTTTCATGAAACTTGCTCAATGCCACTACTACAATGGGTAGATGTGCATGAACGGGCGATTTTTGGTTCTTTGATTTATGATTTATGACATTTTCAATTTTGTTTCTGTAGCTTGCTCTTAGTGGATTTTTATATTTTGTGGCGGCGTATATTGTCTCCACAGCACTCTTGTTTTTATTTAGAAAAGAAATAAAGCCTATCACATACTTATCTGTAAATCATTTCTAAATGTATATCAGCTACTATAGAATCATACATCTGTGCAACAGAACCACACAATGCACAGATGTAGGATAGCTTATTTAGTCCAGTTTCCCTATTGTGTGCACATTGTGCAGACATCGTGCACACGTCGTACATTGTGTAATGTTGTGTGATCTCACAACTATAACATATCAGTTATCAGAAATCTCATGAAATCATTTCCATTATTTCTGTACCAGTTACAAATACTAACATAAATCTTTAAACTTACATGGAGTTTGGAAAAACACTCTTCAGTAAAAAATATTGTTTTAAATACTATATAATTCATAGAATTGAATGCCTACTTAATTTTAAGTAGTTCAGTATCTCCGTGGTAAGAGATTACCTGCTGCTGTAGCCGTTAATCGTTCTTGTTGGAATTGTAACATTTGATAGGTGAATCCCATTCCTTCTTCTCCGATGATGTATTTGGCTGGCACTCGTACATCCTCTAGGTATACCTGAGCTGTGTCAGAGCTCCTCATTCCCATCTTATCTATTTTTCGAGCTAATTTCACTCCTACAAGACAATACATATAACTTCAGCAAGATATATTATGTATTTTGCTTCATAAGAGCTTATCTTTGATTTCTTTGTAACCTTTTAAGATCATAATGAGGAGACAGATATTTGTACCTGGTAAATCCATAGGAAGACAGATAAGGGATTTGTTTTCATATACAGAGCCCTGGGAAGTATTGGCTAATAGACACATCCAGTCAGCCTGGAATGCATTGGTGATCCACATCTTCCCTCCATTGATAACAAGATCGTCTCCATGTGTTACTGCTTTTGTTTGTATACCTGTAAAAAAGACAAATCTTTAAGTGCAGGTAAGAATGAACAAGGGAATCATTTCATTGTTGCTGAGAGCTGAGTTTCTACCTGCAGTACTAAGGTCTGACATCAGACATTTCCACACCCTATGATGTCAGTAAAAAGACAGTAAGCATTAAATGAAACATTATGTCTATGCAGATGAGAACAGTCACTTTATATATACCTACTTCCTGGTAGTAATCAGTAGGAACAGATGAGACCATTGATTGTATATATACCTACCCCTCTCTCATTCAATACTTAAATCAGTATTTCAGGGACAGGTTGATTCTTTCTGATAGTGATATTGCACTTACTTGCTACATCTGACCCCGAGCCAACCTCACTGACCCCTAGACAAGCTACTTTGTCTCCAGACACTGACGGTGCTAGAAATTCCTTCTTTAACTCATCACTTCCAAACCTACAGAAAAAAAACTAGGTGCATATATATGTTTGAGAAACACTACGCTCCAAATGTAAGCCATTCACGACAGCAATGAAACATGAGGGCATGGAAAGTCAACAGAAAGGCAATTTTGCTTCACATCATTTTGTTTAAATCTAATAGTGGAAATTCAAGCTCAGTAGGTCTGGCAAATGCTAATGGATTTAGAGCTATATCAAACATATAAAGATCTCACTGATATAAAGCAATAAACATGTATCAAATGTGACTGTAAAAATCCAAATCATTTCAGAAATCATCTATCTTTGGGATTTTAAAATCACATATTACTTTGGCAGATGTTTACAGATTAAATTGACCAAAATATCAAACCCTCCATGATTTCACTTATATGAAGCAATTTACCAAATTTGATAAAATTGAAGGTTATTTGACAGATACAAAAAAATCGTTAAGAATTTTGAAGGCCCATCAATTTATCAAATCAAATTCAACTGAGATCTTTTTAATATAAAGTGTGAAGTAATTTTGGTTCGAATCTGTTAGTAAAAAGGTCATTTTATATGCATGCTCTTATCTTCAGAAATATGAAACCCTTATCTGTTAACATTGAAAGGTAAAGTCTAAGTAATGTGCAGAGAAACAGACAGACTAACAGGCATCAGACAATATGACCTCTAATCCTCAATCATGGAGGGCATAAAGATACATACATTTATGTTGTTTAATAATCAAAGGTCCAATGGGCCTATATTGCTGTCTTGCCCTGCTATGCAGCATATAAAGAGATAAGATTAACTACTAGAAGAGTTTATCCTGACAAATAACTTTCATTCCAAACATCCCAAGTTCTCTTGGTGATGTAAGCAATAGTACACCGGGCCTAATCGAATTACATCTGTTCCAAGCCAAACAAGATAACAAGAGTAATGCCAACATTACAAAGCTCAACTCAAATTGTTTTTTTACTACAGTTCACAATAGTATTAGAGGGTGGGAGTGCCAATTGCAATATACTTCAATTTTATCAGAAAACATTCCAATATATTGCAAATTATTTTTACATCAAACTAGTTGTATGCATAAATAGATTTCAATGCAAAAAAGCACAAAAAAGACAAAACAAATTTTTGTAATTGTTCAATTATTTCAGTTTTGTTAGAATAGTTTCTTGTTGATTTACGTCCTATTAACAGCCTAGGTCATTTAAGGACATGGCCAGGTTTAATGTGGGTAGTGGAAGAAAGCCTAAGTACTCAGACAACCAGAGGGATCTTGGCACCAATCATTGTCTGATCTTTAGCTGTTCTTTAAAAGTTGGATCTTTTCCTTACTTTTCTCTTCTCTATCCAGTTTTTGTTCTTAATCATACGAAATTTGAATATTCATCTAAGAAATAACAATAATAGTCTTTAATTGCCAAATCCAAGATGTTTGCCTGTCAGCCATTTTGTTTCACTCGTAAGTCCCAAAATCAAACACACAACTAAAGACCTAGAGGAATCTGCATATGAATTTTGAGAAAGATTCATCTAGTACATAACATTGTAATAACAAACTTTCATTGTTGAAATCCAAGATGGCTGGCTGTCGGTCATCTTGTTTTTCTAATCTGTCTCAAAAACAAAATAACGTAACAAGCCTCGAACCTGCGACCCAGAGGAGGAAGGCTAATACCTGATATCTTTCAAATCTTGCATGATAATCTTAATACTAGATTTGACATAAAAACCACTTTAACCCATTGAAGAAATAGTTAACCCCTAGAGACACCCTGAAACCAAATATCAGTATCTTTGTCTGTCATAGCAGGTCTGTCTGTAATTCAGTGTAGTTCTGCAAGTACCTGTCAGTCATATGGCAGGTCTGTCTGTAATTCAATGTAGTTCTATCAGTACCTTTCAGTCATGTGGCAGGTCTATCTGTAATTCAGGGCAGTTATACATCCACCTGTCAGTCAAACGGCAGGTCTATCTGTAATTCAGGGCAGTTCTACAGATACCTGTCAGTCAATTAGCAGGTCTATCAGTAATTCAGTGTAGTTCTATATGTACCTGTCAGTCATGGCAGGTCTATCAGTAATTCAGTGTAGTTCTATATGTACCTTTCAGTCATGGCAAGTCTATCAGTAATTCAGTGTAGTTCTATATGTACCTGTCAGTCATGGCAGGTCTATCAGTAATTCAGTGTAGTTCTATATGTACCTGTCAGTCATGGCAGGTCTATCAGTAATTCAGTGTAGTTCTACATATACCTGTCAGTAATGGCAAGTATATCAGTAATTCAGTGTAGTTCTACATGTACCTGTCAGTCATGACATGTCTATCTGTAATTCAGTGTAGATCTATGTGGACGTGTCAGTCATATGGCAGGTCTGTTTGTGATTCAATGTAGTTCTATCAGTACCTTTCAGTCATGTGGCAGGTCTATCAGTAATTCAGTGTAGGTCTACCAGTACCTGTCAGTTATATGGCAGGTCTATCTGTAATTCAGTGTAGTTCTACATGTACCTGTCAGTCATATGGCAGGTCTATCTGTAATTCAGTGTAGTTCTACATGTACCCGTCGGTCATATGGCAGGTCTATCTGTAATTCAGTGTAGTTCTACATGTACCTGTCAGTCATATGACAGGTCTATCTGTAATTCAGTGTAGTTCTACATGCTCCTGTCAGTCATGGCAGGTCTATCTGTAATTCAGTGTAGTTCTACCAGTACCTATCAGTTATATGACTGCTCTATCTGTAATTCAGTGTAGTTCTACATGTACCTGTCAGTCATGGCAGGTCTATCTGTAATTCAGTGTAGGTATATATGTTAGTCAGAATGGTTCTACCTGTTAATCAGGCAGGTTCTACTTGTCACTCAGAAATGTTCTGTTAATTATTGAAGTTATATAGCTGGATCAAAAAGTTTGAAAATGAATATTTTACCCTTGCATGTAAGAACATATATGCTCTCGATCTTTCAAAGAGTTAGCTCTTCATTGAGGATCAAGTTCTAATGCACCTTGCTAGAGCAGGAGTAGCCATGTCTGTCTGTACACAAATTGCCATTGGTATTGCTCCACAGTTGATAGAACCAAGCTCCTCGGCTACTGCTATACTGTAGGTATAGTCTAGTCCCAAACCACCATACTCTAGTAATAAACATAAGCATACTACTTCAACATAATTACAAAGTCAGCAGGACCATACATAATTAAAACCTCAAACCCCATTTAAGGATATGCTTATATTAAATTGATAATAAACCAAACCCACTTGTCAACTCACTGAAACTACTGAAAGTGGTCTAGTGTCAGCATTAACCTTAATTTATCAACTGATGACCACCAATTACATCAATTATGAGACATATTGTACAGATCAAGCACCTTGTTATCCCAGATGAACTCCTTTTGGATGCATGTACACATGGACAGATGAGTGCATGCACACACAAATCACACTTAATCCTACATTTCCAAAAACAGGGTAGGTATTCATATCACCTGATTCTGTGGACAGTCATTCGTAGAAATTACAGTGTAAAGGGGTTTCAAAATAATTGAGGAATGACAAGTATATGGAAAATATATAATTTTACTTATAAATACCATGTCAATAATGGCACCACTTTGTTCAACTCTGACTCAGCTGTCTCAATTATTCATAGAAATTGTAACCTCATTGTAATAAAAAAAAGTGAAAGACGTCATCATTTGGTGTAAACAAGCTGAGAATCTGTTAACTTTATAATTGTCCTGTGTACTGTAATACTTTGATCTGAAACTCAGATGTAATATACTTACTTCAACATAACAAAGCATTTTCATGTTTAATAATACTTTTAGGATATGGATTTGGTAAAGAGAGTTTTATATTTAGAAGTAGCAATGATTTTCTTGTTCATTAAACAAGAACATGTAGCTGTCAAGTTCCTACAGGTTTTATATATAAGCCAATACTGACTAAACAAGTAGGTGGTATCATTTTATTGTACATCACGTCTTTGTATGATTGCCTGTATTTGTCCGAAGTAACTAACCAATTCCAGATACTCCCATTCAATCATTATTTATTATTGATAGTTTTCTAAAATACATGGAAACATTACACACTGGATTCTTGATGATGATTGAAAGCAGTGTTTAAAATCATAAATAGATGATGTATGCCTTAATTAACAATCATCAAGCTATAAAAACAATTAATAAATCAGGTAGGTGTATCAATGACAACAGCCAGGGAAGTGGAGATTTTCTTAATTCATTCTATACTTGTCAACCAGTTTTGTCGTCCCCGGCTTTATCAGGGCAGCGATTTCAACTCCCCTAGGGTATCTAAACTGTGGCATCCTCTCTGCTAACAAGAGAGCCGTGGACCCAATATACGCCGCCACAAAATATAAAGATCAGGATAAAATGACATAAATCTTACAAAAATCAAAGAACCAACAAATCGCCCCTTCATGCACATCAACCCATTGTAATCGTGACATTGAGCAAGTTTCATGAAATCTGATGATTAGTTTAGGAGGAGTTGCGTTCACAAGAAATGGACGTACGGACGGACGTACGGCGGGGGTTATGGACACACAGACGGATAGACGAAGAAGATGACGCCAATATACGACCGCCTCCGGCGGTATTTAAAAATAGTATATCTACTATTATGACTTATACAATTGCAAGTTTGATAACTCTGATACACATACATGTAGAAGGTAATTAAAGAGTTGTATTAGTTTGTATATGTCCTCCTCTAACTACATCATAAATCAATTATTAACATTGTAATTGAAATGGTATATCCATCACATTTAGTAGTTTATCAACATTAGACTGAACGCTGGTCAAAGATCATCTAGACATATTGTTGATGTGACTGAACGCTGGTCAGTGTTCACCTAGACATTGTTGATGTGACTGAACGCTGGTCAGTATTCACCTAGACATATTGTTGATGTGACTGAACGCTAGTCAGTGTTCATCTAGACATATTGTTGATGTGATTGAACGCTGGTAAGTGTTCAACTAGACATTGTTGATGTGACTGAACGCTGGTCAGTGTTCACCTAGACATATTGTTGATGTGACTGAACGCTAGTCAGTGTTCATCTAGACATATTGTTGATGTGACTGAACGCTGGTAAGTGTTCACCTAGAGATATTGTTGATGTGACTGAACGCTGTGCAGTGTTCATCTTGACATATTGTTGATGTGACTGAACGCTGGTCAGTGTTCACCTAGACATATTGTTGATGTGACTGAACGCTAGTCAGTGTTCATCTAGACATATTGTTGATGTGATTGAATGCTGGTCAGTGTTCATCTAGACATATTGTTGATGTAGATGCTGACACATAGTTTTATATTGATTGTCCCTTATTTCTATTCCCTCATCACGTTCAGAAGTATTTGGCCTAGATCCTGATGTCTGTGAGGTGTCGTTGCTAATGGCAAGGTCCTCTTTCAAAACTGCAAAACTGGTAAACAAATTCCTATTAAATAAAGAAAACCTCCATTCCCTTGGCTGTTGTCATTGATACATATACTTCATTTTTCCTTTTGCTCAATCACTCTGCATATCATTGGGTATCCAGCTGAGGCGTGAAAGAACTCACAAACCATCCAACCAGAACTATCGTCGTTGACTGTATTACCCAAATTCATATTATTAAATAGCAGTAGTATTGGGAACAATTATTAAATGACTCAAACATTTCAGCATACTTTATCTTACCAGTAATGGCAATTAAAAAACAAGAGTGCCGTGGACACAATATACCCGCCACAAAATATAAAGATCAAGATTGGTCCTTTTAATTATCGCTTTTAACCTGTCTGTATACATAAGCTCAAAATGAAGTCTTTGAGACCAGTTAACTTACCGGGAAGAGACAGGGACCTGAGCAAGTTTCGTGAAAATCTGATGATTAGTTTAGGAGGAGTTGCGTTCACAAAGCTCCACTAAGAGCAAGCTACATATACAAAGTTGAAAATGGCATAAATCTTACAAAAATCAACGAACCAAAAAATCGCTCCTTCATGCCCATCTATCCATTGTAGTAGTGACATTGAGCAAGTTTCATGAAAATCTGATCATTAGCTTAGGAGGAGTTGCGCTCACAAGAAATGGACGTATTGACGGACGTACGGATGGATGGACAGACGGAGAAGATGACGCCAATATACCACCGCCTCTGGCGGCGTATAACAAAAAAGAAAAACAACATTACTGTAAAAGTTCAGCTCATTAGCACCAGTGGAACTGAAATAGTTGATTTTATCAAAATGTGCTTTTAAAGATGTAGGTAATTGTGACCATATTAGATTTCAGATCAATATAACACTTGGCCAGTAGGCCTACCTTCTCTTGGTCATTACAGGTAAATTTCTTTAAACATGAAATGAAACCACGATCACACAATCATGTTACAAGATGGCTGCCGTGGCTGCCACTTTGAACTTTTGACAAGACCAAAAGATAAACAACATTTTGATGGCACTATTTCCTTAATATCCCCACCATTTTCAGCCAAATAGAACCTGTGAAACTGAGGAAAAAGTATGTATTTTTCAAGATGGTAGCCATAATGATTTTCGGATTTACCTGAAAAATAACAAGATAGTTGAATTCTACAGATAGAACTTAAGAAGAATTTAATGTAAAAAGTTTATACACAGTCGTAAGACTTGATATCTAAAGGTCATTCTGACACTTCAGGACAGATATTGACAAAACATTTATTTCTGTAAACTTACATTGTCCTGATAGATGAATGCTTTCAAAAGCTTAATAAGCTACTTCTCTTATTGCTCTCTGCCCCACTTAACTCTTACGATCATGCTGGAACCCAAACTTGGTCAAAATTATTTCATTACAACAGAAGAAAATTGATAAAGAATATTCAGTTCTATTCCTCATTAAGATGTTGATGTTTCTTACCAAATTCAATCAAGAAAAAAAGGAAAAATCCAATGCTTACTTGTTAATACCATAATATAGCATTAGACCTGTATCGTGTAAATTTGATGAATGACAAATGGGTAAGCTTAATGGTCCTTTAGATTGCAAAGATGTGCTTAAAGTAAAACAAATACAACTTCTTTTGATCTAATGTATTGTATCAAGATTACAAAATATCAACATAGACTGTGACTCAGTATTCTTTAAATTTCAGAAAAATGTACATCACAATATTCTACAAAAATCGTTTACTCGATTAAATTTCGCTTAAAGATTTTTTTTTAATTAAGCACCTGTTGGCTTTGATACGCCTAAAAGGCCAGCATCTCCTAGAGTCTTGAAGACCTGTTTGGCTGGAAACTGTCCCTCTGCCTCCCACTGATCAACATTTGGATTAATATCCTTGTCAATAATCTGTACCAATATAGAAACACAATTCCAGTCTCAGTTCCATCCTTAAGATAATATCTTCGAACTAATAAACATGGTTATAGAATATTTTAACGTGCAGCCTAGCTTTGTAAACGGCGGGTAAGTCTCTGATTCCTTGCAGAGATACTAGCTAACAAATGCCGATATATACATATAGTGTGTAACAGCAAACTCTACCTGAGTTAACAATAAAACTAACGAACGAAATAGTATTCACATGGACTGCTGTCCCGACACAGACTGTTCTGACTAGCATGTGAGCTTGAGTGCAAGCTCGACACCCAGTGACTTCACCAACTACTGAACTAGTCGCCGAGCAATCCTTGCTCGTGTTCCTCGTTCGGGCTCTTACCTAACCCTATAGCTACCTACCCACAGTCAAAAGTCCAAGCTTCTGCGAGAACAAACAGCCCTCGCACCAGCTTGATAAGCGGTTTCGGAAAAGCCACTATTTCAGACTTTCATACACCAACTGTTACAAATAACTATGTTACGTAATTTGTAAGAAGTCTTTCATCGTCTGTGTATCTTTGAAAGCTTCATTAACAGTCAGTATAACAGTGTTCTGAATCACTTCATTAGGTGTGACAATCGTTGGTATTTAATTTACCAACAATGATGCATACTAAAATATTCACATAGTACAGAATACCTTTCCATACCTTACTACAGAATTATAAACATTTGTATTAATCGACAAAAATCATTAGATGGACGAATTAACCAATATGCAATTAGCTATAAGTCATATTCAAGGCACGTAACTCTTATATTTCCAATTCCATTACATTACCCACGCCTCCGACTTATACGTCCCGCATAACGATCATTAACAAATTATTTTCATTCTTTTTAAACAACCGACAAAGAAAAAAAACCCGATAAAAAAAAAAAACTTGATCATGAAATACAGTCAACAATAGTCCTGATTTAAGAAAGATATAGTGTCCCAAATTCTGCACCCAGCAGGTATGGACGTAGTATATATGGGACGTAACTCTTACACTTCAATTTCCATTACAATATCATATATTTCTCTTCTCAGAATCATTAGTTCTTGAAACAAACATGATCAATTATTAAAGTACAAGATTTTTTTTAAATTACCCAGAAGCTGTTGATTAAGTACATTATTTTCCATTTTATACTGATGTAGCCAAAACATAACAATGTACCGGCATACGACCACCATATAAATTATGTGACTGTCGAATCGGAAATTTTGTGGAGGTTGTCCTGTTACTTAGTGGCGTCCGCCAGACAATTATGTAAGTGGCATTACTTTTTCCAGTAGCCACGAGCTCTAGAGTTTTTTACAAATTCATGTTTCGCTAGGTGGTAATATTTCTTAAACAATTAATGTTTACGTTATTTTAAACGCTCGACTCCTAAAGTGTTTATTTAGAGTTTATTTAGAATTTATCTAGGATACATGATGGACGCAGACTAACTAGCCTCTATGTCCATGTCAATATTTAACACTATACTAGAGGGATTTTGATTAATTGATATATAATATCAGTTAATAACAACAGCACAATAGATCCTGTATTTCTAAACATCCTAGAAACCTTGCGTCTCGAATTTCCGAACTTTGGACTTAACTAGTCTGACGGGTTCTGTGTGTGTGTTGTGACAAATCAAACCTTTCTGAGAGTGTCCTGCATCTGTTTTTGGTCTGAGTTGTAAATGCTCTCCTTCGTACCAGCAGTAACTGACATCCAACGGTTCCCCTGCCATAATGCTGGTCTCAAAACATTCACCAGCCTACGTAAACACACTTTCGAAACGCAACGCATTTCGTCGACCTAAATTTTCCTTCGATCCGTCTGTTTTTACCTCTTACGGGGTTAAATATTTCGTTGCTGTTTGATTGGTCAATACATAATTAATTAAAATAAACTCAGGAAATCGGTCCTGTTGTATTGCAGTAATTTTTTGCAATATATCATATATTGTGAGATCATATATGCAATGTAAAGCTTCGATATACAACGCCCATTTTCTACAGGTGTCGGGGTCACAAACCTTAAGATGGCTTGTCAGCGAAACAAAGCAACTTTTTCACAATCCACCACGTGGCCAAAGGTGGTGCTTTTTGGCAACTATTACACAGGTATGCGTTAATCAACGGGTAATGCGTGAGGGCAATGCAACATGCAATTATTCTGGAATCTGGAATAGACGTAAAATTTAATGAAAAGGAGCAGGTCTTGCCTGAAGACCGCGACACAAGACGCAGATACATAGATATTATATTAGATCACCTGTAGTTTATAAAGGAAAATGACATTTTAGCACGATTTGTATATCTGTTTTGCATTAGATCAAATGTGGTAAGACTTTATTAGCATGTGATGCAGCTTGATGTCATGCACGTGTTGACCTGGACTGACCCCCAGGGGTAGTGCGCGTGGCCGAAAAAGGTCACAAAATGAGATTAAAAAAATCTTCCCATTTCCCGAAGAATCAACCCTATGCATGAATGGAAGGGTCCTAAAGATACTCTACCAAAGTTGTAAATTTCATGACCCCAGGGTCTCCCATTTGGCTATAGGAAGGGGGTAAAGTTTACTTTATGTTATATAGGAAAATGGCATTTTGAGTATAATTTGTTTATCTTTCATTGGAAATAAAAACGTTGTTAGAATTGTAAGTATAATTGTATAAGATGATAGTTAGATGCTATTACATACTGACAATGACTGACATCCAGGGGATGATGGGCATGGCCAAAACAGGGTCATATTGACTAAAGGGTCTTATGTTGCTTTAATTACTGTGGCTGACCATAAGGGGCTGTTGGCTTGATCAAAAAGGATAAAAAGGTCCAAATAGGATCAAATTTCAAAACTCTTTTCAATACCAAAATATTGTAGAACCAAATATTCTTCATAAATGGATTAGTCCGAGTGTAAACTTCTTTCCCAATACAAATAGCGTTTCTCATTTTCTCTTTTCTATATTGCACATTAATTCCAATTGTTTCACTTAGTACGTCACTCAGGTAACCGTTTAGACTGGGATCTTGCAATATATATAATATCTAACTATAAATCAGATTTATTAATGCAGGCCCAAAATTTTGATATCCACCGCAGTCTTTCAATGCATACACAATGATTTATTACTGAGAGGAGATACTTTTGACTGAGGTGTTAAAGATCTGAAGGGAGAAGTACTATAAAATGTAATGACTGGCTCACTACAAATGAATGACAATTGAAAGGTCACCGGCAATGAAGATAAAAGAATAATTTTTCATGAAAAATCATTAGATAATTTCTTTAAAAAGTGATCCGTGAATTGTGTGTTAATGCACAGATAGCACTATTTCTACCTGTAAACACATGAGAAAGTTAAAATTCTATTTCCTTCTTGTAGTCAATTCAGTGATGGCAACCATCTTCTCACTTTTTTCAGATTATGTTTTTTTAAAGTAAAATGGTTGTAACCTAAACATAAAGTGTTTGTTTATTGCAATATTCATCACATTATTCATTACTGTTAAGTCTTAAATGCCCTTGGCTACCTAAGTACATCACACCTAACCGCCAGGAAAATCACCTGGATAAGGAAGTAGGACGGCCAGCTTTTCCTGTATTACACAATAGTCCATGTGCTGAGTCGAAAATTGGTACCAAAATGGGAAAAACTCTACCTATGTTTTTCTGAAAGTACAATATCTCTGGACTATGAAACCACTTGATAGCAATCCAGAACTCACAGCTTAATGGTAGTAATTCGCCTTTGAAGTTGGCATGTCAAGTTTTGCATTTGTACTTCTGTATAACTCAAAATTGGGGTAGGGGAAATATAAACTCAATTATCTTCTGTTCTAAAAAGTGTATAATAACATTTCACCACTCACAATGATTGTCGTGATGGGTTATACATGGTGATATATCAATTACGCAAATAAGGTTGATAATTAGGTCACTAGAGGTCAAAAGGTCATGAAAGTTAGGTAAAACTTGAATTTGGCTAAAAAACAATTTTCATTGTTGGAAATAACATTTTAATCATTTGTAATTATCAATTAACCATTTATAAATATTTATAAGTATTTACAAATATGAAATAGTACTTTAATCTCTGTACTAGCAGTTTAATTGTATGCTTTGAGGATAAGTAATTCGTATACCATGATCGATATAAAACATGTTCTATCGGCGCTTTTAAAAATTACCTTTATATATTATTCAAACCTTGTACTGTGCTCATAGAATTCTGTTCATCTAAAGTGTCCCTCTGATGAAAGCTATTTATTCACTATCATCCATATCATAATCTGAAACATCTGAATCTTCATCATTGTCAGTGTTAAAATCTCTTAAATTGTCATCTTCTTCTGGGCCCTGATTTCCACATGTAGTTAGTTTGCACAAATATGTGTACTTCAGTTTGTTCTGAAGGCAACAGCATATCTCTTCAACACACATTCTTTTGCAGTCACAAGACAAAAGCACCATCACAGCATCAGGTGCTGGTAGTCCATCAACCCAGTTGACAACTGACAACTAGGTCATTGCCATCTATGTTCCACCCATTACCTACAGGACTTGGACAGTTGGGTGAAGCGTCAAGAGCTCTTTTCCATACAGCAGATTGGTTATTTGCCCTTTTTGTATGTTGGAGGAGTGTTTCAGAACAGGGTGGGAGCAGCCAAGAATCAATCTCACCCTTTTTAGCCCGGAATATATTGAACTGCATATCATTCAAACTTTCGCCTGGTGCTGCTGTACCGTATAAATCATCAGACAGCTCCTAAAGCTGTCCCAGTAAGGCTAGTGTTTCTCTGTGTGTCCCATTCTTATCAATCAAACGTAGGCACCCTTGCTTTCCCTTTCCAGCAAATGCACTCACTATGTCACACTCAGTGTACGCATGCATACCAATGAGCGCCTTGCATTTAGACTCCCAAAGACCCTGCCGAATTTTTCAGGACATCACAGTACTGTGCGCGCATCTTTGTCCCACATTTAATGTAGATGGGACAGGAAACTTGATCGGCGAATGTGATGCACAGTATGAATACATCAGTATCTTCAGACATAATTACTACGGATTTAGACCCTGTTTTACTGCAATGAGAGGCATGCAAGAGCATCCTCGTATCCGCTTCCTCTTGGGATGATTTGAGGTCATTTACCTCAGACACCGAATTTCCATACTCGATCCGCTTACATGTTTCGCCAACAGTTATATAGAAATCTTTGTCTTTCAATTTGTCCCGTTTGCTTTCTGAGCACCAATCCGATGCCAACAATGCTTGATTCTGTGGTCAGGCGCTATCTGTGCGAACGAAAGCCCTATCTGTGACCCTCGCTTTACTCTCTCTCTGCATTTTGTATTGAGATATCCCGATACACATCAAAGACCACATCAATTCTGTGATTTGACCCATCCTCTCTCAGTGCCATGTTAAGAATTGTGTTGCATGTATCCCCATAACGCATGTTGTTGCCTTCAACTCGCTGAACTAGCGCCATTCCATGGCTGCGTAAAATCGTTTGAACTAGAATTTGAATTCATGTACAAAATCGGCACTTCAGCTTGTTTATAACCCGTGTTTGGTGAAGCATTTCACCCTGAATATTTAACTTGACTGATATAAAGACGAATTCAACCCAAAAGTGATCAATCATTTACAAGGCTTGGCGGGAAACTGCAAAATAAGTGTCATGTGCCCCTAGCGGGAGACGATGGAACTAGTTATACAACAACTGGGCAATATACGCAGCCCCAGCGCCTTTAACATTATCTTTATACTTGGTGCACTCCGAGTATACTATCAAATTGGGCCTACTTTCATTTTCATTGTACCAACACATGGCTAGTGGACCCTATGCTCACACAAATCATGTAAGTCCTGTATAGAATACAACCATGTCTACTCATGTCTATACATGTGCATTTTGATCACACATTTAACTTACTTACCTATCATGATGTTTGTAAGCAATAGCAGTTTGTGGCAACAAGAACACATTCTAAGTTACTTTATGTGAAGGTGTCTTGACATGCTTGAGACAATGGCTGTTATTAGGGTCATTTGGTGAAAGGATTGAACACTGAAGTACCACAGGCACAAAGTCCTGAATATCACAGATGGAAGGAACCACTCCTGTCATAATCTCTCAAAAATGTAATTCACACCCACCTTGCTAAATGTTGTAACCTGTCAAGCTATTGTGAACATGAAAAATTTATGGTGGGCCTAGTGTAGAATAAGAAGGCAATACAAGATTACAAATTATCCTCAAATCCAAATAAATGATATTTAATGGTCTAGGTGAATATTTCTGAGGATAACAAAACATTATAAAACATTTGGACAGCTGTATGAACCTAAAATGATTGAACAAATATAATCCATTTGACCCTTACATTCCACATTAAGTAAATTACGGCCAGGACCTAATAACCTTGACCTTTTGACCTCTAGTGACCTTAATATTAATCTTATTTGCATAATCGATATATCACAATATAGAATATATCAAGACAATCATTTTGAGTGGTGAAATGTTATACACCTTTCAGAACAGAAGATAATTGAGTTTATATTTCCCCTACCCCAATTTTGAGTTATACAGAAGTACAAATGCAGAACTTGACATGCCAACTTCAAAGGCGAATTACTACCATTAAGCTGTGAGTTCTGGATTGCTATCAAGTGGTTTCATAGTCCAGAGATATTGTACTTTCAGAAAAACATAGTTAGAATTTGTCCCTATTTTGGTACCAATATCGCAAAATCTGGCACCCAGCACAAGGACTACAGGGAATGAGTTCATATTTATAGCGCACTATCACCATCATTGAAATTATTTCAAACTTGGTTAGAATTATGAGCAAAGGATGATGGCATTCACATATTGATCCTGACTGACCCCCACGGGTTGATGGGAGGGACCAAAGGGGTCAAATTGACTCAAATGCTTTTTATGGATGGAAGTTTCTGAAGGTGCTTTACCGAAATGGGTCTCGCATTCTTCCTAGGGAGGAAGTTATGACTTAACTATATTTTTATAGGAAAAATGCATTTTTGAGCATAACATTGTTTATTTGTATTGGCAATGGTATACATCTAGTAACACTGGTTTACTATCATCAGTGTCACAATTTCATTTTCATGACACTTGAAATCTACTTACCTTTTAACCTTTATATTACCTCTAGGCGTCTTGTTATAATTCTTTTGTAATAGTGCGAAAAAAAACCTGTTCAAGTTGGAGTGCCTTTAGAATAGAGAAGCCAGAATTATTTTAAACTGCGATTTCTCTTCACCTACCAGTGATATGTTCAAATGCCTATAACAGTTGCCTTTAAGTAAATTTTATAAAATCAGGCAATTTTTATGTACAAGATTACTTAGTAACTAAACTCCACGTTGTATTTTTTATAGGTGATATTTGGAGGCAGGTTGAATGTTTTAACATTCAATATAATGTAGTGATTATGATTTCTTCTCTTGAATTTCAGATTTTGTCTCTATCATTATGAAAAAAGCAAAGCATTTATGAAGTTGAACCTAGTCTCGAAAAATAAAAAGAAAACACAAAGCCTTAATTGAAGAGTATTATACAATCAAGGGCTTACACAGGCAAAACTACCTCTATGTTGCCTCATGCTTTGTGCTAACAAATTGTGATAAAGGATGGGAATTGACATCGGGTGTTGTAGTAAAGTGTCTATGTCATGGCCACACAAACTAAGAGCTCCAAGACCGTCGATACCTAGTCTTAAACAATCTTTGTAGTATCTTCGAGTCTTTACAACTTTTCAGGTCAAACCTATTTTAGATAATATAACTGACTACGGCACAGATGGAAATACTTCATTTTATAATTAACAAGACTCTGTGCTCTTGTATTTGTAGTTCAGTTTCTCCAATGATGGGTGCTGGGGAAGCATGCTTGCAGATCTGTTACAAAGGTAAGTTCAGAGATTTGAATTATTTCTTTACTTTAACTGTGATATGCGAGTTGCCTTACTTTAAATACCTGCGTTATGGATAAAAGATTGTTTATGTAGTAGCATGTGGTTTAGGGAATATTAGATTGTGTCCCATTCAACATCGTATATATTTCATGACGGGACATCAATATTATGAAGAGTATGTTAAGTGATTGAGAAAAATCAAAACTAGTCAAAATTCTTTAAAACCAGATTGGGAGGCGTTCTAGCCCATTCAGTAAATTTTTCATATTTCTGGAAAATTTTTGGGGAAAGCATATACCCGTTGTCTTGTCTGTCCGACTTTCCATCCGTCCTTTCATGTCTGGAGCATAACTTTGCCCACAGGATCATGAAACTTAGTGTATAAAACATTGATCATACTAAACCAATGTGCTGTGTAGCAAATCAGGGCCCTGAATCCCTCAGTTTCACAGATTGTTTTTTTTTTTTTTTTTTTTTGTTAAAAATATCGTCTCCAGAGCATAAATTTGCTTGCATTTAATTTAGGATTATCAAACTTGATGTGTACATTAATAATATGAAGACAATATGCAGTGTACCATTGCTAGGGCCTGCAAACCTTTGATTACAGGGTTATTGCCCTTTGTTAAAATTTTGTGTCTTGAACAGCACTTTGCCTGCATTGAAACTAGAATATTGAAATGTGATGTATACGTCAGTCATACAAAAACCTTGATGAATTTGTGTGCAGTTTTTTCCGTATTCATTATAATGTACGTTGATGTAATTTGTTGTCAGCAGAGGAGTACAAATCACACTTAATTAGTATGGTAAAGAAGCTGCAGGTATAATCATGAATTTCTTTGATTGTGATACATATATTGTTATGTTGTTATAAAGAACCATTTAGGGACAGTTATTCAATATCAAACCTCAGTACACAATCCGCCTTATCTGTTTATTTTAGGTTAACAGCAGTGTATTAAAGTGTTGACAGCAGTTCACAGTCTCCCATGGTTTGGTACAGTATTAACAAAGTGTTGACAGCAGTTCACAGTCTCCCATGGTTTGGTTCAGTATTAACAAAAAGTTGACAGCAGTCCACAGTCTCCCATGGTTTGGTTCAGTGTTAACAAAGTGTTGACAGCAGTCCACAGTCTCCCATGGTTTGGTTCAGTGTTAACAAAGTGTTGACAGCAGTCCACAGTCTCCCATGGTTTGGTTCAGTGTTAACAAAGTGTTGACAGCAGTTCACAGTCTCCCATGGTTTGGTTCAGTGTTAACAAAGTGTTGACAGCAGTTCACAGTCTCCCATGGTTTGGTACAGTATTAACAAAGTGTTGACAGCAGTTCACAGTCTCCCATGGTTTGGTTCAGTATTAACAAAGTGTTGACAGCAGTCCACAGTCTCTGCCAGTTAGGTACAGTAGAGCGATTGCTCTTTATCATTGATACACGATCAAATGTCATTAACTTAGTCTATATCAAAGCATCATAGTACATAAGATAGCATGGCTCATTAACAGAGACTCCTTGTCAACCCAGAGAAACAGTGGAGCAATTTTTGGTGCTTATTACGAAAATAACACAAAGAATAATCACTCATAAATTGAACCAAATACAACGACTGATCCTTAATTAAATCTGATATTTCACAGTATTACAAAAACAGTGTACATGAATTACCAAACATATCACCTGATCAAGTTACCTCCAGGGTTTAAAGTAACTGGTAAATCCTTAAAGATATATATACAACTGCAACATGAAAGACTCACAGCTATTAATGAAATATAGATTGTCGTTATAGTCAAAATCACAGTTATAAAGATTAGTTCTTTTCAGGAACCTGTATTTTCCTTCCTATTTTATAGACTCTTTTGACTTCTTTTGAATCTTTGGCAAAATGCCCATGTATTTACATATGATTGACAGCATAACTTCATCAGCCCCACCTCCAATAGACAGAAGACGGAAATCCCTGAAAACAAAATTAAACTAATTGTTAACAAAACCCCAATTAACATGGCTTAATAGTTGTTGAATATATTAATTATTGAATAGATTTATTAGTACCTAATTACCCTATTGAAAGCTTTATTAATGGACACACTTGTCATGTTCATTACTCGAGTTTAACATAACAGAACGTATGCTTGTGGTGATGCTGATATGCGAGACACATTACTGAGCCTAATTGAAAAATCAGCTTATGTCTCTGTCATCCATTCTGAAGTAATAGTGATAAACAGATTGTCTATGAGTTGATATAAAGATAAACATCGGACAATGCACCATGACAAGCAGAGCTGAGAATATGTCTCATTCTAATGAGTAATACCTTATTATGTATTAAATATGGCACAACAGACTTGAAACATAAACAACCAGACAGGCTAAATTTGATGACATTGCTGACCTCAATCTTGGCTGACTAATACCTGTAAAATCTGCTGATTAGAACCTCATTAGTGAATCCCATGCCTCCCCAAAACTGTAGACATCCATCAGTGACTTCTCGAGCCAGTCGTCCACACTTTAGTTTACACATGGAGGCTAGCATGGTCACATCATTACCTTCAATGTACTGGGCTGAAAACCAGAACCAGACTCCCAGATATCAATTATGAACAGATCAGGAAAGCCTGACAATATTGAATTATAGTCAATGTTCCTTCAATTCACCATTATGATAATTTATACAATTATGCAATGTCTTACAAATAAGATGATTGAAAGAGAACAAAATTTTCACAAAATGAACCTCTTGTTCATTTAGCCGTCTGACAAATCAGTCACCTGATTGAACTCAGAAACAGTTGGAATGAATGTATAGTTAAGAGAAAATGAGAAATTTGGCCCCTTCCCCCACCCCTATCAGCCCCTGGCAGTCAGTGAGAATTAAGCTTGAAACATTTTCACTGTAAAATACAACAAATTATGCTAAAACAATTACCCCCCTCTCCATGGAGAAATGTGAGACACTATGGCCTTGAAATTCAGCTTTTTGGTAAAGCACCTTCAGACAATTCCATTCATATAGAGCATTTGATTTACCTATACCTGGGTGTTGTGAAGAAAATTTTTGAAATCTTTAAATTTGACCCCTTTTGGCCTCATCACTAAGGCCTCTGGGTTGGGGACCATATGATTCAGTTTCGGTTCATGTTAGGCAAGGAAAGGTTTCTGCAAAACTTCATTGAAATTGGTTCAGGGTTTTTTGAGAAGTCAAAAAGGTTAAAGTTTACGAAGGCATGACACTGGACAATAGGGTATTGCAATAGGTCACCAAGTGACCTAACAATAGGTATTTTTGTTCAGGGAAATTATGATTGCACAGTCATGATACAGTTTTGTTAGCCAAGAAGTAAGCATGAAAGGAGTCTTACAGTGGGAGAAAGCAGAGTAACAGGGGCAACCCCATATAGTCCCGCAGATGACCTCAGAATACCCAGTGAAACCCCACATAGTCCCGCAGGTGGCCCAAGAGTACCCAGTGAAACCCCATATAGTCACGCAGGTGGCCCCAGAGTACCCAGTGAAACCCCACATAATCCCGCAGGTGGCCCAAGAGTACCCAGTGAAACCCCACATAGTCACGAAGGTGGCCCCAAAGTACCCAGTGAAACCCCACATAGTCACGAAGGTGGCCCCAAAGTACCCAGTGAAACTCCACATAGTCACGTAGGTGGCCCTAGAGTACCCAGTGAAACCCCACATAATCCCGCAGGTGGCCCAAGAGTACCCAGTGAAACCCCACATAGTCACGTAGGTGGCCCCAAAGTACCCAGTGAAACCCCACATAGTCACGAAGGTGGCCCCAAAGTACCCAGTGAAACCCCACATAGTCACGTAGGTGGCCCCAAAGTACCCAGTGAAACCCCGCATAATCCCGCATATGGCCCCTATAGTACCCAGTGAAACCCCACAGTCAGGTAAGTGGCCCCAGAGTAACTTGGGAAACCTCGCATAGTCCCGCAGGTGGCCCCAGAGTACCCAGTGAAACCCCACACAGTCCCGCAGGTGGCCCCAGAGTACCCGGTGAAACCCCAGTAAGTCATGCAGATATACAAAAATGTCTTCAGTCTCACCTGAATAACAATCCATATCTCAGTTGTATTCCACATCCTTTTATAAACTTACTTCAAATTAATTGCAATCATGATTTCCATTAAAATGATACAAAGTTGCTGAAGCAAGACTTAAAAGACAGCTGATAGCAAATTATGATGAAATCTTTGTTATATATAGAAAACGTATAAATAAGTATTATCAGATAAGATTTTGGAATGAAAATGAAATTATCTGTCATTTAATATCTGGTGTGAAGCAAGTACTAATAGGGTGTGCAGCATTGCATGACAACAATAGGCACAGTAATTATCCAGATGGGGTCAGACTATTTACAGGATCAGGGGAAAGAATAATTTCAGTGGTGTTTATGTAATATTGGATAGCGGCCTTGGATTGAAGTGGAAGTAGATGTCCTTTAGGCTAGTGCAAATCTACTCTGGATTCTAACAAACAAGCATTATTTTTGGTTAAAAAGTCATATGTTAAATGAGGTTTTGTAGTACAGTGAAAAGATGAAGTCCGGTCGGTTTGTTTATTGTAGAGTAGGCTACGTAGAATTGGTAACACTCACATACCTTCAGGAATCGACACATATTAGCAAGATACATATACAGTTGTATTTATACAAAACTGTTGGTTAAATAATTTTACGCAATAGATAAACAGTCTAACAAAGATTGAGTCATACACGACATCAACTTAAACACGGGAATGGTCGTAGATTGGATTGTTTTCCACAAAATTAGTATACACTGACCTTCAAACGTTAGACAGGGCTTAGGTAATAACTTGTGTAATCAGGAAATGAATTAATAAGTTAGTTCATATGACTGAATTTCTAAGAGAAATAACTACTTACCAACTGCACGATACAACATGGAACGGAGAGCCTCCACTTCTGTGGCAAGCTCTGCCAGACGAAAGTGGACCACTTGGTTGTGGAGAATGGGTTGTCCAAACGCCTTCCTCTGGCTAGTGTACTCTGCTGTCATAGCAATACACTTATCCAGGGGCAAAACAGCTGTAAATCAGTGATAAAGTTTTTATTAACAGTTTTGGCTTACTACACCATGATAAACTGGAAATTTAACAGCTATGGTAACGCACAACACATCAAAACTTAGTGTGAATGTTGTGCATACATTGTGTGCATATTGTCTGCACACACACGCACACACACACACCCTCAAACACACACACACAGACATCCTCATACACGCACACACATCCTCACACACACAAACACACACACCATCACACACACACACATCCTCACACACACCCTCACACACACACCCTCACACACATCCTCACACACACACACCCTCACACACACACACACACACACACATACACACACACACTATACAGTATCTACCACACAACTGTGCGATAGGATGACACATTCTATGCACTTTAGTAAAAATGTTGGCTACTTTTACAGATTGAAAAACTAAAACAGAAAACTTGTGTAGTTATGACTAAATAGCCATCACAGGTATATAAAATTTCATTGGTGATTATAAAAGCCATTTATTGGTGATTATAAAAGTCATTTTTTATTTCACAGTTTTCGAAATAACACCAGATCCTGTAGTGACTAGTCTTTCTATTGTATAGTTTTACACCTCAGGAAGTGGCAAGTAGTATGTCTCCACATAACATTTTACCTGTATATGGTTATATACCTGACAGGTCCAAATCCATACTTGCAACGCCTTCCTTGGTAACAAATACCACACTTAACACTTATCTGAGTATATATTTTTGTTTACAAAATGATAGAATAATGAGAGTAATACAGAAATAATGAAAATAATTTGATGAGATTTCAGATGATTCACTGGCGAGACAATCTTTTTAGTGCTTACATATATATATATATAATGAGTGTCTATCCCCTAAGGCTGGTCACGTGTGGCACTTTAGCTTAGTTTAGTTTATTACCAGTGCAGGATCGTTATGATCCTCTATACCGGTCTCAGTGATACAATGATAATGTTAATAATTATTGTCATTTGAGACGTCAGATCCAGGAACTACAGAATTTCTGATTTATCTATTTTTGAAAGGTTAACTGTTGGTGCCGATATAATATACTCCGGAAGATTGTTCCATATTTTGACCACACGCAAAGAAAAAGAATGTTTCCTGGTGTCAAGTTTACAGTGCTGCATGTAAAGTTTTTTAGAGTGACCCCTTGTTTGATGAATTTGAACTTTGTCGATCCACAATTTAAGGAAACCAGCAGCGTTACTATCACAAAAATTGTTCGTAATTTTGAAGACTTCAATCATACCCCCACGAATCCTCCTGAATGCCAAAGTTGGTAATTTTAGGCGTTTCAGTCTTTCCGAATAAGGCAGTTCCTTAAATCCTGATAATTGTTTTGTTGCTCTCCGTTGCACTGCCTCGATCATATCTATATGTTTGACTTTATATGGATGCCATACAGTGATAGAATGTTCCAGATGAACCCTAAGTATTGTTTTGTACAATAATGGGAAGTTATGTTCATTGAGAAATTGAAACGTTCTCCTTATAAGTGCAAATATAGAGTTTGCTTTTTTGACCTGTGTACTTATGTGTTCATCAAATGATAAAGAATTGTCTACAATTTCTCCTATATCTTTTTCTTGGTAGACTTCCTGTAATTCTTCACTGTTTAAATAATATTTTCTTTCTCCACTTTGCCTGCCAATGCGCAAAAATTTACATTTTTGAGGATGAAATTTCAATAACCATTTTTCACTCCAAGCTGAAAGGCAATCCAGATCATCTTGAAGTATATTCACATCGTTATTTTCTTTTATGCTTCTGAACAATTTAGTATCGTCTGCGAAAAGATATGCTTCAGATTGTATTGTTTCCGGCAAGTCATCAATAAATATGACGAACAGTGTAGATCCAAGAACAAATCCCTGGGGAACTCCAGTCCAAGTATTGATCCTTTAACGAGACTCTTTGCTTCCTGTTTGAAATGAATCTCGCCGTCCATTTTACGATCTCCCCGCTAATTCCATATGACTCCATTTTATCTAAAAGTCTTTTGTGTGGCACTGTATCGAATGCTTTTTGAAAATCCATATAGATACAATCTATTGAGTGTCCATTATCAATATGATCAGTCCACTCATCCAAAACTTTCAGTAGTTGCAGTGACGTAGACCTGCCAAACATGAATCCGAACTGAATGCCAAAGTTGGTAATTTTAGGCGTTTCTTTGAGAAAAATAATTTTGTTTCATATAATCAGTCATGTGACTTCTTAATAAAGATTCAAGTACTTTGCACACAATTGAAGTTAAGCTCACAGGTCTGTAATTCCCTGGTTCGCATTTGTCCCCCTTCTTAAAGATTGCTGTTATTTGTGCCCTTTTCCACTCATTTGGAACTGTGCCGGTCCTCAAGGAGATCAAGAACAAAATTGCTAATGGCGTCGCGATTGCTTCTGCAGTTTTCTTAAGAAACAGTGGATGTAACCTATCCATTCCTGGAGATTTGTCAGCTTTTAACTTTAGAACTTCCTTAAAAACGGAGTCCCGGTCTACTATCATTGAATACATCGGGTAACGTATTTTTTTAGAAGGAAGAGTAGGGATTTCCATTTCTGCATCCGGTTTTGTAACAAACACACTTTTAAAATTAGAGTTAAACATATTTTCCTTAACCTTATCATTTTGTTCCTTACGTGATTGTTTATTACCAGGTTCTGTATACAAGTCTCCAATTTCATCTTTAGTTGTCGATTTCGATCTGATATATCTCCAAATAGCCTTAGGATTTTGTTTAGCCTCTGATGATAATTTGTCTTCGAAGTTTTTTCTTAATTTCCTCGTGATTTTCCTTACTTTGTTTCTTACTCTGCAGTATTCTTTCCAAGCATGCTCGCCACCGTTGATTGCTTTCTTTCCGAGAGCATGTTTCTTCCTGATGATTTCTTTTATTTCACAGTTGATCGGGTAATCGTGTTTGGCATGTGCTGGTTTTGGTATTTTCACCTGTACATATCTTTCCTCAACCTCCATAATTTTGTTGTAAAATATTTCCCAACTGTAATTTACATCGTTTGGTTTAAAGTGATTGTTCCAATCAAATTCTCCTATTTCCTTGTTAATTTTTGAGAAATTGGCCTTATCATATAATCTCTTAGGTCGTGATGGTTTCTTTGTTGTGGAGTTTCATTCGAATTGAAAGACAAGTACACAGTGGTCACTTTTTCCTAGTGGACTCTGATGATCTATATTTGTAACCATGTTTTCCTCATTTGTTAATACAAGATCCAGTAGATTAGGCTTATCTGTACCCCGACACCTAGTTGCTGTGGTAACATGCTGATATAGAAACGAATCCTTTATACATTCTATAAACTTGTAATCCGGTGATTCCGTGTTATTTACATTTACAGTCCACGTTTTCCGGTTTATTTCCGGATAGTTAAAATCTCCCAGTATAAGAATATGCAAATAATGCTCCTTAGAGATGCCTTGTAAAAAGGTTCGTAACTGATCGTTATTCTCACTTCATCCGCTGTTCGATCTATACACAAGACATACTAACATCTCATCTGTACTATTTAAAGTTATGCTTACGCTGAGATAGTCCTCAAAGGAAGTGTTAAAAGTCACCTCCTTACAAGTTAGATAGTTACTAATATATAACATGAGGACCCTTCCGGTAGGAGAATACAAATTTTTAGAAAACATAGAAAAAATGTTTCTGATATTATATTCAGATTTGAACACAGTATATTTGCTATTTTTAGCTTTAACTTCAGAGATTCCAATTATCTGTGGACATTCAATATTTGTTCTGATCAAAAGTTCGTCTTATTTGTTCCTTAGCTGATCAGCGTTGGTGTATAAACACTTTAACGACTTGACTTCCTTCCTCTTTCCCCGCCCCGAGTTCCACTTACAATTTTGACTATTCACCAAGCCTATGGAGGTCCGCGAACCATGAACATGTATTCCCAAACGAGTTTTCTGTTTTCCGCTTGGCTTCATCTCTTTTGTAAACAAAACACTTTTTATTACAATTGTATTTTATTATTAAGTCTATATCTGATAGATCTACAGGTGTCCAACCTATTGATTTAATTAGAAAATATACTTAGTTGTACTCTTATATAATCTTTACTTAGAAAAGAAATAAAGCCTATCACATACTTATCTGTAAATCATTTTTAAATGTATATCAGCTACAATAGAATCATACATCTGTGCAACAGAACCACACAACATGTGCACAGATGTAGGATAGCTTATTTAGTCCAGTTTCCCTATTGTGTGCACATTGTGCAGACATCGTGCACACGTCGTACATTGTGTAATGTTGTGTGATCTCACAACTATAACATATCAGTTATCAGAAATCTCATGAAATCATTTCCATTATTTCTGTACCAGTTACAAATACTAACATAAATCTTTAAACTTACATGGAGTTTGGAAAAACACTCTTCAGTAAAAAATATTGTTTTAAATACTATATAATTCATAGAATTGAATGCCTACTTAATTTTAAGTAGTTCAGTATCTCCGTGGTAAGAGATTACCTGCTGCTGTAGCCATTAATCGTTCTTCCTGGAATTGTAACATTTGATAGGTGAATCCCATTCCTTCTTCTCCGATGATGTATTTGGCTGGCACTCGTACATCCTCTAGGTATACCTGAGCTGTGTCAGAGCTCCTCATCCCCATCTTATCTATTTTCCGAGCTAATTTCACTCCTACAAGACAATACATATAACTTCAGCTAGAAATATTATGTATTTTGCTTCATAAGAGCTTATCTATGCTCACCCTACCATGTAAGACCGTGGAATCTGATTTCTTTGTAACCTTATAAGATCATAATGAGGAGACAGATATTGTTACCTGGTAAATCCATAGGAAGACAGATAAGGGATTTGTTTTCATAGACAGAGCCCTGGGAAGTATTGGCTAATAGACACATCCAGTCAGCCTGGAATGCATTGGTGGTCCACATCTTCCCTCCATTGATAACAAGATCGTCTCCATGTTTTACTGCTTTTGTTTGTATACCTGTAAAAAAGACGAATCTTTAAGTGCAGGTAAAAATGAACAAGGGAATCATTTCATTGTTGCTGAGGGATGAGTTTCTACCTGCAGTACTAAGGTCTGACATCAGACATTTCCACACCCTATGATGTCAGTATGAAGACAGTAAGCATTAAATGAAACATTATATCTATGCAGATGAGAACAGTCACTTTATATATACCTACTTCCTGGTAGTAATCAGTAGGAACAGATGAGACCATTGATTGTATATATACCTACCCCTCTCTCATTCAATACTTAAATCAGTATTTCAGGGACAGGTTGATTCTTTCTCACAATGATATTGCACTTACTTGCTACATCTGACCCCGAGCCAACCTCACTGACCCCTAGACAAGCTACTTTGTCTCCAGACACTGACGGTGCTAGAAATTCCTTCTTTAACTCATCACTTCCAAATCTACAGAAAAAAAAAACATATATGTTTGAGAAACACTACGCTCCAAGTAATCTTGGTTCAAATCTGACAAAAAAAATTATTCATTTTGTTAGTAGAAAGGTCATTATATATGCATGCTCTTATCTTCAGGAATATGAAACCCTTATCTGTTAACATTGAAAGATAAAAGTCTAAGTTATGTGCAGAGAGACAGACAGACTAACAGGCATACAGACAATATGACCTCTAATCCTCAATCATGGAGGGCATAAAGATACATACATTTATGTTGTTTAATAATAAAAGGCCCAATGGGCCTATATTGCTGTCTTGCCCTGCTATGCAGCATATAAAGAGATAAGATTAACTACTAGAAGAGTTTATCCTGACAAGTAACTTTCATTCCAAACATCCCAAGTTCTCTTGGTGATGTAAGCAATAGTACACCGGGCCTAATCAAATTACATCTGTTCCAAGCCTAACAAGATAACAAGAGTAATGCCAACATTACAAAGCTCAACTCAAATTGTTTTTTCACTACAGTTCACAATTGTATTAGAGGGTGGGAGTGCCAATTGCAATATACTTCAATTTTATCAGAAAACATTCCAATATATTGCAAATTATTTTTACATAAAACTAGTTGTATGCATAAATAGATTTCAATGCAAAAATGCACAAAAAAGACAAAACAAATTTTTGTAATTGTTCAATTATTTCAGTTTTGTTAGAATAGTTTCTTGTTGTTTTACGTCCTATTAACAGCCTAGGTCATTTAAGGACATGGCCAGGTTTAATTTGGGTGGTGGAAGAAAGCCTAAGTACTCAGACAACCAGAGGGATCTTGGCACCAATCATTGTCTGATCTTTAGCTGTTCTTTAAAAGTTGGATCTTTTCCCTTCTTTTCTCTTCTCTATTCAGTTTTTGTTCATAATCATACGAAATTTGAACATTCTTCTAAGAAATAACAATAATAGTCTTTAATAGCCAAATCCAAGATGGTTGCCTGTCAGCCATTTTGTTTCACTCATAAGTCCCAAAATCAAACAGACACTACTAGGGATCAAGGGGAATCTGCATATGAAATTTCAGAAAGATTCATCTAGTACATTACATAATAATAACAAACTTTTATTGTTGAAATCCAAGATGGCTGGCTCAAAATCAAGCCAACGTAACAAGTCTCGAACCTGTGACCCAGAGGAGGAGGGCTAATACCTGATATCTCTCAAATTTTGCATGATACCGGTAATCTTAATACTAGATTTGACATAAAAAACACTTTAACCCATTGAAGTAATAGTTAACCCCACGAAACACACTGAAACCAAATATCAGTACCTTTGTCAGTCATGGCAGGTCTGTCTGTAATTCAGTGTAGTTCTATATGTTAGTAAGAATGGTTCTTCCTGTCAATCAGACAGGTTCTACTTGTCACTCAGAAATGTTCTGTTGGTTATTCTAGTTATATTGGATTATAAATTTTTTTAAATGAATCTTGTACCCTTGTATGTAAGAACATATATGCTCTCAATCTCTCAAAGAGTTAGCTCTTCATTGAGGATCAAGTTCTAATGCACCTTGCCAAAGCAGGAGTAGCCATGTCTGTCTGTACACCAATTGCCATTGGTATTGCTCCACAGTTGATAGAACCAAGCTCCTCGGCTACAGCTATACTGTAGGTATAGTCCAGTCCCAAACCACCATACTCTAGTAATAAACATAAGCATACTACTTCAACATAATTACAAAGTCAGCAGGACCATACATAATTAAAACCTCAAACCCCATTTAAGGATGTGCTTATATTAAATTAATAATAAACTAGACATATTGTTGATGTGACTGAACGCTGGTCAATGTTCACCTAGACATATTGTTGATGTAACTGAACGCTGGTCAATGTTCATCTAAATATATTGTTGATGTGACTGAACGCTAGTCTGTGTTCATTTAGACATACTGTTGATGTGACTGAACGCTGGTCAGTGTTCATCTAGACATATTGTTGATGTAGATGCTGATACATAGTTGTATTTTTTATAGTCCCTTATTTCTATTCCCTCATCATGTCCATTTTAAGAAGTATTCGGCCTAGATCCTGATGTCTCGTTGCTGAGGGCAAGGTCCTCTTTCAAAACTGCAAAACTGGTCAACAAGTACCTATTAAATAAAGAAAACCTCCACTCCCTTGGCTGTTGTCATTGATACATTTACTTGATTTTCCCTTTTGCTCAATCACTCTGCATATCATTGAGTATCCAGTTGAGGCGTGAAGGAACTCACAAACCATCCAACCAGAACTATCGGCGTTGGCTTTATTACCAAAATTCTTATTATTAAACAGCAGTAGTATTGGGAACAATTATTAAATGACTCAAACATTTCAGCATACTTTATCTTACCAGTAATGGCAATTAAAAAACAAAAAACAAAAACAACATTACTGTAAAAGTTCAGCTCATTAGCACCAATGGAACTAAAATAGTTGATTTTATCAAAATGTGCTTTTAAAGATGTAGGTAATTGTGACCATATTAGATTTCAGATCAATATAACACTTGGCCAGTAGGCATACCTGCTCTGGGTCATTACAGGTAAATTTCTTTAAACATGAAATGAAACCACGATCACACAATCATGTTACAAAATGGCTGCCGTTGCTGCCACTTTGAACTTTTGACAAGACCAAAAGATAAACAACATTTTGATGGCACTATTTCCTTAACATTCCCACCAAATTTTAGCCCAATGGAACCTGTGAAACTGAAGAAAAAGTATGTGTTTTTCAAGATGGTAGCCATAATGAATTTCGGATTTACCTGAAAAATAACAAGACAGTTGAATTCTACAGATAGAACTTGAGAAGAATTTAATGTAAAAAGTTTATACACAGTCGTAAGACTTGATATCTAAAGGTCATTCTGACACTTCGGGACAAATATTGACAAAAAAATTTATTTCTGTAAACTTACATTGTCCTGATAGATGAACGCTTTCAAAAGCTTAATAAGCTACTTCTCTTATTGCTCTCTGCCCCACTTAACTCTTACGATCATGTTGGAACCCAAACTTGGTCAAAATTCTTTCATTACAACAGAAGAAAATTTATAAAGAATATTCATCTCTATTCCTCAATAAGATGTTGATGTTTCTTACCAAATTCAATCAAGAAAAAAAGGAAAAATCCAATGCTTACTTATTAATACCATAATATAGCATTAGACCTGTATCGTGTAAATTTGATGAATGACAAATGGGTAAGCTTAATGGTCCTTTAGATTGCAAAAATGTGCTTTAAGTAAAACAAATACTACTTCTTTTGATCTAATGTATTGTATCAAGATTACAAAATATCAATATAGACTGTGACTCAGTATTTTTTAAATTTCAGAAAAATGTACATCACAATATTCTACAAAAATCATTTGTTTACTCGATTAAATTTCACTTAAAGAAATTTTTTAATTAAGCACCTGTTGGTTTTGATACCCCTAAAAGGCCAGCATCTCCTAGAGTCTTGAAGACCTGTTTGGCTGGAAACTGTCCCTCTGCCTCCCACTGATCAACATTTGGATTAATATCCTTGTCAATAATCTGTACCAATATAGAAACACAATTCCAGTCTCAGTTCCATCCTTAAGATAATTTCTCTGAACTGATAAACATGGTTATAGAATATCAGATATCTCTCTTCTCAGAATTATTAATTCTTGAAACAAACATGATCAATTATTCAAGTACAAGATTTTTTTTAAATTACTCAGAAGATGTTGATTAAGTACATTATTTTCCATTTTATACAGATGCAGCCAAAACATATCAATTTTTTGGTCATCAATAAGGAAGTCGCTCAGTTAACACTTTAGTGAATAATTGAACCTGCTACATCGTGCCACCAGGCTGATAATGAACTAGAAGGTAGATATTTCACTCATTTATGGGGTTACAATCCCACGTACACCATATGCATCCATAGATGTACAATACAGATTCTACAGCAGCCACCACATAATTATCTGGAGGCCGCCACCCTCTCCCCCTTTCCCCTAAAATTGTCCAAGGGACCATTTTTTTGCAAGAATAATAAACATTAATTTCATCATTATACATGCCTAAAGGTGCATGGCACTTCAATCACATGTGAACTGGGGATATTATATGTCAGTATATAAAAAAAAAAATTGGGGCTACACCCCAAATCAATTTGTAATTACATTGATAATCTGTTTCACTTAACCTAAAGACACTCTGTAGTTCTCAACCTTTCAGGTACATAGAAAAATATCTGAAAGGAGGGGTATCATATCATTAATATGCAGCATACTCCCAAGTTATAATTTGAAACAGTGGCTGCAGTCAGTCGGTCTCAAGACTAAATGTGGGTATGAAAGTATTAATGAAAACTACAGACATGAAGCTTTGTTAGATAATTTGTCAAAATCCAAGACACAGGTACTCTTCTGTAAACTGTATTTTTGGATTATATCCAAAACTAATATCAAGCACCAGGGACCAAGAAAACCCGACACATACACATTAGAGGTCCCGCCTATTTCTTCTAAGAAATAGTGGCAAAAATCTGTATATTTAGAGAGTGATTGCTAGAGCTCTTCGCAAAGACGGACAACAGGCCTTCAGGCACATTGTTGCCTTAACACTAATAAACTGCTGCTTACACATCACTTTCATAAAACAAATTATTTGCTTTTCTGGGCTTCATTTGCCCCTGAATCATGTACCTCTCAAGCTAGCTACATGCCTACATGCTACCTTTATAACTATTTGCGGTTTCATTTTGTCTTGGTCACAGACTGTATCAAAGCAAACCAAATCAGGAAAATGGGTCGAGTCAGAAACGATATAAAACACAGGTGGTGGAGGGGTGAGATTTTTCAGTTTAAAAAATGTGCACTCACTCTAACACTATACTTGGATATGTACCTGCATACGACCACCAGAAAAATTATGTGACTGTCGAATCGGAAATTTTGTGGAGGTTGTCCTGTTACTTAGTGGCGTCCGCCAGACAATTATGTAAGTGGCATTACTTTTTCCAGTAGCCACGAGCTCGAGAGTTCCACAGTTTTTTCGACAAATTCATGTTTCGCTGGATGGAAATATTGCATTAAACAATTAACGTTTACGTTATTTTAAACGCTTGACTCCTAAAGTGATTTATTTAGAATTTATCTAGGATACATGATGGACGCAGGGTAACTAGCCTCTATGTCCATGTCAATATTTAACACTAAACTAGAGGGTTTTTGATTAATTAATGTATAACATCAGTTAATAACAACAGCACAATATATAATGTGTTTCTAAACATCCTCGATACCTTGCGTCTCGAAACTATCAAAATTCAAGTTAATTTCCGAACTTTGGACTTAACCAGTCTGACGGATTCTGTGTGTGTTGTAACAAATCAAACCTTTCTGAGAGTGTCCTGCATCTGTTTGTGGTCTGAATTGTAAATGCTCTCCTTCGTACCAGCAGTTACTGACATCCAACGGTTCCCCTGCCATAATGCTGGTCTCAAAACATTCACCAGCCTACGTAAACACACTTTCGAAACGCAACGCATTTCGTCGACTTAAATTTTCCTTCGTTTCGCAAGTGTTTACCTCTTACGGGGTAAATATTTCGTTGCTGTTTGATTGGTCAATACTTAATTAATTAAAATAAACTCAGAAAATCGGTCCTGGTGTGTTGCGGTAATTTTTTGCAATATATCATGTACTGTGAGATCATATATACAATGTAAAGCTTCGATATACAACGCCCATTTTCTACAGGTGTCGGGGTCACAAATCTTAAGATGGCTTGTCAGCGAAACACAGCAACTGTTTCACAATCCACCACGTGGCCAAAGGTTGTGCTTTTTGGCGACTCTATTACACAGGTATGCGTTAATCAACGGGTAACGCGTGAGGGCAACGCAACATGCAATTATTCTGAAATCTGGAATAGACGTAAAATTTAATGAAAAGGAGCAGGTCTTGTCTGAAGACCGCGACACAAGACGCAGATACATAGATATTATATTAGATCACCTGTAGTTTATAAAGGAAAATGACATTTTAGCACGATTTGTATATCTGTTTTGCATTAGATCAAATGTGGTAAGACTTTATTAGCATGTGATGACAGCTTTATGTCATGCACGTGTTGACCCAGACTGACCCCCAGGGGTAGTGGGCGTGGCCAAAAAAGGTCACAAAATGAGATTTAAAAAATCTTCCCATTTCCCGAAGAATCAACCCTGTGCATGAATGGAAGGGTCCTAAAGATACTTTACCAAAGTTGTAAATTTCATAACCCAGGGTCTTCCATTTGGTCTTAGGAAGGGGGTAAAGTTCACTTTATTTTATATAGGAAAATGGCATTTTGAGTATAATTTGTATATCTTTCATTGGAAATTAAAACTTTGTTAGAATTGTTAGTATAATTGTATAAGATGATAGTTAGATGCTATTACATACTGACAATGACTGACATCCAGGGGATGATGGGCATGGCTAAAAAAGGGTCATATTGACTGAAATCTCAAAAATCTTCTTAATACCCAATTATGGTAGGATCACATACTCTTCATAAATGGAAGGGTCTTATGTTGCTTTAATTACTGTGGCTGACCATAAGGGGCTGTTGGCTTGATCAAAAAGGATAAAAAGGTCCAAATAGGATCAAATTTTAAAACTCTTTTCAATAACAAAATATTGTAGAATCAATTATTCTTCATAAATGGATTAGTCCGAGTGTAAACTTCTTTCCCAATACAAATAGCGTTTTTCATTTTCTCTTTTCTATATTGCACATTAATTCCAGTCGTTTCACTTAGTACGTCACTCAGGTAACCGTTTAGACTGGGATCTTGCACTATATATAATATCTAACTATAAATCAGATTTATTAATGCAGGCCCAAAATTTTGATAGCCACCGCAGTCTTTCAATGCATACACAATGATTTATTACTGAGAGGAGATACTTTTGACTGAGGTGTTAAAGATCTGAAGTGAGAAGTACTATAAAGGTAATGACTGGCTCACTACAAATGAATGACAATTGAAAGGTCACCGGCAATGAAGATAAAAAAATAATTTTTCATGAAAAATCATTAGATAATGTCTTTAAAAAGTGATCAGTGAATTGTGTATTAATGCACAGATAGCACTATTTCTACCTGGAAACACATGAGGAAGTTGAAATTCTGGAGTTGTTTCCTTTCTGAAAATCAACGATTCTCATTGGTCAGTCATTTGTGATGTCAATTCCGCCACTAGACACATACTCATTAGTAGTGTTTATAAAGACTTTGTACATTAAATTAGTTATATTTGATTAAATAAGCATGCCTAGCACTATGAAATGACTAAGAAGTAAAGTTAGTTACTAGACCATAACAGTTTGACCTTTAAAGTAGCTAACAATGTCCAGTGATGATGATTTGGATGATGGATTGCATCCTAGCTTGGTCAATGCCGGCAAAAAAATATAGGCAAACAGTATTTTGATGAATGATAAGGAAAATTTAACTTAATTTTGTTCACTGCACATCTGTATTTACATTTAAGTGAGAACTTTCATGTAGCTGAAAACAATATCATTGTATATAAATTTGTTTGTTTTGTGATTTTCTTCTTGTACTCAATTCAGTGTTGGAAACTATCTTCTCACTTTTTTTCAGATTCTGTTTTTAAAAATAAAATTGTTGTAACCTTAACATAAAGTGTTTGTTTAATGCAATATTCATCACATTATTCATTACTGTTAAGTCTCAAATGCCCTTGGCTACCTAAGTACAACACACCTAACCGCCAGGAAAATCACCTGGATAAGGCAGTAGGATGGCCAGCTTTTCCTGTATTACAATAAGGAATGAATTCTTGTCTCATATTTATAGCCCACCATCACCATCATTGAAAATATTTTAAACGGTTAGAATTATGAGCAAAGGATGGCGGTTTGATGGTATGCACATATTGACCCTGACTAACCCCCACGGGTTGATGGTTGGGACCAAAGGGGCCAAATTGACTCCAATTTCAAGAATCTTCGACTCTACACCCAGGTATGGTGGATTCAAATGCTTTTTATGGATGGAAGTGTCTGAAGGTGCTTTACTGAAATGGGTCTCACATTCTTCCTTTTTAAACAATCTTTGTAGAATCTTCGAGTCTTTACAACTTTTCAGGTCAGACCTATTTTAGATAATATAACTGACTACAGCACAGATGGAAATACTTCAATTTATAATTAACAAGACTCTGTGCTCTTGTATTTGTAGTTCAGTTTCTCCAATGATGGGTGCTGGGGAAGCATGCTTGCAGATCTGTTACAAAGGTAAGTTCAGAGATTTGAATTATTTCTTTACTTTAACTGTGATATGCGAGTTGCCTTACTTTGAATACCTGCGTTTATGGATAAAAGATTGTTTATGTAGTAGCATGTGGTTTAGGGAATATTAGATTGTGTCCCATTTAACATCGTATATATTTCATGACGGGACATTAATATTATGAAGAGTATGTTAAGTGATTGAGAAAAATCAAAACTAGTCAAAATTCTTTAAAACCAGATTGGGAGGCGTTCTAGCCCATTCTGTAAATTTTTCATATCTCTGGAAAATTTTTGGGGAGAGCATATTGCCGTTGTCTCGTCTGTCTGACTTTCCGTCCGTCTTTTCATGTCTGGAGCATAACTTTGCCCACAGTAAGTAAGGATCATGAAACTTAGTGTATAAAACATTGATCATACTAAACCAATGTGCTGTGTACCAAATGAGGGCCTTCGACCCCTCAGTTAGAGGTTTTTTTTGCCCTTTGTTAAAAATATTGTCTCCAGAGCATAAATTTGCTTGCATTTAATTTAGGATAATCAAACTTGGTGTGTACAGTAATAATCTGACGACAATATGCAGTGTACCATTGTTAGGGCCTGCAAACCTTTAATTACAGGGTTATTGCCCTTTGTTAAAATTTTGTGTCTTGAACAGCACTTTGCCTGCATGAAACTAGAATATTGAAATGTGATGTATATGTCAGTCATACAAAAACTGTGATGTAATTTGTTTGCAGTGTTTTCCTGTTTAGATGAATGCAATTTTACCAGAATGTACAGGCACCTCTTTCAAGCATACATCATGTTCCTTTTTTGATAGGGAATTTAAAAAGAAATAAGAGCATAAATGAAATAAATGTTGATGTTTGGCAGAAAGTGTGATGTTATCAACAGAGGGTTTTCTGGGTATAATTCCCGATGGTGTGTAAAGATTCTATCAAAAGTATTTGAAGAATTTGCCAGTAGTGATGTTGCCATGGTGACCATTTTCCTTGGTGCCAATGATTCGAATTTGCCAGCCAACAGCCATCAACATGTGCCAGCAGAGGAGTACAAGTCACACTTAATTAGCATGGTAGAGAAGCTGCAGGTATAATCATGAATTTCTTTCATTGTGATACATATATTGTTATGTTGTAATAAAGAACCATTTAGGGACAGTTATTCAATATCAAACCTGAGTACACAATCTACCTTATCTGTTTATTTTAAGTTAACTTTTGTTAAATCTTGTGGAAATATGATTCAATTTTAATAAAACTTTTATTTCATTTTTGAGGTAATTGAATTCAAATGTTTAAAATCTTAAAGCAATTTATGAATAACCAAGAAGCCCGGGTTTGAAACCTGTGACTTTAAAGTAGGTCAGGGTAATTCATTTGAACAAACTTGGAAGACCTTACCATCCCAGTAACCAATATCATGACCCTGCACCTATTTATTTGAGGAAAATGATGAATGAATTATGACTTTTCTTCTCTTTTTTTTTGTGTTAGATGTGTGGTATCCCTAGAGAAAAAATTCTGCTCATCACACCTCCTGCCTGTGATGTGGTCGCTTGGGGAGCAGACTGTAGTCTAAACGGTAATAAAAGATAATTAATCGGTATCATTGATCTGTCTACATTTTATCCTACTGGTACAAGATAATCTGTATCATTGATCTGTCTACATTTTGACCTACTGATATCATTCTGTATCATTGATCTGTCTACATTTTGACCTACTGATATCAATCTGTATCATTGATCTGTCTACATTTTGACCTACTGATACAAGATAATCTGTATCATTGATCTGTCTACATTTTATCCTACTGGTACAAGATAATCTGTATCATTGATCAGTCTACATTTTGACCTACTGGTACAAGATAATCTGTATCATTGATCTGTCTACATTTTGACCTACTGGTACAAGATAATCTGTATCATTGATCTGTCTACATTTTGACCTACTGATATCAATCTGTATCATTGATCTGTCTACATTTTGACCTACTGATATCATTCTGTATCATTGATCTGTCTACATTTTGACCTACTGATATCAATCTGTATCATTGATCAGTCTACATTTTGACCTACTGGTACAAGATAATCTGTATCATTGATCTGTCTACATTTTGACCTACTGGTACAAGATAATCTGTATCATTGATCTGTCTACATTTTGACCTACTGATATCAATCTGTATCATGGATCTGTCTACATTTTGACCTACTGATATCATTCTGTATCATTGATCTGTCTACATTTTGACCTACTGATATCAATCTGTATCATTGATCTGTCTACATTTTGACCTACTGATACAAGATAATCTGTATCATTGATCTATCTACATTTTGACCTACTGATACAAGATAATCTGTATCATTGATCTGTCTACATTTTGACCTACTGATATCAATCTGTATCATTGATCTGTCTACATTTTGACCTACTGATACAAGATAATCGGTATCATTGATCTGTCTACATTTTGACCTACTGATACAAGATAATCTGTATCATTGATCTGTCTACATTTTGACCTACTGATACAAGATAATCTGTATCATTGATCTGTCTACATTTTATCCTACTGGTACAAGATAATCTGTATCATTGATCTGTCTACATTTTGACCTACTGATATCAATCTGTATCATTGATCTGTCTACATTTTGACCTACTGATACAAGATAATCTGTATCATTGATCTGTCTACATTTTGACCTACTGGTACAAGATAATCTGTATCATTGATCAGTCTACATTTTGACCTACTGATACAAGATAATCTGTATCATTGATCTGTCTACATTTTGACCTACTGGTACAAGATAATCTGTATCATTGATCTGTCTACATTTTGACCTACTGATACAAGATAATCTGTATCATTGATCTGTCTACATTTTGTTGACCTACTGATATCAATCTGTATCATTGATCTGTCTACATTTTGACCTACTGGTACAAGATAATCTGTATCATTGATCTGTCTACATTTTGACCTACTGATATCATTCTGTATCATTGATCTGTCTACATTTTGACCTACTGATATCAATCTGTATCATTGATCTGTCTACATTTTGACCTACTGATACAAGATAATCAGTATCATTGATCTGTCTACATTTTGACCTACTGATACAAGATAATCTGTATCATTGATCTGTCTACATTTTGACCTACTGGTACAAGATAATCTGTATCATTGATCTGTCTACATTTTGACCTACTGGTACAAGATAATCTGTATCATTGATCTGTCTACATTTTTACCTACTGATATCAATCTGTATCATTGATCTGTCTACATTTTGACCTACTGTTACAAGATAATCTGTATCATTGATCTGTCTACATTTTGACCTACTGATATCATTCTGTATCATTGATCTGTCTACATTTTGACCTACTGATATCAATCTGTATCATTGATCTGTCTACATTTTGACCTACTGTTACAAGATAATCTGTATCATTGATCTGTCTACATTTTGACCTACTGATATCATTCTGTATCATTGATCTGTCTACATTTTGACCTACTGATATCATTCTGTATCATTGATCTGTCTACATTTTGACCTACTGATATCAATCTGTATCATTGATCTGTCTACATTTTGACCTACTGTTACAAGATAATCTGTATCATTGATCTGTCTACATTTTGACCTACTGATATCATTCTGTATCATTGATCTGTCTACATTTTGACCTACTGATATCATTCTGTATCATTGATCTGTCTACATTTTGACCTACTGATATCAATCTGTATCATTGATCTGTCTACATTTTGACCTACTGTTACAAGATAATCTGTATCATTGATCTGTCTACATTTTGACCTACTGATATCATTCTGTATCATTGATCTGTCTACATTTTGACCTACTGATATCATTCTGTATCATTGATCTGTCTACATTTTGACCTACTGATATCAATCTGTATCATTGATCTGTCTACATTTTGACCTACTGTTACAAGATAATCTGTATCATTGATCTGTCTACATTTTGACCTACTGATATCATTCTGTATCATTGATCTGTCTACATTTTGACCTACTGATATCATTCTGTATCATTGATCTGTCTACATTTTGACCTACTGATATCAATCTGTATCATTGATCTGTCTACATTTTGACCTACTGTTACAAGATAATCTGTATCATTGATCTGTCTACATTTTGACCTACTGATATCATTCTGTATCATTGATCTGTCTACATTTTGACCTACTGATATCATTCTGTATCATTGATCTGTCTACATTTTGACCTACTGATATCAATCTGTATCATTGATCTGTCTACATTTTGACCTACTGATATCATTCTGTATCATTGATCTGTCTACATTTTGACCTACTGATATCAATCTGTATCATTGATCTGTCTACATTTTGACCTACTGATATCATTCTGTATCATTGATCAGTCTACATTTTGACCTACTGATACAAGATAATCTGTATCATTGATCTGTCTACATTTTGACCTACTGATACAAGATAATCTGTATCATTGATCTATCTACATTTTGACCTACTGATACAAGATAATCTGTATCATTGATCTATCTACATTTTGACCTACTGATACAAGATAATCTGTATCATTGATCTGTCTACATTTTGACCTGCTGATACAAGATAATCTGTATCATTGATCTGTCTACATTTTGACCTACTGATACAAGATAATCTGTATCATTGATCTATCTACATTTTGACCTACTGATACAAGATAATCTGTATCATTGATCTGTCTACATTTTGACCTACTGATACAAGATAATCTGTATCATTGATCTGTCTACATTTTGACCTACTGATACAAGATAATCTGTATCATTGATCTGTCTACATTTTGACCTACTGATACAAGATAATCTGTATCATTGATCTATCTACATCTTGACCTACTGATACAAGATAATCTGTATCATTGATCTGTCTACATTTTGACCTACTGGTACAAGATAATCTGTATCATTGATCTATCTACATTTTGACCTACTGATACAAGATAATCTGTATCATTGATCTGTCTACATTTTGACCTGCTGATACAAGATAATCTGTATCATTGATCTGTCTACATTTTGACCTACTGATACAAGATAATCTGTATCATTGATCTATCTTCAAAGTGTAGCTTAATTGACTACATTGCTACCATTTTGAATATTTTTTTGTTGGTAGATAATTTGTTTATCAATTCTTGTCACACCTTGTTGACCTTACTTATGATTATAGTACAGGTGAAAAAGTTGGTCGATCCTAAACTATCTGGTACACTACACACATCAGTGCTAGTACGCTCCACAGTAGTCATTTGCTTGATGAAAGTGATCGTGTAGATCTTGTAGACACTACATACATCAGTGCTAGAACGCTCCACACTGGTCATTTGTCTGATGAAGGTGACTGTGTAGTCATCGAAACATCAAACTCTAATCTTAAACTGCTTGTGTTTTAAGAACTATAAGATGACTGTAGTCTTTGTTAAAATTTCATGTGGATAGCAAAACTTCTACTGGTTGTGTTTTGAGAACTACTATTCTATTGACATTACCAACCTGAATGAAATGTTCAAAATTAATACAATGCATTCGTTTAAGCTAGGATAATGAAACTTGGTGTATACATTATTATACATAGAGGATAGAGTGTCATATTCAGGGTCTGCAATCCCTTCATTACAGAGTGATATATAGTCTTCTTTGTAAAAATTTCATGTGGATAGCAAAACTTTGCCTTGATTTAAGCTAGGATAATGAAACTTGGTGGTGTATGCATTAGTCATACTAAGAGGGTGTATGGTATACAAAATTCAATATAACCAATAAGATAGTTGCCACTGATGGGTTTAACACTGCACTGCTTATAAGTTAAGAATCACTTGTGCTTATTATGCTGAACGTGTTCCCGAGGCCAGGATGTTACCCAACACTGATTTTCTGCCGAATGGTTAATGCCAACCATAGGCTTTGATTTCTGTTATTCCGATGGACAATTTTCTTCTGATTAATATTTCTGGTTCATACTTTTTGGAAGAAAAATGAATAAAATTTTAAAGATATGCAAAAAGGATTAATATAAAGATATTTGAAGCTATGATATCTTTGTTAAGAAAACTGTTGAATTAATCAACAAACATAAGTAAACATGATAATAGGAATTTAATAGAAGATTTTGTGAGGAAAAACTTTAGGAATAGCTGTTAGTGCAGTATTTCTTTAATATTTACTGACACTTAAACAATGTTTCAGGTCGTCAATGTCATAAGTGCAACAAAACTGCTGGGCTGTATGCCAGTCTGTGTAAAGAATCAGCTACTGAAATGGGTACAGGATGTGTTGATCTTTACACAGAAATGATGAAACTTCAGGTAAATCATCTTAAAAGATTTTTAAATATGTTCTAGTCAGGACTCCACTCATATTGTCAGATACTATCTAGTTACATGATCAGGACACTCATTAGTAACATTCATAGGTCACATTTTAGAAACATAATGTCTGGTAGTCACTTTGTCAGGTCACCCAAACAAAATATTTTTAGATCACACTTCAATCAGACTGTCAACCTCAAGCTGAATTCTACTTCAATGTTCAGGCAACAACTATCACACTCCACTTCCATTGTCAGACTTTCTAGTCAGGTCACACTCCACTTACATTGTCAGACTGTCTAGGTCAGGTTACACTCCACTTACATTATCAGACTGTCTAGGTCAGGGCACACTCTACTTACATTGTCAGACTGTCTAGGTCAGGTCACACCCCACTTCCATTGTCAGACTGTCTAGGTCAGGGCACACTCCACTTCCATTGTCAGACTGTCTAGGTCAGGTCACACTCCACTTACATTGTCAGACTGTCTAGGTCAGGTCACACCCCACTTCCATTGTCAGACTGTCTAGGTCAGGTCACACTCCACTTCCATTGTCAGACTTTCAAGGTCAGGTCACACCACACTTCCATTGTCAGACTATCTAGGTCGGGTCACACTCCTGTTCTATTGTCAGACTATCTAGGTCAGGTCACACTCCACTTCCATTGTAACTGTTTAAAGGTCAGGTCACATTCCACTTCCATTGTCTGACTGTCTAGGTCAGGTCACACCCCACTTCCATTGTCAGACTGTCTAGGTCAGGTCACACTCTACTTCCATTGTCAGACTGTCTAGGTCAGGTCACACTCCACTTCCATTGTAACTCTTTTATGGTCAGGTCACATTCCACTTCCATTGTCTGACTGTCTAGGTCAGGTCACACCCCACTTCCATTGTCAGACTGTCTAGGTCAGGGCACACTCCACTTCCATTGTCAGACTGTCTAGGTCAGGTCACACTCCACTTACATTGTCAGACTGTCTAGGTCAGGTCACACTCCACTTCCATTGTCAGACTTTCAAGGTCAGGTCACACCACACTTCCATTGTCAGACTATCTAGGTCGGGTCACACTCCTGTTCTATTGTCAGACTATCTAGGTCAGGTCACACTCCACTTCCATTGTAACTGTTTAAAGGTCAGGTCACATTCCACTTCCATTGTCTGACTGTCTAGGTCAGGTCACACCCCACTTCCATTGTCAGACTGTCTAGGTCAGGTCACACTCCACTTCCATTGTCAGACTGTCTAGGTCAGGTCACACTCCACTTCCATTGTAACTCTTTTAAGGTCAGGTCACATTCCACTTCCATTGTCTGACTGTCTAGGTCAGGTCACACCCCACTTCCATTGTCAGACTGTCTAGGTCAGGTCACACTCCAATTCCATTGTCAGACTGTCTAGGTCGGGTCACACTCCTGTTCCATTGTCAGACTGTCTAGTTCAGGTCACACTCCAATTCCATTGTCAGACTGTCTAGGTCAGGTCACACTCCTGTTCCATTGTCAGACTGTCTAGGTCAGGTCACACTCCACTTACATTGTCAGACAGTCTAGGTCAGGTCACACACCTGTTCCATTGTCAGACTTTCAAGGTCAGGTCACACTCCACTTCCATTGTCAGACAGTCTAGGTCAGGTCACACTCCTGTTCCACTGTCAGACTTTCAAGGTCAGGTAACACTCCAATTCCATTGTCAGACTATCTAGGTCAGGTCACACTCCTGTTCCATTGTCAGACTGTCTAGGTCAGGGCACATTCTACTTACATTGTCAGACTGTCTAGGTCAGGTCACACTCCTGTTCCATTGTCAGACTTTCAAGGTCAGGTAACACTCCACTTACATTGTCAGACAATCTAGGTCAGGTCACACTCCTGTTCCATTGTCAGACTGTCTAGGTCAGGTCACACTCCACTTACATTGTCAGACAATCTAGGTCAGGTCACACTCCTGTTCCATTGTCAGACTTTCAAGGTCAGGTAACACTCCAATTCCATTGTCAGACTTTCAAGGTCAGGTAACACTCCAATTCCATTGTCAGACTATCTAGGTCAGGTCACACCCCACTTCCATTGTCAGACTGTCTAGGTCAGGGCACACTCCACTTCCATTGTCAGACAGTCTAGGTCAGGTCACACTCCTGTTCCATTGTCAGACTTTCAAGGTCAGGTAACACTCCAATTCCATTGTCAGACTATCTAGGTCAGGTCACACTCCTGTTCCATTGTCAGACTTTCTAGTCAGGTCACACTCCACTTGTATTATCAACCTCTCTATGTCAGGACATACAAATAAAAATGAAGGAAGAGAAAGACACCAATAATTAAGATTATACTACCATGGAGTCTAGGTTCTCAGCAATCTCCTGTTTGTTTGTAGGATGCTGTAAAATATGTATTATGATACCATGTTGTCAGAGGCTAGGATCTGAGGGATTCTCCTGGGTGTATAGGTTTGTAGGGTACAGCAGATACATGTATTATGATACCATGTCGTCGGAGGCTAGGATCTGAGGAATTCTCCTGGGGTATAGGTTTGTAGGGTACAGCAGATACATGTATTATGATAACATGGCGTCGGAGGCTAGATACATGTATTATGATAACATGTCGTCGGAGGCTAGGATCTGAGGGATTCTCCTGGGTGTATAGGTTTGTAGGGTACAGCAGATACATATATTATGATAACATGGCGTCGGAGGCTAGATACATGTATTATAATAACATGTCGTCGGAGGCTAGGATCTGAGGGATTCTCCTGGGTGTATAGGTTTGTAGGGTACAGCAGATACATGTATTATGATAACATGGCGTCAGAAGCTAGATACATGTATGATGATAACATGTCGTCGGAGGCTAGGATCTGAGATTCTCCTGGGTGTATTGGTTTGTAGGGTACAGCAGACACATGTATTATGATACAATGTCATCGGAGGCTAGGATCTGAGGGATTCTCCTGGGTGTATAAGTTTGTAGGGTACAGCAGACACATGTATTATGATAACATGTCGTCGGAGGCTAGGATCTGAGGGATTCTCCAGGGTGTATAGGTTTGTTTAATACAGCAGATAATAGCTGTAGGGTACTGTTCATTTGTTCGTCTTTATACACTTTTAAATGACTTGAAGGTCCTGCATCAAAGGTGAGAATAGAACCCTCTTTTTGGGTGCATGGCTAGATGAACCTGTAGCTAGGTATAACTAAAGGACTTTAATAAGTGGATTAAATTAAATGACCTAGAGCAAGTTTATGGTCATAAGATTTTATGTTGAAGTCATATTTATAGGAAGTTGACGTTGACTTTAAATTTTACCGTTGTTAGTTGGATAAGAGCCAAGATACACAGGACAGGGTTTCTGTTCTTACTAACAGTGCAGTTATACTGGGTATTTTTCAGCCAAGGACAGGATAGTATTAATGAGCTTCATTGAAGGAATTTACCTGTCACAACAACCTATCATAGTGAAAGATGCATTGTCCAAAATCACATTACAGATTAAGAAATTTCACCTTTACTTTACTGTTAATTGGATTTCATTAATCAGTTGGGTTATGTATAAGTTTTTCTACATAAAACTTAATTTCTCTCAGCATACTTATTAGTTTAATCTTGATGATATGGAGGAGCAAGGACACATAAGACAAATAATTATGTATAATTCTTGTTTATTTTAAAATCTGTTTTTAACAGGACTGGCAGCAACTTTTGAATGATGGTCTTCATTTGTCAACTCGGGGATCAGAGTTGCTCTTCAATCTGATGAAACCATTTGTTGTGAAACTAACCTCAGAGATTGAAGCCAAATTTCCTGATTGGAAGGATGTTGACAATACTAATCCAGATGCATCATTATGTTAATGTAAACTAAAAAATGTGTTAATGGTTATGTATGTCAGGAACATCACTTTCATTGATACCTTGAGTGTCACATTGCATTAAATGGTCACTAATTAATGATATGCAAATCACATCTAGTGTTTATCTAATGACCATTCTCTGAAACTATATCAATTGTTTACTAAATATACCATTATAAATAGTTGTTTACTAAACATACCTTTATACATGGTTGTTTACTAAACATAACTTTATAAATGGCTATTTACTAAACATAACTTTATAAGTAATGATGGCTGTCCTAACCCTCATTTTTTGATATGGGAATATTACCTGATAAATTTTGTTGCCTTATGAGTTGATTTATTTCTACAATGACACTTGTAAGGTCAAGCAACCTAGAGAGTCAGGATAACCTATAACCATCATGTTTTGTATGTCGTCGTCAGCCATGCATAAACTTTTCATTCATACGGCTTCTTCTTCATAAACAAAAGGCTAAGGGTTCTTATATATGGTCTATAGTTTTAATGAGATGAAAGGCTACCATTTTTGTAAAATGAATAACCTTGATCAAGATTAAAGGGGTAAAATGTGTTGAAATCTTAAACGACCTCTTCTTAATAACCAATAAGACTGGTCACATGCTAGGAATCGGATGACTGTTAAGGCCCATATGTCCCTTGTCATTTATTGCCTTAATGACTGGTTGTGTTGTCAGAACTTCTATTCTATTGCCATAACCAACTTGTAGAAATAGTTCCAAAAAGTATATGAGCTCTTACTAAATGTAACAGTCATGAATTCTTTTACATGATGTACCAGACCCTGAACTCTATTTCAGAATATACCAGATCCCTGAGCTATAACGCAGAATATACAAGACCCCTTAGTACTATTCCAGAATGTAACAGACCCTTGATCTTTATTGCAGAATGTACCAGAATCTTGAACTTTATCACAGATCATACAAAAACCATGAGCTCCAATTAATGATTTAACCAGAACCCTAAGCTCCAATTGATTATTTAACCAGAACCCTAAGCTCCAATTAATGATTTAACCAGAACCCTAAGCACCAATTAATGATTTAACCAAAACCTGAGATCCAATTAACGATTTAACCAGAACTGTGAGCTCCAATTAATGATTAACCAAAACCCTAAGCTCAAATTAATGATTTAACAGAACCCTAAGCTCCAATTTATGATTAACCAGAACCCTAAGCTCCAATTAATGATTTAACCAGAACCCTAAGCACCAATTAATGATTTAACCAAAACCTGAGATCCAATTAACGATTTAACCAGAACTGTGAGCTCCAATTAATGATTAACCAAAACCCTAAGCTCAAATTAATGATTTAACAGAACCCTAAGCTCCAATTTATGATTAACCAGAACACTAAGCTCCAATTAATGATTTAACCAAAACCTGAGATCCAATTAACGATTTAACCAGAACTGTGAGCTCCAATTAATGATTAACCAAAACCCTAAGCTCAAATTAATGATTTAACAGAACCCTAAGCTCCAATTTATGATTAACCAGAACACTAAGCTCCAATTACATAATCAAAATCTTTATCTCCAGAAGTTAAAAGATGGATTGTACTAAAACCTTCCAATTACAGAATTTACTATAACCTGACCTCCAAATGCAGAATATAGTCCAGATCTCTGTGCTCCTATACAGAATGTTCTAGAGCTTTGAGGTATTACCTGATATAGTAGTAGCCTTACCTGTCTAACAAATGTATTAGAACTTGGAGTTCTGAAACAGAATGCTGAATTACCAAATATTGGAGCAAAATTATACAATGTACCTGGTCTATCAATTGCATTTCTCTTTCTTGAATTTGCTAATGATTTTCTTGTGTTTTTTTTTTTTTTTTTTTTTCGAAAATGCTTTCTTATTTGTCACATGCACTCTTAATGACCTTTCACTCAATTATACCACTTGTTTGCCTATTTACAGGCCTTGAATGTCCTAGTGTAATATGATGATTGTTTTTTGTAAATTTCCTTTGATGCCATAGCAATAGTGGATATAGATAACTGTGCCTGCTGACGGATAGACCTGTTATTACATAATATATTGTGTATTTTAACCATGTACGTTTGACATTTTCATTATCATTATATGTACAATTGTTCATTGTAATATCATTTATGCTTTTATAGATGATACATATTTATTAGAATTAAAATTGCAGATGAAATAAACTTTTTAGATGGAGACTTTCAAGACAAATTAATGATATCTTAACATGAAAATGAGTTTCTGCATATTTGCCATTAAGATTTCCTCACGAAAAAGCATTCTAATTTGTATTTTCCCTCTATTGACTCGGGTTTATTTACATTTGCGCTTTTATCCAGCATAGGAACATTATCAGGGGAAAAGACTGAAAACCATAAAGTCTGCACCATTTGGTATGGCTGTAAATGTACAATGCAAGGAATTCCCAGAAGTGACAACTGCAATAGGTATAAAGAGTGTTCATGATTTGATTTCCAGAAGTACACTTATCCAGTTTCCACCGTTGAAGATCTGTTCGCCTCTATCAGTCACCAAGCAAGACATTTAAAGTACTGGTGAAAGCTGTTACATTTTACACTGCATCAGCTCTTGGTCATTTGTGTTTCAGATTGAGAATGAAACATTTTGCAGATTAACTAGCCTAAAGATGACATCTGTCTGTCCAACAACTTTTTGATACAAATGGCTACTAGTCATAAATGACTTACAGAAGGTTGACCAAATTTGGTCAGAAGCATTCCTAGGTAAAGGAATATTTTAAATGGTGGGTCTTTGCCCCGGGAGGATGTGGAACAGGGCACAAAAGGAGAAATTTTAAAAATCCTACTCAAACTGTAAGAACGATTTCATTTTTCCCAAATTTTGTCTCAAGCATTGTTGGGTGAAGGGAAATCACTTTTCTATAAATGGTAGGTCTTGGCCCCCTTGGGGCAGGCAGGGCAGGGCCAAAAGTGCAAATAGAACAAATCTTTAAAATCCTGCTCCTCCTGTAGGAATGATTGGATTTTGCCCAAATTTGGTCTGAAGCATTGTTTGGTGACGGAGAATATTTTTTGTTTGCCTGCTGGGATGGAAGGGGCCAGACTCAATAGGGGAATTGGGGTAAATTCTTTAAAAACCTACTCCTCCTGTAGAAATAAATGGATGTCATCTAAACAGGACCCTTATGGGGGAAAAGAGCATTCTTTAAAATCCTTCTTTTCCATTAGGAATGATTAGATATAACCCAAAGAATAAGTGGATATTGCCTTAGTTTGGTCTGAAGTATTCTTTGGTGAAGGGGACTAAGTCCTGCATAAACGGTGCATCATGGCCTCCAAGGGAGGGAGGGAGGGAGGGATGGCCAAATTAGGGAAATTTAAGTTCTTACAAGTCATTCTTCCATACAAGGATATTTTTCCAAGTTTGGTGTGAAGCAATTTTTACGAATAGCTAATCTGACGAATAGGGCAGGACTCAAATGGGGAAATTATATTAGAAATTGTTTGTCATATTTGAAATTATTAATTTAATGACTGAATATCTAAATTAGGTGAGTGATGCAATATATATGAGTAGATATATACTCTATATTGCCATAGGTTTGAAGTTTACTTGTGGTACAAGTAATAAGTGACATTTTGTGGTTAATGCTCATTAGGCAAAGTAATGAAGCATTGGTTATTAACAGACCTTACCTTATATAGCAATGCAAAGCTAACGGTCTACTTGTAGGATTATCCTGTTGAATTGTTAACATACAACACCGAAGAGGAAAATTGCAGAAAGACGTTGTATCTGCAAATTTGTTCAATTAATACTGATTAAATTAATTGAAAACAATAAGAAATATGTTGTTGTTTGTCGTCATCTTTCACTTGTAAATGTGGGATTGTATTTCATATGAGAGTATCACTGCAGGTATACGTTAAAGTTTTCGTAAAAACATACATATTTCTTCACTGTACTTACTCACACCTGAAATCATAACAAATAGAAAAAAAGTTGTGCCGAGAGAACAGAAAAAAAATTTAAATGATGATAAAAACATAAGGACATTCTTTTATAAACATAGGTATCTGATGAAAATTTTGAATTGTAAGCTGCTGTTTCAGTCATAACTGTTAACATTGCACCGATTGCAACCACTACTATAACAGTGATTCGAGACAAAATCTGACACTTCATACAGGATTTCGTTTATTGAGAAAACAGAAGGTATTGTGAAAATATACAATTCTTTTATTTTCATGTAAATACAGCAAATACCTTAAATATTTATCTTATAAATATTAACAGCATATCGATTATATATATCCACAGTCAACTATCATTCGTCGGAGATATATGTTTCAATGGTCTTCCCTCGTTGCCATAGGCACTTTTACTAATATGTTAAATATCGCCCTATTCACAATATATTTAACTAATCCTTATTTCCAAATCTTTCCATATTTGATGTCTGCCGTTTGAATTCATTTACTATCTTTTTTGTGTACAGTAAATTTTCTACGTTCAATAGTTTTGAAATTTTGAACATGCTTGTGAAAAGATGTGCACTTTGTAATGGTACGTTGTTAATGCTAATACTAATAAAACAATGTTGTTTTAATGTAATCAAACAAGAAAAAAGGTATTGATAAATATGCCACATATGTAGACAAGTCAATACTCTTAACCATTATGGTTCGAGAGTCAACCATCTCCAATTGTTTGTGAAAAAGTTAAATTCAGTAATTCAGCTGATAGTAACAAGTTAATGTGTACAGATATACATAAAGGGATATAAAAGTTTAAAACACTGCAAAGTAAAAAGGAATTATATATATATATATATACATTGCGCTACGTGTTCATATCGCATAATAGACAATTTGCTAACTATGATCATGTGAAGAATTTCCAGCTGTCTATCACTACAACTTCCAAAAATCTTTTTGGCTTTCTGTGAATGAACGATATTCATTGTCGTTGTTAAATATATATAAAGCACAAGGCTTTATTATCTATTTCAAACTCAAACAAATTACATAGCTACACATATTAACGTATTATATCCTTGGTCTATTAAGTTAGATCGCTTGACCTACTTTTCTATTAAGTTAGATCGCTTGACCTACTTTTCTATTAAGTTAGATCGCTTGACCTACTTTTCTATTAAGTTAGATCGCTTGACCTACTTTTCAATTTAGATAGTAAATTACATAAAATAAGTAATACAACAGATACATCAACATACTCTATGATATTTATCTCGATTTCTCCTTTAATTAGAAATGAAATACTACTGTCCAAACAAGTCATATACAAATTGGTTCAAAGGATTATAAATTATTATATAAAACATATATGTAACATAAACAGGTAAACACATGCAAAAACAGCATGATAAATTACTTATGTAACTGCTTAGGTAGCTGATAAATAATATAGTATCAAACACCGAAATGCGACACTTCAAATTGTGATGTCAAAAGTTAAACATTCAATACTGATGGTATGACAGATTTTTTTTTTTTTTTTTTTTGGGGGGGGGGGGGGATTGGGGGGTAACGTATACATATCTATGAATATTTTTTTTCCTTTAAAGATACAACGTATGCATCATTTCCCTTTTGAGTTAGGTGAAAAAAATACGCACATATTATTATTACTACATTATTACATACTAACCGAAGATAAGTATTTATATCTCACTGTATTTAAAATGCCACTTTGTCCCAATACCGGGGTCCTGAGACACATCATACAGTGATCATGATGAAACAAACATTCAAACCTGTGTGATAGGAAACAATTTTGATGTATGATTTGTTAATCCCTGTTTTCTTACTTAAAATATTAGACTCTTAACAGTTAACTAAAACTAAATTTGAAAAAATAAACTACATTTAAAACTATACAACTACGACACCGTAAATGACTATTTGCTCCACACTACAATAATGTGATCGGAACAGTTGTTGCATAGTCGCTTCGGTCATCAGCATAAAATTATCATAATCATATTAATATCTAATCATTTTGTTAGAGATTGCTGTTAGCCTATATCACAGACAACATGTTTAAAAATCTGAACATGAATATACTTCAGGAGTTGTAATCGACTTGGTAATACTATTAGGAATTTATTTGGGTTTGTCTGCAAAAGCAGAAAAAAGACATGCCTGGCCTATTTTTTATTTCATTGTTATGTCAACTGGTGACGTTCGTGGGAGCACAACGACATGCTGTCCTGATGCCACAGCAGTGGTCATCTCAACAGATAACATATATGCATTATTAGACATGCAGTTTGTAATTTTTATGAACTGTATTGGAAGGATGATAAAACAAATGTGCTCGAATCGATGCTTGTAATCAAAAAGATAAATTTGAACTTTATGGACTAATTTATTGTAAATTATCTCTATGTTATGTTGTAGAGATGAACGAAAATAGTGTTACGTAAATGACTTTAATATTCAATACCTTCCATACGTTATAACCGCAAAGCGTGTAGTATACAACATAACATTTAACCTGATATCTAAAGTATATGTAATTCCAGAACAAATCTATCGTTTCAAACGCCTTTTCAGTACGAGTCACAAAAAAGATGTTGATCTGTTTCCTTGTTGTCGAAATGAAAGCAATGTAACAAATCTATTTATTTCATGTCACCACAAGTGTTGTTCATTCACATTTCACTCTCTAGAAACTGCATCGGATTACATATATATAACATGGTGTATTGTACATCCTTTGTACTTCCTTGTTAATATTTGTTCCCTAAGGTTGTATCAATATAATGCGATATCGATATTGTCTATGTCACATCACAGCTACGTGATCCAAATATAAAATGTATGTTAACACTACATGTATATCAATAATATTAACAATTATTTGTTGGTATAATCGTGTTATATTCTACTGACAGGCTCAGTCATATAACATGAGTTTCTATAGAATAAGGCTGTTTGTCCATCTCTGGTGTTCATCTCAGCGAGATTTATCGCATAGCGAAGACGAATTATGTGATTATGTCTCATCTGCCTTGCTTTGGGTGAGTTATGTTGTGGACTGTGTTCTGATTACTGTTGACGTAGGTCATGCTAATTCCCAGTTTCTCAATGTAATTTATGGCAGATGTGTATGTAATCACATGTTAGATGTGAACCATTAATGTAATTGTATGAGTGAAATGATTAGCATGTAGTGAATTGTATGATGCTGGTCAAAATGTTAATCATTCACTCCCTGTTTTGTTAAATGTGCGTGATTGTCTGTGTTGCCTTTGAATGTTATTATTTTGATATATTTGTTTAGATAATGTAGAACATTCATTTTGCAAAATGAATTACTATATAAACTAGATGATTGTTAATCTTTTTTATGTTTCTCTGGTTACCATCCTAATTTTATCTTATCATGGGAATCTTTACATGTGCGACATTTCGTAGGATCTGGTTCCCTGAAAAAGACATTAAACAGTTTTTAACAATGCATATGTATGTCTCCTTTCATTCAGAAATTCCAGTGATATATCTTTATTACCACAGGGACATTCTCTACAAGTCAAATTTGTCGTAAATGTAAGAAATTTAATGACAGCATCAGTAAAAGTATATGATATAGTAGAACAAGTTACACATATTTGTTATATCTTCAATTAAAATCGTTATACTTCACAAATGAGCTAGGTAAAACTGATGATGAAATTTCCTGGTAGATTGATCACTACTTACCCTTTGCACAGTACTTCTACTTTTCTCGCTTCTCTCCTGTTCTCTGAATTTTTTGAATTTCTTTGCAAAGTTTTTACCCATAGTACCTATCGCAGGAATCGTGTCGTATATTTCGTCGTCGTAATCACTTTGAGCTGCTGAATATGACCCTCTTGGCAAAGTTCGACTTAATCCGTTTTCCCTTCCTCTCAAATCATCAGGTAAATTGGGTAGTTTTCTGTTTCTAACTTCGTTTGCAAAATGTTTTTGTAATGGCATACCAACAGCAAATCGTCGTTTTGGAACCTCTTTTTCAAGATCATTTAATGCATTTACATCAAATACTCTGTCCTGTGTTGTATTCTCATTTCTGTTTAATAGTCGGTCATTTGGCGTTACTGTCTTTCGAATAATGGATCGTATGAACTCGTGCGGCCTGTTGTTTTGCATACTGCCTCTTGTAGAGCCTCTATATGACGTGCCGATTGCAGTTTGGCGGAAACTTTTCCCAAGGGGATTACTTGATCCAGGAATATTCTTTGTGCCTTTCGTCTGTATATTAGTGATCACCTCTTTTAGAGCATTTAAAGTTTGCTCTGCCTCTTGATCCTCATCGTCACTATCAATTGGATAGTCGGGCATCGGCTCGGAGTCTAATCGTTCACAAAATTCCAGTACTTTCTTCGCTAACATTTTAGGGTTTCCCTTTTCAATATCGTCCTCGCTGATAGTCTTTTGACAAGGGTTTGGTATATCTGTTATTGCAATTAGGTGTAAAAATGTTCCCCATCTGTGCATCAGCATACCGATGAATTGGATAACCAGGATTAGAACATAAAATATCACAAACATCATCCCAAGGGCATCAATTTCCAGATTGTTCACATTCACTTCTCCGTCATCCAAATTGCTCTGAAACAATGTAATCAATATGTTACCACTATATACGCAAGTATAGATTCAAACGTATTAACTTGGATTTTACATTAGATAATTTATACCGAAAACCTTTGAAAATGATTAATTGTTGTCAAACATACCGGTACCGGGAAAGAAATAACCGCTGGCTTGCGAAGCTGGAACATGAAGTTAATAGCTATCCATAGCAAGTTAACTATGGCCATACCAGCACAGACACTATTTCTAAGTTCTATCAATCGAGCAGCAGTTTCCTTCTGTTTTTGTTTATCAGCATCCAGTGGATAAAGATATCTGAAACAAATAACACAGCACCCCTATGCGAATTTCAATAATTGATTTTGGCTGGTTAAACTTTTTTTAATGATATTATTGTTATTGTGAAGAAGTGTTAAAAACCTAGGCTTTATCTGAGCTACAAGCCCTGAAATTGATAATAATTATTCTTTTATACTATTATTCTATCAGTCATACTAATGAATCCGATGTTTCCTCAGAAGAATTTGGTAAATAATGTATAAAATGAAACTATAAAATTATTTTTCAAAATTCTAGAAGAATATTTACATATAAAATGGAATTTGTTTTCAGATTAAAAAATACTCGTTGAACGAACCACACTAGAAAGTGCAAAGTATCAACTGTTTGTCAAGTATTTGATTAAACCCAAGAAACGAAAAATACGATAAATGCTACAGTTTAAGAAAGGTAACCTATGGTTAACATCAATTAAAATGATGCTGCATTAGGTATGAAAATCTTACTTGCGAATGAAACCTTTCCAAAACTCTTCCTCTGCATTATTCATTCGCAGGATTGGTCCCCTCCCCAATTGTTCTACGTCCACCCAATGTGGACATTCCATGTCATCTCGATCTGTCTTTTCTGGTTTTCCCGTATCTTCTGGGATCTCATTACTAATCACTTTCTCCTCAAACTTTACACCTTTCTTTAGAATTGATGGCGGGCCCTGTGAGATGATAGCCGTTGGTGCCTCACTCGCACCTGGTACATTTGGTGCTGGCATGTTTCCATTGTTTTGTTGAAGCTTCAGTAAAGCCTCAAAGTTCCTGTTCATAGCCTTTAACATTTCCGTTGTTTCGTCTTCTTTTTTCTTTGTCATTTGTAGATCATTGATGACCTTAAACATGTCCTGAAACTGCAGTTTTGGCATAAATCTAGCAAGGAATCCTTGCTTCTTCTTTTCTTCTTTCTCCTTTTTTATTCTTTCTTCTTCTTCAATCTCTTGCTTCGTTTTCTTTTTAGGTACTTCCCTAGTTCCCCATGATATGTTATGCATATTACAAAGAGAATATATTACTAAAAGCAAAAAGCCCATAGGAACACAAACAAAATAGAGTGCTCCAAAAATGATGCAGCTGAATTCTTGAGGATGGAAGCAGGCAGATATCACAAATATGATTACCAAGGATGCAAGAAATATCACGCTCGGATGGAAAGGGTTTTCCTTAACAGCTGTCACTATACACCCGACAAATACCACCATCATGATAAAGACGTAGGCTGCGCTGAGCAACTGTGCCGCAAGAAGCTGGTATTTGGTTTTAACCCAGAAACACATGAAAAAGTACAAAATTGCCGGGATACCGGATATGAGATAAGAATCGAGCAATTCCACGTTGAAGACAGTGACCAGAGCTCCAGCGATCATCATAAGCACTGTCGATGGGCCAATTACTGTCGACACCATGAGACACCCTATAATGTAGAACAAAAGCATCAAACAAGAGCACCGATAACTGACCTCATGATTGAAATATACAAGGCACTCCGATCTCAGATGCTGACATGCATCATAATACCATGTAGGAGACTGTATCATTTAGTCAAACAACTATACATATAGTATGATGTTATGCTGCGTAAATACCATTTCTCCTGACTATAATTAATTAACAACACAGAAGCTAGTTTTGCAGTCATATTGACAAATAAGTCACTTGATTCTAGAAAATACGTTCTTACTTTGAAGTAAATTTACGTCATTTTATATGGAAAAAACATGTTTAGTAATCGGCCTAGTACGTAAACTCCGCTTTAATGTGCCCATTAACACTAATAATCCTAGGCGCAAGGAACAGTTGCAGAATACAAGTTTCATTCATACGTAAAGTACATAAGTAAATGGAAAGATATGTGGTAAACTTACAGTTCATTTGCCTCTGTCCTATGATACAAATGTACATCAGAATGACTGTGCCATTTTCTTTCAAAATTTACTGACTTTATCCTAACAATAGCATCACGTATGTTACCTCAGATGTTATTGCATACAGTACTTGGAATACGTTTTGTTGGTTGGCGTTTAACGTATTCAATTTTTGGAAGTGTTCTAACGATCGACATTTGATATCAGTCATAGAGTTATTTTATTCAATTATATTCCACAAAATGCATTAATCTGTTGGGTCTGAACTCATTTAAAAATACATTTATATTAGTTTATGCCAGTTTTGATTCTATTGTAAACTAAATATACTTTGATATACAAAACCTGAACAATTACGGATTAATCTGCGCGGACAATATCCAAGTTTAAAATGTGCCCAATTCAATCTTAATTGACATCTAATACAACACTTTACACATTAAATTGGACTGTCTTTTTTCTTTGGTGTTCTGCTAACAAATCAGTAGCGATAAAGGTCAATCTAAGGTATACTCGGAGCTTTGATAGGATAACGAAATCCGTTTGTATTCTTGCAATAAAATGTATAGTCGTCAATTTTTTTCATATATGCTTACCTGTCTCTTAATCCAAGTTTAAATGTGCAATTTACATTTCTCTCTTTTGTACCGTCTTGATATAATAATCATAAAATTTACTGATAGTAAAGTGAGTAAAGATGCTGACGTAAATGGCTTAAACAAGGCTGCAATAATAGCGGAATAAAGTTTGGATAACGAGGCTATTATTGTAATTTTTTTAAATTAACCTTGGTAGAAGATATAGAGCCAGCTGATATTGTTATTGACAGCCACAGTATTCCGTCCATCTTGAAGCAAGTCCAGGATGTTGGCAATGGTGGAAGGCATCCATCGTCTACGCTGATTGAAGAATTCGTCAAATCCTTCAGGAGCGTAAGTGAAGGCATCGGACGCTGCTGCATAGTCGACACGGTAGCCCTGCTGTAGGAGAAGGGTGCACAGCCATCTGTCCTCGCCTATGTAAACAATTACTTCAAGAAGTCAATACTATTTCTTCATATCAAATACATTGCTATTATCAAATCTGAAACAAGACTGTAATATTCGAAATGAATTTGTAGTCCTCATTTATAAAATGAACAAATGCCTTCTGAATAATACATTAGTAGATACTTCATCACTGACATTAACATTCCGAAATCAACGTTAGGTGTTTATGATATTACCTTGATCATACATGAGATGATGAGAAGCTTCACTCGGAAGAATAGTGTATTTTCTCATAACATTGTCGTCCATGATTGCTGAACCTCGGAACATGCTGAAGCATCCCGGGCTACACAACACGCAACCGAGTACGTGTTCAGTGGATTTCTGAAGCCAGTGAGCTACAGCGTATTCAAATTTCTGATACCACACAACTGGACCTGTCAGATGGAAACCATTTATATGTTTAATAATGACTTTAAAATTCTTATTTTGAAACAAAAGTAAATATTGATTCAACAAAGTATCCATTACATAAGTTATTATGTTCTCTGAATGTATGCTTACCTTTCCCGATTGGATGAATACGACCACAAGCCGCCCCAACCCTTTCATTTTTCTTCATTTTGTCCATGAGCATATGTACTGCTCCGGGGGTAAAGTCGACGTCACCGTCCAACGCTAAGAGAAACGTGTTTCGCGCCTATCGTCAGAAAAATGAAACAAAGTCAAGTATCTTTGCAAATGATAAGACGTTACTGGGATTTTATCATATTTGCCTAAGAATCTATGCACAAGCACACAATGTGATAGGAAAACCTTCTACAAATTACAAATTACATGTATTCAGAACTCGATAGGTCAACAAAGGCAATAAGAACGACACTTCAAAGAAAACCAATTTTAGAATACAATTAGTATCTGATAAAAATCATAGAAAATGAAATGCACATTTTACTTGCTTAAAACCAATAATAAGCTTTAAACTTAAACATTTCGCAATTTTAACGAGAAAGACTCACTCTGTAAATCACTTCATCATCCAAAAACTGAAATATTTGACTTCTCTCTACTCTTCCCGTGTTCTGCCTCTCGAAATCCCGCCAGCTGGCCAAATCGTTGAACTGGTTTCCCTCGATAGCTGCCATGACAATTTCCTGACATTCTTTGAGGATTCGGTATCCCAGTAGGTAGTACATGTACATCACCTTCACAAATTAATATTACCCATGTTGTTAATCAGGAAAGACAACAAGCTACGTGGAAGTTTATATCAACTGTAGTCTATCAAGGCATACCAGAAACGCGGACGATGTGATATCTTTGAAGTCATTATGTCAGTTTGATAGCGCCGATTGTAATGTAAAAGGTATTTACCTGTGACCATCTTTTTCTATGTCGAATTTTATTTTTGTCTTTCATGTGGATGAACATGAGATTTTCCCCAGGCATCAGATACACTAGTTGGCCGCCATATGGAGTCGGAATTTTGACAGGGGCATGGATGGTCATCGATCGTTCATGAACAGAGCTGAAATAGTGTTTTTCGACAATATCTGTTTACGTTTCATTACGAAATTATTACTATCTCACAATCAATTTGGCAACTGCATAGTTGCGCTTTAAATATCTACTTATCAGATGATCGCGAAATAATGTAGATGTAGATGGAAGACATTTGTACCATCACTTTTTTAACATCGTATCAGAATTGGTGATATATTAGTGATCTAGTGCCATTGCACTGGCAACCGGACCTAACTCGGCATTCAGAAATGACTACGTAATATAATGGTACCATTCTAATACACATTTATTGAACAGCTCCTTGATCTGGCTAGATTTAACTAGATATACCTAGTACGTGCTGCATGAGATTGAGAACAACCAAGAAACTATCAACATGTTAACGAAATCATAATTCAAACACAAAATCGATAAAAAAAACTATGACAGAATATGAGTAAAAAAATTGTGTACTTAGACTCAAGAAAAAGTTAACAGAAAATAAGACCAAGTGTTCCGGAAGGCCAAGCACCTCCCGCTTCATTGCCGACACTCGCCATATAAATTTTGGTCATTGAGTGCAACGGAAACAACACATCAAGTTTTATATAACACAAAGAAATATAATATTTCCCATTTAGATTATTATAACAACTCTAAAACTTCCTCCATAAGCATAATCAGCCATATCTGTCGAAACCCTGCGTTGTGGGTTTGTCGGTCTGTTGCCGACATCTAGTACGAAAATCAAGATACAAGCTCCTAGAATACCTATACTCTTTCACATCGTGCGAGTACCTGTTTGGCGTACATAGATAAAACAAACAAATAAACAAATAAATATTGTTTCCCCATGAGGATGCTACTTCACCTCCCGGACTAGATTTTGAATTTTCTTTCTATCGCCTTGGATTTTCCTCATTCGCCCATTAGGCTTCAGAATTTAGACCCTTTGTATCACTGCGAGTCATAGAAGGACGAAACAGTTGTATGATGTAGTTTCATTCATTGTATCTCGCTCTAAATTATGAAAAGGAGCTATTCACTTGTATATCTTTTGCACAATTTTTGATATAACAGGTGGTAGACACTTAAAACGTGAATTTGCTCAGTTTCATTTCAAGGATATTCTTGTTTTTAATGCCAATATAATGATGTTTTGTCCATTATCAATGATCTGGAAAGACAAGTCTGATAGAAGAGATGTGATCATGTCTTGATACTCTCGTTATTTCAAGAAAGCAAAGTATTTCAAAACTTATACTAATCACCACAGCCAAACATTTTCAAGAAATTTTCACGTGAATTAGTCATTAACAAATTACAATACGTTGATATTTCTCTAGCTAGCTGTGAATGTATACAGTAAAACAAACTTAAACTGTACTTTACATCTTTGGCATTACATAAATATAAAAATGTTGTCGGTAAAACTTACCTTGCAGCCTCCTCCATCAGTTCAACAAGAAGATTTACAAAGCTGTTTGGCACTCTCTGGTCATCATCATTCGTTTCGAAGGCGTCGTCGAAGAGGATATGTGCTGTAAAATTCAAATAACCCGAGACACTTATAATTTCTGGTACGAGTTTTGTTTCAATGACGGTTTGAAGCTATCTAATCACGAGTTTTAGAATTTAAACGGTCATGAGCCAGATTAAAAAGCTCAAATTAGTCAAGATTGTTGCCTCGAATAGCAACGAGAAAACGGTTATTATTATTGTAGATGATTCCGTCTATTATGATATTACCTCCACTTAATGTCTGATGCACCAGCTTGTCATCTATCATTGTTTCAGTTACACGCAAGAGGAAAGATATTGCACTAGATGTTGTGAACTTTTCGAGTCTTAAGTTTGAGTCTCTAGTCATTTGTGAAACGGTGCGAATTTGTTTGAATAGCAAAGCGATTTAACATTGATAATACTGTTTCATACCAAAGTAAAATTTACCGTTTGGTACAACTTGCCTCGATATTCTCACTTCGACACAAGTTCAAGTTTGGTAACAGTACGAAATTAAAAGTTAGAGCGAACTGCTGAAATTCACCGTTTAAGTATCTAATGCATCATTAAAAATACAAGCACCACTTACGTTCAAATTCATAGTATTTTATTTCGGAAGGTTTAACTTTGAACTCTTCTACTGCACGCTTCCGCAGAAATTGATCTTTGTCCATTCTAAAAATAATGCATAATCACATAATCACAGCTTTAGCCACTTTTGAAAGAAATTCATTGGTTAATTATTTTGTAAATGGGTTTGAAAATTAGTGCCTTTACATATCTATATAAGCCTTATTCATCAGGGCAATATCTAAAGATAAGAAAATTAAAGAGAGATGAAATTAAAAATGCTTTCTATCAGATATGCATTTCATTATTGTAATACTTAACTATATTTACGTGTCTGTTGGATGCACCAAATTATTCGTGTAACATATTACCTGAATAACGACTTGAGAAGCTGAACCATTTCTTGCCGTGTTTCATGCCACATCGTACCGCATGCATAAATCATAGGAGGTATGGTATCCTCGATTTCTTCTTCCTTTTCCTTCCCTAAAGACTTTACTATATCCAGGTTTAACCTTTAAATAGTATATTGAAATAAATGGACACTGTAACTCAACTGAATTTAATACTTTGTTATTTCAGATTTATCTTGATAAGGTAGACGTGTTTCGCATAGTTTTTACTTCAGCATCCATCTGATTAAGAAAGTTGAGCACGTCAGGACAACTTCTGTCTTATGCTTGTACTCATAGAAGTGAAATACATGGTGATGCGTGTAAAACATATGATATCGTCGAAGCAAAGGCAAAAAAAGGCATAACAATGCAATTATTACTTTCTAATGTCTGATTGCAAATTTTGTGTCTTTTTCATTTCGACCCTATGTTTTTATTACTGACTTTCTGCTATTAACAAACCTTTGAGATTTGTAATACGATCTTCTCTAAGGCCTCTGACAAACTTCTTACATTTATTATTGATGGTAGAAATTCTTAATCTACCTTGTCGATCAATAGTCCTGGATGAACATCGTATACATCTAAAGTGGAACTGAAGATTTCATTGTAAAACACAAACCCTAAACCCTTTCACTCCAAACAATATTACAATTGTATTACTGAATAGCAAGATATCCATGTGCTATATATGTAACGTGACTTGTTGATGGCAAAGATTCCATAAGCCTCGTCCCTTTGACTCGTAGGATCAGACCAAATTTATATGGTTTTTTCAAATGGCGATCACAATCTGCTTTAACTTTCGAATGTAGCAGTATCTAAAATTATACAAAATACAATCATACTTTCCAATTGACTTAAGACCACGCTTTCTTGAAAACCTTTCAGTTGCCTGACAGAAGTGAGCATTTATATAAACGTGTACAGGTGACGCAACAATAACGACAACACACGGCAATAGACGCTCCTGAAAGGTTGAGTCTAGTTTTCCCTTTTCATGTTAATTACTCCTTCGATGTTTTACTGGCTGAATCAAAAGACACTATGTCTTTTAACTTCCTCCTAGGTGAACCAATCACGTAAATCAACACACAAAGTCACAAGTAACAGCTATTAAAATACACAGAAGTATGATAAGTACCAATAAAAAAAGAATGACAAGTTATGATTTCAGGGATGCATACTCAACGATATTTGGAAACTCCAGTGATCATTTAGCTTCAAACTGTTGATATTACAGTTCCAATATCACATTACTAACTATATCGCCAAGATAATCCACCATGTCTATAACAATGTCTTAGCAGGAACACGTTAACAATTCAATGTCAAGTGCTTTCTCATTTCGCTACATTTTAAAAGTGTTGCAATGGGTGTTTACCTGTAGCATACTTGTCCATTGATGTTGATCTTGGCTATTTTTCTGGTGTGACGGCGCCGGTTCATTATAAGATCTTGCTCCATGATAACACCACAGTATATGGGACTCATGAACAAGCTGAACGATAGGATAAAATGATTGTGTAAATAGAAGTTGTTCACAGAACGAGGACTAAGGAAGTTCCAATGCATATCCCACGAATCTGTCTAAAGATGTATATTTATATGTAAATGAATACATGTTTGTACATAAAAAGTCCATTTTTAATGTCTACAGAGTATGTTACAATTCCGGAACTTTCGATCGATATTAGGATTTCTTGAGTAAAGATAACTAATACCCTGCTTCTGTCGATATTGGTTTCTTGGGTGTTGGTTATAACCTGTAATTGACGTTTTGTTCGTGTTCATGTTAAATGCTGGGAAATTGTATTTGAAACGTCTTTCGTACAAAAAATATAACAATAGGCAAATTATAAGTTCGAAATTAATAGAAAAAATGTATAATGATGAAATTTCGGAAAATGTGCTTATTTTTTTTTTTTTTTTAAGACAAATATTAAGTGTTATTTTCAGCGGAAATGCATTTGAACAGCGAATAGTGGAAATGATAATGAAACCTAGTTGTTTCTAAAAATGAATTATGTTTATTGTAAATGAACATAACAATACGAAATACATGGTACCATTAAGCGATGATAACATTAAGCAACTTTTAATATGTGTTGTGTTGTCATATCGAAAAAATATATATCAAATCTACATAACATCACTTTGAAATCATCCTACTTACTGCTCAAGCTTTGCAAGCCTATCCTGACAAGGAAACCATATATGGCGTCCGATCCAGTATACGGAAATCAGCCATCCAGCGGCTACTGGCAAGTGCCACCAGTATTCTAAAAACGCTCCGTCACAGGTGCGGTCTTCATTCGATACATTTATCAGGAAGCCATATTCGCAGTCTAAGAACAGTATGACAACAGCGATTGGCGTGGAGAGAAGTAACGGTACGGAGTATGCAATGATCTGCATCTGTAATTTACAGGCCGTGTAGGCGATATAATGACCAATGTATGCAGACAAGATCAGACAAGCGACTGATGTATACGTGAGAGAATTTTCGTCAGTTCTGCCAAATATGATGTCAAATGCCCATTTCAGTTCTAGGTACTTGTCTTGTTCCAAATACAGGAATGCTACTATTCCAGTAGTGATAATTTTCGCCGGAGTAGCAACTGCGTATAACATCGGACGACATTCTTGCAAATCAAATTTCAATCCTAGCATTGCGATTTGCAACTTATTTGTCTCCTTCAACGTTCCACAGAATCTGTCATCGATGAAATTTTCCCAATATGACAACGAACAAAGCAGAAGAGCGAACATAAGTTCTGCTATTTTTTTGTTATCTTCCACAAAGGTCCGGTTATCCATGTAATATCCGAATAAAACAACCACTGGTATTGCAGAAAGTTGTCCTATGGCTGCCAGCAGATCAAACAGGAACACAAACATCTTTCCTATTGTTGATTTAAATCTCATTTTGGGATTTTTAGTCGACGAGCACAAAGGTTTAATGATACTAGGCACCATACAGGTACCGCTGAGCAGAAGAACCCCACGTACAACGTCGATTTCCGGCAGGATTCGAAAGGCCAGTATCGACAATCCTATTGAGTGTAGAACTTCCACGACTGCAACCTTAAACAAACGCAATACTTTTATCAAGACAATGTAGGGACAAAACCATAATTGTTTGAAAGTTATATATCTATACCTACGTTTTCTAGTCTCAAGGTAAAGCATTATGGCCATAATAGCGCAAAAGGACACTGTCTTTTACTTATACCGCTTGTGAATGCAAGATGTTTGTCTACATCCCTAAACTTTATATAAATGTAATTTTAAAAAGAGACTTGGATACCAAATATATACAGTGTTACTGTATTTTTATCTTGGAGAGAAGCTTTATAACGATAATTATATATGAAATACATATCCGGTATCCAATATGTTACTCGTTGCACACTTTACTTCATTATTACATATGCTTTAATTTTAAAAATTGTAAAACTTTTTTCGGAAAGCGAAATTATTAACTTACAACAATGACGCTTTTCAAACTCGGAATAGGTACGTTTCCAAATAGAGACCTCCATAGACTAAGAAGAAATGCCAGGGCGTACGGGGTGCATATGGCAATCAACAGAAGACTGTAGCGTGCACTCCTTTCCCCGGGGTTTTTCTACAATCATTATGACATCAAATGCTTATCAAAACTTATTGAACAATGCTGTCCCTCTAAGTCAGAAAAACACATTTCTATTAACTCCACACTTTCGGATGCACATTTTCATACGATACTGTCCTATGAGTTTAGTTTCTCTTCTCTAGTAATCAATTCAGAATTCATCTTTTACTTTATAGTTTATTTAATTCTAAAAACGAAACTTACTTCTTCTGATACAAGTGTTACCAAACTGATCTTTTGCAGCACGGAGCAACTCAGGAGAAGCAGTGCTAACACAAAGTAGGTGATAATCTTCAACACCTGCATCCAACCACTTGTATAGATATCTTCTCTCTTTGACTCACGGCTAATGATTTTGAAGATATCCCAAAATCTGAAATAATGCGACAGCTGATGGATAGTATAGTATACAGTTTCTTAAAGATTAGACATACACACATAGTGTTAAAGTTGGGATGAAATTATACAATGTAATAAACATTGTGTATACAGATTCACACAAAAACAGGAAGATTAACTAATGACAGGTTATATATTTAGAGAATGAACAGACATTTGCTCTTCATTGACGCCAGGATATGGTGATATATTCATACCGTCGTCTTATTTTCTCTAAAAAAGACCGTTTGATTGAAATACGAATTCCTGTATGTGTTCATGTAGGATGCCCATAACCATATCATCGATGTTTGGAAATTGATGTACTATAATTTGTCTTCTTTACATTTGTACGTGTCATCTGTACGTTAAATAATAACAGGTACTGATCTTTAGATAACAAAATTTAGGTATAGTTAAAGACTAAAACTTTCTTACAGATCCTTATAAGATATGAATGAAAACATCAATACGTACTCATCCTTCTGTTTGGTCTCTTTATTTTCTGTTTTGGCATCCTTTGTGTTGGTGTTGCCCTGTGTGCTATATCTTGTAACAGGTGTAGGGGCTTTCCCCTTTCTCTTACTTCCTCCATTTAGCTTTCCTGGTCTAATAGAACTGGCAATCTTAAAGCCATCTATTGGATTGAATGTATTCGAACGGTAGTCATCATCAGAATCGGAATATGTTGTCGACATTGTATCCCCAAGACCACTATTCGTGAACTCATTGCTTGTATAGTACGTTGCATCGGTTTTGAAAGAATGTCCCATATCATTTCCAGGTTTAGTTGAATGTCCAATGGATTTACCCAAGGTGTGATCCTACGAATACAATGCCATTGATTTAATAGAGAAATTGATTTAAGCTTAAACTCTTTCTTATACTTTGATGGTAGATATCACTTGAATCTGAATGACAACGTTTTGATGTCAATATCCTTTGTACGATCAACTGTATTTTAATTGAATTATAAATAACTCATGCTTTAGATGATTCAATCATTCCTAAGTATATAACGGTAAACATTCCGTATCATACCAAGTCCGTCCACTATGAAATCAGCAAGACACCCAGAACAAGTGTTTACTTCATATTAATAACTCTCTGTTAGATGTAAGTTCTTACAAGCTCATTTACATCTGGCACAATAAAACATCATACAAAATATTGTCCGAAATCAAGTAAACATCATTGCGTTGTTACAGATGTTTAATTATTTGCCTAAATACAGATAACTGCGTACCATTTTCTATTAATCTGTGTGAAATAGTATTTTCTCTTATTTCGAATTAGTTGTTCTGAATTAGAGAACCCAAAATGTAGAATTGACATAGGAATCTCAAAAATTACTTTATCGTTTTGGCAATAAGTGTAGTATTTGGAAATGTAATGGAACATGTCTTTTCTATAATGTCTCATTACACGCTAGCTACGGACATACCAAGAATGAGAACATATGTAATCTGGGTTACTCTGCTATATTTACCACCTATATCGATCTTTGCCTATAACGCAACCAACATTTATAGCTTCCAATTCAGCTGAATGATAAGCGTGATTGCAATTGCCTTCTTGTAAATGTTCCTTTTCTAGATAGCAACATCCTTGCATCCCAAACCAGTATACATTGTTCTATTCCTAATACTACTATCTTCGTGCAAATTGTCGCCAACTGACAGAAAACGCACAGCATATGGTTTCGTCAGATGAAAGCTAATGAAAATTGTTGGAAAGTTTCACAGTAGTCATAGTAACCATTCTATTTCTGTTCGAAGCTTGACGCCTTTTATACTCGTTAGCTTGCCAGTTGGTTCTATTGTTATATATCTTGTTCTCATTTTGGAACGTGACATTACTTATTTCAATTGACCAAGAATCAAATGGAGGGTGCCTTCAGTAAAACAGATAAAACTAACTCTTCCGGAACATATGGTCTTATTCTCCTTTTATTTTTCCGGGAGTCTCTGTGTAAATCATTTTCTTGATGTGTTTGTTACAAATATTGGTCCATGCAATAAATTGGTTCATTTATTGAATGTTAAACGAATGAGGATACCCAAGATCTGTTATGTACGTTTATGTTTTGCTTTTATCTGACACGTACGATTGGAATACTCCAGGCCCGACTCGCACCCTGGTAATAACCCAGGTCTGACGCGTAAGAACGGGGATTGCCATGGTCTGACATGAATGGGGATGGGGGATGGGGCTGGGTTTCGAACATTCCAAAAATCACTTAGAATATCAAAAATGTAAGAAATGGATAAATGTGAAAATAAAACAAATTTCAAATATAGCGACCACAAGACAATAATGTAATTTTAGTAACAGTGGGGTTGAAATGCGGATGCTTAAAAATATAGAAACAAATAAATAAAGCAATGTCTCCAATCTGGATTTTTTCACATTCGCAGATGTTAACTAAACTAATTACGTGTGAACTACGTTCAAGCTCCCGCGACAGTGAAGACACCCTTTCTCTTTCTTTGCGTGTCTTTTCGACATAATAATGCTGCCATATCCTAGCAATGGTGTCTACCGCTGCTCGTTCCCTGTAATGTCGACATTTTTCTAGCCAGATACTGATATCTTCCGGCATGAAAACCTGAATAAAGAGATACAGAAGTGCAAAACCATTCTTCATTAAAACATGCAGGTACAAAGTTACATATACGGCAACATCATGAATCATCTATATCTAAACACATACACACATCTATCTACAATCTAATATCTCTTATTTCTGTGTCCAGTACGCCACCCTTCCGTATTCAATATTTAATAATTACGTTAGCTTTGACTTTCCCATTTCACTTTTCGATGCCCCTATAGTCATGTGATTTTCCCCAATATATTTTGTAATAAAGTTCTATCGTTTAACTCGACCTTTTTAGATCATAAGGTTTGCCTTTACCCTGAATATCGCGATCAATTGCGATATGAATGTAGAATAAACACATACAGGTATGATATTGGTTTAGCGTCAAAATTAGCGAGTGCAGCTTCTTTTCTTAGTTAATAGATCCGTCCATTTTAATTAACATTGTTACTTGAGTTTTCACACATACCCTTGTTTTACCAAATTTGATCATAGACATCTTCCTAGCTGGTAAAACATTCCTTAGGATCAACTCTGTTCCTGCTCTGCCTGGTTTTTTTTCCAACCCTTTCATGTTCAGCATTCCGTATCTACAACGTAAATTGTAGACAAACGAAAAATGAACTGCCATGAAGACAGCCCTGTCATCAAATAACTATAAACGTACCGTAATCCTAGTGTACCGACCGTGCTACATTTTATCATTGCTTTTGGTAGCGTTTATCAAATAAGAGATAAACGTGCTGAGTACCGGCTAACGCTGTAATTAATTTGTTGTAGTATTTTATGGTACGGACGCGGCCATTGAAATTCATATTAAACTTCCTGTTATCGTCATGGGTTATAGTGGTTATGTAACGCATATTTATTGGTTAATTTTCAAGATCTAATGCCCGATATACTTATGACGTTCCCAGACGTTGCCATGCCATAATTCTAACTCGAGCCAAAATGTGGCGGCCGTCTTTCTTGTTGAGGCAGACGCTCAACCTCAATATTGTAGAAATTCATGATAACGACTTGCTCAAATTGTGTAGAATGACAAATAAATCCAAATCGACGTTTACAAAAACTTGAGATGAGACAATTGTTGAAGCTTCACCTCGATGTGCTTTTATCGTTCTCATCTAGTGAAAATTGAAATACTACAATATTATCATTATAATAAAAGTAAAATATCCTTTATGTTGCTACTGTTAAAAGTTCTCCAAAAGGATACAACATGATATTTCCAGGTCTGTTTAAGATATATATATATATATATATGATAAATTGGAAGTATGTCTGCCTACAATGTTTGTATATCAATAGTGACTTCATATTTTTGACGTCTTCACCTGTCTTCTAATGTGAAATACTTTAAGAGTTAAAATATTGACAGACGAACATTAAGACCGACGTACAAGCTGCTTCATACATCTAGTTAGCGGCTTTGGACAACGTGTATGGTAATGAAGTTATCAAAACAGTAAAGTGATAAGAGGTATCATGGGAATCAAAACCTTTTTTCAAAATATCTCTTGTTTCGTGTGTTTTAGAATTAAAATAACAACATTAACCTTCATGCGTCTCAAGGAGATGTATCAAAATACACAATCTACTAAATTAGATATAAAATGCTGCATGCTCTTTATAGAATCAAACATAAATATCAGTTTAAACTTTTTACAATAGTGGCGAATCATGATATATCTTACTATGATAGAAAACCTGAGTACCTCGGAGAAAAGCTATTAAATAGAAATTGTTTCAGATACAATACTCGATATCTTACCTCTTTGTGAACTCCTCATATCGTTTCCGGACAGGAAGTCCAAGTTTTCTTATTTTGGCCACCTCCGATATCCCATTATAAAGCATCTGTTCCAAGACTTTTTCGTCATCAAATTTATCTGGCACGAGAAACATGTTGGGTTTGAGGCACCTGTAAATTTATTGCAGAACTATTACCATCAGACAATAAAATCTTATAAAAAAAACTTTTCCACTGTCCATCAGCGTGGTTACCCCTGCCGAATATTCATAATTAGATTGGACAGTGGCACTGTTTTGAGAAAGATTCTATTTCACTTTGAAATATTAAGTTATACATGAGCGATGCTCCATTGTGTTCTTGGTAGTTCTGTTATGTTAACTGAACTGGTCATGGGAAGTTATAAGTTTTACTACCAGATTATAGAGTAAGGATCAGGGTTAGGGCGAGTTATCGAATGGCTTACTGACCGGATACCATGGAAATAGTTTAACATCGGACAAAATTGCTTAAGAAATGAATTACAGTGAACAAGTTAATAAATCTATGTGCATTTTTAAAATACATTTTCTAAGTATAGTGTTGTACAGAAAAACACATTTGAGGAAACACTGGAATATAGGCTCAGTCGTGTTTGCTGTATGTTTACATCATACACTTTATAAGAAATAATTCTATCCACACAAGAATAAACACACTTACCGTATATAGTAAGGTTCTCCTTGTTGTAATTTAAGCAACAAGTCATTCAGAGAACTCTGAAAATACAAGTAAAGTACTTAGTAAATGTTGTGGATACACAAAAAGCATGACAGGGATAGGTTCATGTTATTTAATTAAGATAACAATACATGCTTTCGGGCCGGATAATACCAAAAATAAAAGTGATTAGTTTTATATATATTTTAATATAAGAAATAACAATGACTGATTTCATATCAGCTAATACCAAAAATAACATTTTTAGTTTTATGCAATTTAGTATTAAAAATAACAATGATTGGTTTCATGTCAGCTTTTACCAAAAACAGCAGTGTTTAGTTTTATGCAGTTTAGTATTAAAAATAACAATGATTGGTTTCATGTCAGCTTATACCAAAAACAGCAGTGTTTAGTTTTATGCAGTTTAGTATTAAAAATAACAATGATTGGTTTCATGTCAGCTTATACCAAAAACAGCAGTGTTTAGTTTTATGCAGTTTAGTATTAAAAATAACAATGATTGGTTTCATGTCAGCTTATACCAAAAACAGCAGTGTTTAGTTTTATGCAGTTTAGTATTAAAAATAACAATGATTAGTTTCATGTCAGCTAATACCTAAAAAAAAAAAGTGATAAGTTTTATATAATTCAATATTTAAAAAATGATTGGTTTCATGACAGCTAAAACAATAAGAATAGAAATGTCAGTGAAACTGATGAATGCTCTATGAAAGCAAATTTATTATGCACAAACTTTTAACGAAGGAAAATTCTTATGCAACTAAGAGATTGCATACCATGAATTTGGTATAATTCACCTCCTCTTAATATGACCAATGTATACACCAAGTTTCGTTATCCTGGTTTTAATGCAAGCAAAGTAATGCTCTGTACACAAAATTAGTATGATTAATGTACACAAGTTTCATGATCCTTGCACAACTTTGGGAAACATTATGCTGCAGACAGTGAATAGCATAAATAACAGGATTTCATTTGAAGGAAGACCATACCAAGTTTGTTTTTCTGCCAGTTAATATCATAAAAAAATGTTCAATGTATGTGAATGACCGTGCTTTTTCATACAATTTAGTCAGCAACAAAATGAGTGTTTTTTCATGTATGATAATAACAAAATGGCAGTGTGTGTTTTATTGCTTATCAAAAGTAATTACGACAACCCTTAGTTCATGTCAATTATCAAGAAAACACAGTGCTTTGGTATCAATGCTAAATAAAAAGATGGCATTGGCTGAATTCTTGTCAGTTAATAACACAAATGACAGTATTTGTTTTCATTTTATTGACAGTGTGTGTTTTATCGTAACTTAGTATTTAAATGATATACATTCATATTATATGATATGCACGCAACCTACCTGGAAGTATGAGATAACTGTTTTTTGATCTTTGGGGTTGTACACCTGACTAGTGTTCTGAAGGTCTCCGTATCTATGTCAAACATATAAGAAACAAAATCAACCACTCGTCGACATCGGAAAGGTGGCATTGGTACTGGATAATATTGATTTCTCAAAAATGTATAAATGAACAAATAATCAAGTTAAGGATCAATATCGCATAAGAAATTCAAAAAGAGGGAATCACAACCATGTCTTAAATCCATTTGCCTTTTTTCTTTTTCCTTCCTTCGAAACGTGATGTTATAGACCAATGACCATAACAGAAACGAATCCTGATGTATCACCAGACAGACGCTGGAATAAGCTTTGAAAAAGTTACTTCAAAGAAATATGGTAATAGATAATGAAAAATGTTGAAAAAACTCAATTGTCGGAATTTACCTTCTTTTTAAAGATTTTCCTAGCTCGGCCATTAAAAGATGTCCTTTCGCTGTGGCAGGTTTTCTCGGACCTCTACCTGGCGCTTTTTCAGACCTTCTGATGTCATACCTAGTTCTGAGAAAAATACCTATCTGTTATCACTCGGATTTCCGAAAAATATTGAACAACATTGAAAATACATATATGTATAGATCTACCTTACGGCCTACAAAACTAAACGACAAGCTGTGAGTTGAACAGTATATAAGTTAATTGGCGCTTTATAACAATTATATAAATTAACCACAAATAATGAAAAAATATCAACTTACGCTGAAATAGTTCCCGTCGGTCCTTTTTTGACAGTGAAGAGATCGGCTACGAATGGATTCTCACTCGCTTTCATACAGCTGATTATGTCAGCGCTAAGCATATCACGATTCTTTTGAATGAACTCTGATGCGTCATACCACACCTGATAATCAAGAGATGTTGACAGATGACATCAATTTTACCTATTATATCTTTCTTTGAAAAAAAATATACTCATACCCGATGTTGTAATAAATACTCATACCCGGTGTTGTAATAAATACTCATACCCGATGTTGTAATAAATATTGATATAATCATACCCGATGTTGTAATAAATATTGATATACTCATACCCGATGTTGTAATAAATACTCATACCCGATGTTGTAATAAATACTCATACCCGATGTTGTAATAAATATTGATATACTCATACACAATGTCGTAATGAAAATTGATATACTCATACCTTCGGTCGTAATAAACTTTAATATGTTTTTATCTTGTCGCAATAAACATTACATACGGTTATCGTGTGTCTTAATAAACATTTAAATATTTGTATCATGCGTCGTAATAAACATTTATATATTTTCATCTTGTGTCGTCATAAATGGTGATAAAATGTTACTATATGCTATACAAATTATATGTTGTCACTCTAGGTTTGATATTGTAATACCTCATTTTCATAACCTTGTCATTGATCGGTTAAAATTAATATCAGACTTGGGAGATTTAGCATCAAAAATGTTTCCGTGCAGCACCTGCTTGATGTATGATTCTGAAAGAATCTATATTTTTCGCAACACACACACGTTAGAATACCATCATGATATATGGGTAAAATATTACCTGGCCAGCGAAGTGTCTGATACCAAATTCCGCTCGTTCCTGTGGAGATGAGGTGAAACATTCGTGTGTCTCGTAGTTATCTTTCAATTTCTTGACAAATCCTTCATTCGAACCTTGTCCTAGCTTTGACTCTTCGTCAAGGAGTGGCAACACGCCGTATATTCTCTTAAAAACAAGATTTATACTTTGTTTAAAAAACGAAAACAAACATAGTAGCATATTTATCAGTGAAACATTTACAAAGTGGTTTTATTAGGTCTTGTTTAACCTAAACCGGCAGTAGTTTTTGTTCTAAATCGCTATAGTCTGGACAACGTTTGCAACCATACCTTCATAAACATATCCAGCAATGCGTTGTTGTTCTTGAAATTAACGTGGGTCACCTGAATCCCTTCCTCTTTATAGATTGACATTTCAAAATCCAGAACGTTACTGTTGGTGAAATTCTGCAGCCTTTCATTAATAAGATTGATACACATCTGTTCCATGCTGTTGGATTGTAATTTCTCAAAACCAGCAATATCAAGAATTCCAATGCTGGTAGTTCCTGAAGATGATCTAGTAGCAGAATAAGAAAACAAATGTAAAACATGTTTCAATTTTAACGGGTACTTGCAATTGTACGAAAAACTTGGCAACACGTAAACTCCTCGTTCCAACTATTACACAGACATCCAGGATATTGTTCACCCATTCCACTGCCCAGCCCTTTCATTTACCGTTTACCCTCTGAGGTATAGTCACTATAAAAATCATGTATTATCATTTATATGCAATTTGTTCTTTTTTGCCAGGTACACTTGTGGCTCTGTTCAATGTCAATTTAGTTTTTCACGGCTCAACATGGAGGATTCTACGAGTGAAAGCGACATTTTTCTCACGCAAACGACAACCAGTACTAAATCTGATTTCAAAAGTGATATATCAAGCGCAAGTGAATCGAAGAACTCTGTATGGCAACGCTGGAAGCTGAGTAAACATAGAAGAAAGAAAATAGCACCCCCAGGTTTAGACTTTGGATGATTATAAGATAAAAAGTCTCCAGGAAAATACTGTATCAAAAAGCACTTTGGCAAAATCGGACTGGACAGTCTGTCTTTTTTGAAGACTTGAAAACTGACAGAAACAAAATGTACCAGATCAAAATGTACGAGAAGAGAAAGTGGAACGGTGATTAAATCTGGTAAATGTCTTGATATCTGACTATCAATTGAACAGTCTCTTTTAAATCAATGTTGTGATTCATTATTATCTTCGTAAAAAGCGTCGAAATATTTATGTTTGCGAAAAATTTTGAATGCAAGATGAAAATTCGCGCCAGAAAGGGAATAGTAATACAGATACATCAGTGTTCTGAAATTTCCGTTAAGGGGAAATTAAATGTGGTCTCTTGGAATTCTGGGTATGGAGAGACCATAAAAACACTGGACAGTCTACTTTCTATTTTTGACTTAATTTTTCTTCAGAGCAGGACAGGAATGGTGCCACTGACCGCAATGACCGCAGGTACATTCAGGACACAGGGGATGTATCAAACACTATTCCAAGAGATCTCATTCACCATAAACTAAATGGGCATGCACTTACAAAAACTCAGGAGAACCAGAGAGATGTCCAATGTCTATTGAGGATATATGATCTTGGGTCTGAGGTAAATAATGAACTTTTTATACTATATCATCCCTACCCCCTAATTTTGCTATCTTGCGATAGATATCTATATAGTGAAGATGATATTATCATTATAAAACAGACTATTATTTATAAAACGGTCTGTACTACTTTTACTGTAGGTCTGCATAGGAAGTTGAAACAGACTATAACATGTCTGGTTGAATATAGAGAAGGTGTGAAATAGACTGCAGATGTTTTCAAGCAAAAGGGTGCATGCAAGATATTCTGCAAGATATTTGCGAGGCAGTTGCGAGCTGAACGTGGTGGAAGAATCATGGGCAGCTCTGGTTAAGGCCATGAAACCCTGCTTATAAGGGATGGTTTGGGATTGGTACTGTAACACGACTATAGGCCCGATGTCTTGAGCCGTGCAGGGTTGTCTACACTAGGCTTGATGTCACCATTTCTAATATTTTGTCGTCTACCTGCACCGCTAAGCTGGATCGCTGTTTAAAGGTGTAGAGTACTGTAACTGCTATTTTTATCATTAATGGGCTAAATAGCTGAGTAACAGTGTTGTTTATTATGTAACACTGTGTGTATGAGCACCGGGCTAGATAGCTGAGTAACAGTGTTGTTTATTATGTAACACTGTGTGTATGAGCACCGGGCTAGATAGCTGAGTAACAGTGTTGTTTATTATGTAACACTGTGTGTATGAGCACCGGGCTAGATAGCTGAGTAACAGTGTTGTTTATTATGTAACACTGTGTGTATGAGCACCGGGCTAGATAGCTGAGTAACAGTGTTGTTTATTATGTAACTCTGTGCGTATTAACACTGGGCTAAATAGCTGAGTAACAGTGTTGTTTATTATGTAACACTGTGTGTATGAGCAGCGGGCTAGATAGCTGAGTAACAGTGTTGTTTATTATGTAACACTGTGTGTATGAGCACCGGGCTAGATAGCTGAGTAACAGTGTTGTTTATTATGTAACACTTTGTGTATGAGCACCGGGCTAGATAGCTGAGTAACAGTGTTGTTTATTATGTAACACTGTGTGTATGAGCACCGGGCTAGATAGCTGAGTAACAGTGTTGTTTATTATGTAACTCTGTGTGTATTAACACTGGGCTAAATAGCTGAGGAATAGTGTGGAGGATTGGACGTTAAATGGTGGCCCGTGTGAGGTATATACATCAGGACCAACTGGAAAAAAAATATTTATGAATAAAATTTGTAAGACTGATCAGATGACTCATTGATCAATAACTTATCTAGGTGGACTTTTACAGACTGCTCTTCCTCTGTAACATTCGTCAATTGTTTTATTCATCTATTACACAACGCCCTAAAATCTCTGGATTGAAATAAGAAAATCATTTGGGAAAACAACGCACGTGCTGCCGCTCATTATCAGTATGGGATATTGTACTGGTGAATCTGCTAATTCCAATCGTTTATTTCCATTTGTGAAAAAGGAGTGCAGTGCGCTTTCGTTAATTTGAATGCAGTTTTAAACTGTTGCTTTGTATTGCGTAAAAATAAATGTTCATCATTTCCTAAAGACCAGTAATGTTATAAAAAGTATTATGTTTACAGTCTCTAAAATAACATTAACGAATGATGAAAAACACGTATTTATTTAGATAGCGTTCACAAACATTGTCTGCTCAATAAGAATTGATTTCCTTATTAAATTTGTAAACAAAATCTCAGTTCTGTATGTATGTAGCACTTTAAATATTACATACAGAAGTAAGCATCACACAAGTAGCTAAATAACACGCATACCAAACGCATGATGGAAATTCCATAGTATATTTCTATAGAATCGTTTTGATTTAAACTTGTGACGTCACAGGTGTTGGCCATCATATCGAGGCGATAAGGATTGCCCATAACTATAGCACGGTAAGAGGTAAGGCTTGTCCGTAACTATTGCACGGTAAGAGGTAAGGCTTGCCCGTAACTATAGCACGTAGTAGGTAAGGCTTGCCCGTAACTATTGCACGGTAAGAGGTAAGACTTGCCCGTAACTGTTGCACGGTAAGAGGTAAGGCTTGCCCGTAACTATAGCACGATAAGAGGTAAGGCTTGCCCGTAACTATAGCACGTACTAGGTAAAGCTTGCCCGTAACTATTGCACGATAAGAGGTAAGACTTGCCCGTAACTATTGCACGGTAAGAGGTAAGGCTTGCCCGTAACTATTGCACGGTAAGAGGTAAGGGTTGCCCGTAACTATTGCACGGTAAGAGGTAAGGATTGCCCGTAACTATTGCACGGTAAGAGGTAAGGATTGCCCGTAACTATTGCACGGTAAGAGGTAAGTCTTTCATGTTTTTGCATGCGTGCTCCTTTTAACAAGACCTTTCCAGTGGTACCAAACTTGTTCATCGTGTGGCCTTCGCCTTGACTTTTGACCTACTTTTGAAAAAAAAACTGTGCATGCAATTAGCACCTGTCTTACACAGTACAGTTTTAATGTCCCACTTCAGAATTTTGTTGCAACCAGAGACATACTGTTTCATAAACACATCTCGTTGTGAAATAAGATTTTATTTTATATACACAAATCTCAAAACCTCTGTGCCTCTGACTACTAAGTATAGTAACTTTCCACAGATATAAAATAAGAACTAATCACGACTGGTTTTTAAGTGAAAATGACACAAAAGTACGGTTAGTCAACAGATATTCTTTGTTGAATTGTTGAAGGTGGGGCGCATTTATGATTTTTTGTGGATTTAAATTCGACGTGAATCCGAATATTATGTACAGTGCTATTACGGAGCGTGAAAAAAACATGTAGATCTGTAACTGTTATGTACATCAGACACCTATAATAACCATATGGGTCCCCGAGTAAAGTAAAATGGTAGCATTTATGATTTTTTGTGGATTTAAATTCGACGTGAATCCGAATATTATGTACAGTGCTATTACGGAGCGTGAAAAAAACATGTAGATTTGTAACTGTTATGTACATCAGACACCTATAATAACCATATGGGTCCCCGAGTAAAGTAAAATGGTAGCAATTTGATAAAATCACTCATCCGTGACCAGCCTCATTCGGCCAGTGCACTCTTGAGCTGAGAAGTTGCGAACACGCTCTTGCCTCCGGCCAATAAGCGCTAAGGGGGCGTAACCCATGGTATCCCGTAGCTGCATGCGTTTGGAAAACGGATTTAACATAGGCGTTCACACATTCTTAACATACTATTGTATACCATGAACTATGTTATAGCTACACTATGATACTGTCGACTTATATCTTATATAGTTTACATATTTATATTTTAACTCCTACATTGATATGCAACTCATTACAAGATAAAATGCAATAAAATATCATTATAATGCGTACCTAAAGTTATGATTCTGCAGACACTTTTGACAAGAACTGATACACTCTATACTCACGTTGAAGGATGGAGGTTTTGGTTGATTTGACGCACGATCCAGCCGAAGAGCCGTTCATAGAGCGCTTTAGCGAACGCGTCCCGGGTATCAATTGCTTCAGCCATGGATTTTCGTTTTACCACTGCATCTCCTACAAATATTGTCATGATCTTTTTAAAATGCTTTAATTAAAGTAGTATTTGATATTAACTTGTTTCCAAAATCATCATCGTGTTAAATGAATTGTTAATGATATCTGAAGTAGATTCAATACCACCAAGGATTGTAGAGACAAGTCCATTGGCTTTAAAATGTTAGAGAAGCTACAGGTAATATCCACACCTTTTCCCCTTTTCCAAATTGCAAAGGAGTAGATGCAAAAAAAATCTTTTTTTTTCTTTGTTAGAAAATTCTTTAATCATGTACCCATTTGTGTTATTTAACAACTTATCAGTTGAAATGCAGATAAAAATAGGTTCATAACGCTTGTGATGACGTCACAAATTTTGCGGGAAAACGTCACGTTTACAAAAAGTCACGAGTTTTTTCGATATTTTATGACTTTGAACGAAAAATTAACTACCTCCCCAAGGGTGTACCAATTTTATATTTATCAATGAGAACGATTTCCACATTATGTTTGCGGTGCTGAAATATTTTTTTGGTACATGCCTGGGGAGGTATTTAAAATAACAAATATCTTCTGAATTTGTAACCACATTTCACGATTTTAGTGAGATTTTGACGTTGCCCAACGTAACGTTAGCGTCGAGACCGACTACAAGATTGCGGAAGTAAATGGATGCTGAAATAAAAGACAAAAACATGAAAAATGACTTGACTTATGTTTGTTAATAAAATTAGATAATAATAATGAAAAAAAATGTATTTTAAAAAATGACAAAAAAGTATCCATCTTAACAACTCGTAGATTTTGCAATCTCCTAGGCCCGAGTCTCATGCGCTACATTGTACGTTAGTCTAAACTCGCATAGAAGATCTTGTAAGTTTCAGCCTACATTTGAAGTATGTTACGTAGAAGAGCTGTCAACACAATCTGCACATCTTGTAGAAGTTGTCTACATCTCTAACAGGTATGTAACAATATTATGTAGAAGATATCCATGTTGTGTATTCGCGACATTGTCGTGATTTGTTTACGTTTGTGCATATGAGCAGACGTCAGAGCTGACTTCGAAAAAATAGTCATTGTAGATATTGCTAGTGTTTTGATAAGTATGCAGTAAGTAAGAATACAATAATAAGTATATAAGATAAAATAAAACCTCTTTCTTTTTTTTGTTTGTAAACGGTATTTTCCATAATAACGTTGTCTGAGTCTGCGTCTAAAAATAGAATTTTGCAACCAAACAAAATGCAGGGATTTATCTTCAGAAAAAAATAATGGCTAAAATGTATTTGCTACAGTGTTGTTTTCAAAACATGCACTAACATATAAAAGATAAGAAAGTGTCCCTATATACGAGATATAAACTAAAGTGTCAATTCACACACCCATAATAGAATCAGTGTACATCCGAAGTGTGTTGGTTTGGAATTATATTTCTAACAAACTAGATGGTGACGTAGTCCGCCGCTGTAATGTAACGGTGAAGGAGCAATGCTCTGGAGCTGCAGATTTCTCGTGGCGAGTTCAAATCGCAGTCACATATCTTATTGTTTTTTATTCTTATTTTTTTCTATAACTTTCACCTCAATAATTCTCAATTGTAATAGTTATATTCATCAATAATGTACTGATAGAATTAATAATTATAAATATAAGAATATTTTCAGGACCTTATATCATGTTGCTACATGAATTTTTCCGTATAAATATCCTTGCATTCTAATACAAACAATTATATTTGCATCGATAGTCTTGGTGTTACAAATATTTCTTTTGGAGATATTGTAACTCTTACATCGCGTTAGATGTCATTTTGCTGAATTGTTATCGACCTGAGGTAATTTTTTTTCTATATATATTTTTTTTTGCGTCGGACTTACTTTTGCTAGCATCAAATAATCAGCATATACATGCAGAAACCAAAGTGTTAATCTTATGGGCCAGGGTATGATTTCTCTCATTTATGCTATTATAAAATTAATATAATGAAAAATCTTATCATGCATATTTTCTTTTGAAGAAACCCGGTAACATAACGATCCTGAGAACCTGAATTCAAATATTTTCATGGATACATTTGATTCAGAAATTAAGCGTAAGTCTTCTACTTTGTAAGTTTCGTCAGCACAATGAACATTATTATATTGTGGCTATTTGATATTGTTGACCTAGCTTCATTTTTGGCTGCAGTTAGTTTATTGGCTTTTTAGGCAAGGTCTCTCTTTGTTCTGAGTAACATTTCACTAACTTTACCAATTGCTTTTACAATATATTTATAACTTATTTGTATTAATATATCATTAAAATGGTTAAAGGTAATTCCCAGTGAGAATTAGATACTTTCGATTTTATAATTTGAACTGCATAAACCTGTCCATTTAGAAGATGTCGTCGAAATTGAAAATAAAATTTATTTGATATAGTTACCATCATTTGCATTTGAATACTGCATTTATTCACATTCAAAATGCATCTATTTACTATTTTTCAGATGGGTCGTTGAGGCTGTGAATGGACGATTAAAAACCTGGAAATATTTGGATCGTGTGTTGCCAAACTCACAGATTCCATACATAGGCGATATTGTCAGGATTGTGTATGCAATCTTCAACAAGTTCGGTACAACAATAAGCACGGGGGATGCAGAGCAAGATCAACTGCTAGGATCGAAAATGTTGCATTTGTCAAGGAAGCAGAATTCTCTCTGGGAGAGAATTGAACGAGAAGGCCTTTTCAATCGACCTAGTGAGTGGCAGAAGATGGAGACCACAAGTGCTATCATATTTTCTGTTCTGACAGAAGAAAACCTGCGGAATTTGACACTGGGAGTGTATCAGCTCAAACTGGCACGGTCCTACACACAGGAACATATGAGCGAAACGGGAGGATATGAAGTATCTATCTGTAAAGTAGATGCTAATCTGATCAACGCCAAGATACAGAGCCGACATTTTTCCTCAAAACTTTACCGATTGTGGGTATCATTTGATGATTGTAATGTGCAAGGATGGTACTGTACATGCCGTGCTGGGGCGAGAGTGGTTGGGACTTGCTCCGATGTTGCATCAATCTTGTGGTATATGGGATTTGCACGTCATTTAGACAAGTCCTTTGACTTTAGTAAGGACTGGACACAATATTTACAAGATGCCAGTTATACACCAGACCCAGTCAGTATTGATGAGAGTGATAATGAAGGTAACACGGAGGAATAAAACAGTACAGATTTACCGATGTAGCCATGTAAATTACATGTAAATTTCGGAATCTCCAAAAATGTAAATACAAATGGACGGTGCTCACTTGATCGACTGAGGAATTGACTTTAATCTTGGATGACAATGTATTTTGTTAGTGCATAATGTTTATTTGAAATAACTTAACTTTTGTAAGAATCATTAACAGTAACATGTTTGATTTCATATCCTTTTTAAATTAACCAAGAATGTAAAGATAACCGTGTACGGAAGTATTGACAAATTGATGTACTGATTATTACACGTACTGTTGCTATGGTGAAATATTTAGTTGCTATGGTAAGACATGGTTACTGTGGAATACCACCTATGTGCTCTATTGTATCATCATATTTACATTTTTAAGATGTATCATAATCTAAACATACCTTGAGTATTATCATCAATTTTCTGTGTCCATTATTGTATTTATTACAATCCGTTGCTATGGAGAGAGTTTGGTTGCTATTGTGTTGCTAGGAAATCTTAAACATGTAATATATGATAGTTGATCACAAATATGATATGATTGTTAAATCATACCATTGATATGTAAAAGTTGATTAAATATTTTGACCAAATAAAAAAAAACAATGAAATATCACTAAAATGTGCAAATAGACGGTAAAGAGTAGGTTGGTTTCCAGGCCCGTTGCTAGGCAACGCATTGTCAGAATCATTGAAAACTTCTTTTTTTATCAATGTCATATGTCCATGTTTGCATGATATAAAAATTAAGAAAATCTATGCTGGGGCCAAAATTGACCCTTAATGCATCTACTTTACACGACTAACTTCACAACTATATTCTACATACCAACATATGTCTGTTTTGTGGCGATGAGAGCGTGACAAAAGTCCTCATCCGAGACATTCAGCAGTTCGGCAACTGTCAAGAAAAGTGACGATAAACTATTTAAATTTCAAATTTATATCTTATACAAGAGTTCTAATTTTAACGTGTATTTCTATCCTTGTCTCATGAAAAACAGCCATAAAGTAAATAATGTTCTTCTGTTTCTACTACATTCATCTGACTCGGTAATCTGATGAGCCACTGGTAGTGGACTAACTCTTCCTCTTTGTAGGTGGTGACCTTGAAGCAGGTGCAATACCATATTTGGATAATTAGTCGTATGCTTGTTACTGAGCAGTTGGAATATCAGTCTTTGATGTAGACCAAAATTTTTATGACATTTGCAGTCGGATTGTCAATTCCGATGATTAAAACCTCTGGAACATTGTTCAGTTACGACACCGCAACCTTATAACTTACAGCTGAAGGGAGATAATGAGTACTTGAACTGAGGGATTATCAGTGTCTGCACTCTGTGGTAACAATGTAGTTGGGCGGGTTGATTATCATGGCTGAACTCTCTGGTAACAATGTAACTGGGCGGTGGATTATCAGTGTCTGAACTCTGTGGTAACAATGTAGCTGGGCGGTAGATTATCAGTGTCTGAACTCTGCCGTAACAATGTTTCTGGGCTGGGGGATTATCATGGCTGAACTCTGTGGTAACAATGTAACTGGGCGGTGGATTATCAGTGTCTGAACTCTGTGGTAACAATGTAACTGGGCGGTGGATTATCAGTGTCTGAACTCTGTGGTAACAATGTAACTGGGCGGTGGATTATCAGTGTCTGAACTCTGTGGTAACAATGTAGCTGGGCGGGGGAATTATCAGTGTCTGAACTCTGTGGTAACAATGTACCTGGGCGGTGGATTATCAGTGTCTGAACTTGCCTAGCTTGACATTTTGCTGTCATTACGTTTTCTTGAGAATTTCTCACCGTTAGCTGCTGTAGTAGTGCCCTTGATGTCCAGGATCTTGTTGGGATTATCAGGCTCCTCAAATTCCACCTGTGTGATGAGCAGGATAGCCGCCAACACAGTGTGTATGATGTCGATGTCCTGTCCGACAATAGAAAATATCATATGTTGGTTTCGAATATGAATTGCATTTGCATCCCTTTACATGAAGCCATGTTTTGATGATTTTAAGTAAGTAGATCGTAAGCAAACTTTAAAGAACTAATGAAAATATTAGGAACAACTATTAACAGCATATAATAGCGAAACACGAGCGAAACACGAACGAGCACTGTTACAGTGATTTTAAGTTCGTTGGGAAATAAGATTTGATTTCCTTTACAATGCAAATACCTTATACAATATTCTTTAGAAGCAAGCCGTCCGCTGGAGGACGTTGTCACACAATGTTTAGTACGAACCGATATCGAGTCTCTATGGTAATAATATAGAACGTCTAAAGGGCAGGGTTGACCGAGTTACAGTCAAGTTAAGATAGAGGAGACAATTTGTACCAAGAATTAGGGATATCAGGGACCCACACATCCATTACAAAAATCTCCTATCATTCAATTTGTTCTAAAACTTTCAGTTAACGGGCTTTCCTGCTGTTGTTAACCCGATGGATGCGAGACGAAACTTATATTTATTTAATAATTGACTAAAACATCATGAACAGTACATGGATAATGTTACCTCTTGTTTAAACCTTGATTTCACTTAGACTACTATAAAAAATCTTAGACCATACATCTTAGCATTGTTTGTGACATGTTGTAAACACGGATAAACACCTTATACCGTTACTGCGGTCTACCGTTAAAGAGAAATTACCTCTATAGTGAAATTCGATATGAGTGTGTAGAAGGGAGGATTGTTTTATGGTGATTTTGTAATCAAACACATATCTACGACTAGCCGATATACCTGCTGGTCCAGGCCAATGGTCTTAAGAACTTCGATCTGTTCCTTGTACATCTTTCTGTAGAATTCCTTTCTGGCTAGTTGTTCCCGATTCCCTTTTAAAATTCTGAAAAGAGAAGAATGAATGGTTTCCTCATTCATTATTCTGTAATCTCAAGTTTATTAATTTCAGTCTTTTGATTTACAATTTGACAGAAAGTGTTGCAGTTGATATTGATGTACTACACTGTCATAAAGTAATCAATGTAATTTACACCACACTGTCAACATGTAGTCAATGATATTTACACCACACTGTCAACATGTAGTCAATGATATTTACACCACACTGTCAACATGTAGTCAATGATATTTACACCACACTGTCAACTTGTAATCAATGATATTTACACCACACTGTCAACAAGTAATCAATGTAATTTACACCACATTGTCAACATGTAGTCAATGATATTTACACCACACTGTCAACATGTAATCAATGTAATTTACACCACATTGTCAACATGTAGTCAATGATATTTACACCACACTGTCAACAAGTAATCAAAGTAATTTACACCACATTGTCAACATGTAATCAATGAAATTCATACTGTCAACATGTAATCAATGATATTTACACCACACTGTCAACATGTAATCAATGTAATTTACACCACATTGTCAACATGTAATCAATGTAATTTACACCACACTGTCAACATGTAATCAATGTAATTTACACCACACTGTCAACATGTAGTCAATGTAATTTACACCACAGTGTCAACATGTAATCAATGTAATTTACACCACACTGTCAACATGTAATCAATGTAATTTACACCACATTGTCAACATGTAATCAATGTAATTTACACCACATTGTCAACATGTAATCAATGATATTTACACCACACTGTCAACATGTAATAAATATAATTTACACCACATTGTCAACATGTAATCAATGTAATTTACACCACACTGTCAACATGTAATCAATGTAATTTACACCACATTGTCAACATGTAATCAATGTAATTTACACCACACTGTCAACATGTAATCAATGTAATTTACACCACACTGTCAACATGTAATCAATGTAATTTACACCACAGTCAACATGTCAATGTAATTTACACCACACAATGTCACCACATGTAGTCAATGATATTTACACCACACTGTCAACAAGTAATCAATGTAATTTACACCACACTGTCAACATGTAATCAATGTAATTTACACCACAGTCAACATGTAGTCAATGATATTTACACCACACTGTCAACAAGTAATCAATGTAATTTACACCACACTGTCAACATGTAATCAATGTAATTTACACCACATTGTCAACATGTAGTCAATGTTATTTACACCACACTGTCAACAAGTAATCAATGTAATTTACACCACACTGTCAACATGTAATCAATGATATTTACACCACACTGTCAACATGTAATCAATGTAATTTACACCACATTGTCAACATGTAATCAATTATATTTACACCACACTGTCAACATGTAATCAATGATATTTACACCACACTGTCAACAAGTAATCAATGTAATTTACACCACACTGTCAACATGTAATCAATGTAATTTACACCACACTGTCAACATGTAATCAATATAACTTACACCACACTGTCAACATGTAATCAATGTAATTTACACCACACTGTCAACAAGTAATCAATGTAATTTACACCACATTGTCAACATGTCAAATTTCAATGTCACCACACTGTGTAATTAATTTACACCACACTGTCACACTGTCAACATGTAATCAATGTAATTTACACCACACTGTCAACAAGTAATCAATGTAATTTACACCACATTGTCAACATGTAATCAATTATATTTACACCACACTGTCAACATGTAATCAATGATATTTACACCACACTGTCAACAAGTAATCAATGATATTTACACCACACTGTCAACAAGTAATCAATGTAATTTACACCACACTGTCAACATGTAATCAATGTAATTTACACCACACTGCCAACATGTAATCAATGTAATTTACACCACATTGTCAACTTGTAATCAATGATATTTACACCACACTGTCAACAAGTAATCAATGTAATTTACACCACACTGTCAACAAGTAATCAATGTAATTTACACTACACTGTCAACAAGTAATCAATGATATTTACACCACACTGTCAACAAGTAATCAATGTAATTTACACCACACTGTCAACATGTAATCAATGTAATTTACACCACATTGTCAACATGTAGTCAATGATATTTACACCACACTGTCAACAAGTAATCAATGTAATTTACACCACACTGTCAACAAGTAATCAATGTAATTTACACCACACTGTCAACAAGTAATCAATGTAATTTACACCACACTGTCAACATGTAATCAATGTAATTTACACCACACTGTCAACATGTAATCAATATAATTTACACCACATTGTCAACATGTAATCAATGTAATTTACACCACACTGTCAACATGTAGTAAATATAATTTACACCACATTGTCAACATGTAATCAATGATATTTACACCACACTGTCAACATGTAATCAATGTAATTTACACCACACTGTCAACATGTAATCAATGATATTTACACCACACTGTCAACATGTAATCAATGTAATTTACACCACAGTCAACATGTAGTCAATGTAATTTACACCACACTGTCAACATGTAGTCAATGATATTTACACCACACTGTCAACAAGTAATCAATGTAATTTACACCACACTGTCAACATGTAATCAATGTAATTTACACCACATTGTCAACATGTAATCAATGATATTTACACCACACTGTCAACATGTAATCAATGTAATTTACACCACATTGTCAACATGTAGTCAATGTAATTTACACCACACTGTCAACAAGTAATCAATGTAATTTACACCACACTGTCAACATGTAATCAATGTAATTTACACCACATTGTCAACATGTAGTCAATGATATTTACACCACACTGTCAACAAGTAATCAATGTAATTTACACCACACTGTCAACAAGTAATCAATGATATTTACACCACACTGTCAACAAGTAATCAATGTAATTTACACCACACTGTCAACATGTATTCAATGTAATTTACACCACATTGCCAACATGTAGTCAATGATATTTACACCACACTGTCAACAAGTAATCAATGTAATTTACACCACACTGTCAACATGTAATCAATGATATTTACACCACACTGTCAACATGTAATCAATGTAATTTACACCACAGTCAACATGTAGTCAATGATATTTACACCACACTGTCAACAAGTAATCAATGATATTTACACCACCATGTCAACATGTAATCAATGTAATTTACACCACAGTCAACATGTAGTCAATGATATTTACACCACACTGTCAACAAGTAATCAATGTAATTTACACCACACTGTCAACAAGTAATCAATGATATTTACACCACACTGTCAACATGTAATCAATGTAATTTACACCACATTGTCAACATGTAATCAATGTAATTTACACCACACTGTCAACATGTAATCAATGATATTTACACCACACTGTCAACATGTAATCAATGTAATTTACACCACACTGTCAACATGTAATCAATGATATTTACACCACACTGTCAACAAGTAATCAATGTTATTTACACCACACTGTCAACATGTAATCAATGTAATTTACACCACACTGTCAACATGTAATCAATGATATTTACACCACACTGTCAACAAGTAATCAATGTAATTTACACCACACTGTCAACATGTAATCAATGCAATTTACACCACATTGTCAACATGTAGTCAATGATATTTACACCACACTGTCAACAAGTAATCAATGTAATTTACACCACACTGTCAACAAGTAATCAATGATATTTACACCACACTGTCAACAAGTAATCAATGTAATTTACACCACACTGTCAACATGTAGTCAATGATATTTACACCACACAGTCAACAAGTAATCAATGTAATTTACACCACACTGTCAACATGTAATCAATGTAATTTACACCACATTGTCAACATGTAATCAATGTAATTTACACCACATTGTCAACATGTAGTCAATGATATTTACACCACACTGTCAACAAGTAATCAATGTAATTTACACCACACTGTCAACATGTAATCAATGTAATTTACACCACATTGTCAACATGTAATCAATGTAATTTACACCACATTGTCAACATGTAATCAATGTAATTTACACCACATTGTCAACATGTAGTCAATGTAATTTACACCACACTGTCAACAAGTAATCAATGTAATTTACACCACACTGTCAACATGTAATCAATGTAATTTCCACCACATTGTCAACATGTAATCAATGTAATTTACACCACACTGTCAACATGTAATCAATGTAATTTACACCACATTGTCAACATGTAGTCAATGTAATTTACACCACACTGTCAACAAGTAATCAATGTAATTTACACCACACTGTCAACATGTAATCAATGTAATTTCCACCACATTGTCAACATGTAATCAATGTAATTTACACCACACTGTCAACATGTAATCAATGTAATTTCCACCACATTGTCAACATGTAATCAATGTAATTTACACCACACTGTCAACATGTAGTCAATGATATTTACACCACACTGTCAACAAGTAATCAATGTAATTTACACCACACTGTCAACAAGTAATCAATGATATTTACACCACACTGTCAACAAGTAATCAATGTAATTTACACCACACTGTCAACATGTAATCAATGTAATTTACACCACATTGTCAACATGTAGTCAATGATATTTACACCACACTGTCAACAAGTAATCAATGTAATTTACACCACACTGTCAACATGTAATCAATGATATTTACACCACACTGTCAACATGTAATCAATGTAATTTACACCACAGTCAACATGTAGTCAATGATATTTACACCACACTGTCAACAAGTAATCAATGATATTTACACCACACTGTCAACAAGTAATCAATGTAATTTACACCACACTGTCAACATGTAATCAATATAACTTACACCACACTGTCAACATGTAATCAATGTAATTTACACCACATTGTCAACATGTAATCAATGTAATTTACACCACACTGTCAACATGTAATCAATGTAATTTACACCACACTGTCAACATGTAATCAATGATATTTACACCACACTGTCAACAAGTAATCAATGTAATTTACACCACACTGTCAACATGTAATCAATGTAATTTACACCACACTGTCAACATGTAATCAATGTAATTTACACCACACTGTCAACATGTAATCAATGTAATTTACACCACACTGTCAACATGTAATCAATGATATTTACACCACACTGTCAACAAGTAATCAATGTAATTTACACCACACTGTCAACATGTAATCAATGTAATTTACACCACATTGTCAACATGTAGTCAATGATATTTACACCACACTGTCAACAAGTAATCAATGTAATTTACACCACACTGTCAACATGTAATCAATGTAATTTACACCACATTGTCAACATGTAGTCAATGATATTTACACCACATTGTCAACATGTAATCAATGTAATTTACACCACATTGTCAACATGTAATCAATGTAATTTACACCACATTGTCAACATGTAATCAATGTAATTTACACCACATTGTCAACATGTAATCAATGTAATTTACACCACACTGTCAACATGTAATCAATGTAATTTACACCACATTGTCAACATGTAATCAATGTAATTTACACCACATTGTCAACATGTAATCAATGTAATTTACACCACATTGTCAACATGTAATCAATGTAATTTACACCACATTGTCAACATGTAATCAATGTAATTTACACCACATTGTCAACTTGTAATCAATGATATTTACACCACACTGTCAACATGTAATCAATGATATTTACACCACACAGTCAACATGTTATCAATGATATTTACACCACACTGTCAATATGTAATCAATGTAATTTACACCACATTGTCAACATGTAAAAAACTACCCCACACCCAATCTTATTGAACAAAGCGAAAGCATACCACAGAGTTAAAACACAGGGGTAATTCCTAAACCAAAGCCGTGGGACATGTCGTTATGGGTTATGTCGTAACCTCCAGACCCTTTAGTAATTACCTGTAAGTGCCGGCATCTTTCAGGTACAGATTTTTGAGGACAGCATCTGGAGCTCCGGCAAACATACAGTAGAAAATGTGAAAATTTCCCTCATTGTCCATCTGGTCAACCACTCGAGACTTTTCCAACAAGTAATCTCGCACTATGGCTGCAAATAGCAAATAATAGCACACCTTCTGCTATTGTTTTTTATTTCATTAGGAATACCTAAATCAAGGTTTTTCTATTGAAAATATCAGACGGCATTTTCATTTTAAAAACTTATTTCTTGAAGAAAGTGCATTAAGTTCATATTTTTATCTCATATCATTACGATAATACATTGAGTTTATATATCATCTGATACCTTCTCGTTAAGATAATACATTTAGTCTATGATATTGTTATCTTATATTTATTATCACATTATTTTATACAAAAACTTTGTACCGTTTTATATTTGTGTAATCTTTTTATATATTAGTTTTATGTAAAATCGAGTTTTTTTTTTTTTTTTTTTACATTTCTTTTACCTTTGTTGTAAGTTTCTGGTGCATTTGTTGTACTTTTGTTGTAATTTGTAGTAATTTGTAGTAATTTGTTGTAATTTGTAGTAATTTGTTGTAATTTGTTGTATTTTGTTGTACTTTTGTTGTAATTTGTTGTAATTTGTAGTAATTTGTTGTAATTTGTTGTAATTTTGTTGTTATTTGTTGTATTTTGTTGTACTTTTGTTGTAATTTGTTGTAATTTGTAGTAATTTGTTGCAATTTGTTGTAATTTGTAGTAATTTGTTGTAATTTTGTTGTAATTTTGTTGTATTTTGTTGTACTTTTGTTGTAATTTTGTTGTAATTTGTTGTATTTTGTTGTACTTTTGTTGTATTTTGTTGTAATTTGTTGCAATTTGTTGTAATTTGTAGTAATTTGTTGCAATTTGTTGTAATTTGTAGTAATTTGTTGCAATTTGTTGTAATTTGTAGTAATTTGTTGTAATTTTGTTGTAATTTGTAGTAATTTGTTGCAATTTGTTGTAATTTGTAGTAATTTGTTGTAATTTTGTTGTAATTTGTAGTAATTTGTTGTAATTTGTTGTAATTTGTAGTAATTTGTTGCAATTTGTTGTAATTTGTAGTAATTTGTTGTAATTTTGTTGTAATTTTGTTGTATTTTGTTGTACTTTTGTTGTAATTTTGTTGTAATTTGTTGTATTTTGTTGTACTTTTGTTGTATTTTGTTGTAATTTGTTGCAATTTGTTGTAATTTGTAGTAATTTGTTGTAATTTTGTTATTTGTTGTACTTTTGTTTTAATTTCTTGTACTTTTGTTGTAATTTGTTGTACGTTTGTATTAGTAGTGCCGTATGTATGTAATCTAGAACTTGTTTGATGTATACATCGCTTACCTCCTTTTATACGGCCGTTGGCTAAGAAAGTCATTTCTAAATATTTGGCAAATCTGCTGGAGTTATCGTTCATCGTTGTTTTGGCATTTCCGAAAGCTTCGAGCAGTGGATTTATCTGTATCCATAAATTAAGGAAAATACCGTTAATTCGATTTCTATGTATTAACACATCAATCTCATGAAATGGTAGACATGTAACGATCACGTTTTTGCTCAATTGTGGTTCAATAAGCAACTTTCAATGTTTGCATAATGATTATGAATGTCAAAGGGTAGTTACTTTAATACATGTACAGTCGAATCTTATAATTACGAAGTCTGTTGGACCATATCAGGGTATTCGATTTAAATAAGTTCGAAATATGCAGGGTCGAGTTATAAAATTTCGCGATACAACTGTATGTCTTTTCGAATCCAGAGTGTTTACCTTAATTATACGTTGATGGAGGTCGGTAGTATCTTTTGGGCACAAGGACACGAGATGTTTAACCATATATTTTGTGCTCTCTGTCTTTCCTGCTCCGGACTCCCCTCCAACAAGTATCACCTGGTTAGTTCGTGTCTCCTGCATTCGGCGATACGCACGTGCTGCCGGATAAAACACGTGCGGTGGCGGCATACCCCGCAAATTCTTCCAATGGTATTCTTCATGTTGCTTCAATGTTTGAAATGATTTTACAATTCATAAATGGTAAAATTCTTAAGAAATATTCAAAATATCGCAAAACGTTGCCAATGTTCCTGTGAATTGTAATGTCTAAACACTCCAGTGAGTCTCCCACATGATCAATGATACTTACCTGTGATACGGGTCTAAACACGCCAGTCAGTATCCCACATGATCAATGATACTTACCTGTGATACGGGTCTAAACACTCTAGTGAGTATCCCACGTGATCAATGATACTTACCTGTGATACGGGTCTAAACACTCTAGTGAGTATCCCACGTGATCAATGATACTTACCTGTGATACGGGTCTAAACACGCCAGTGAGTATCCCACATGATCAATGATACTTACCTGTGATACGGGTCTAAACACTCCCGAATGATCAACAAAAGCAATCTTTGTCACAAGCCTTTACTTGGCACCTCGGTGATCATTGATAACTATCATGTATTCGGGCCTAAACACGTAACTGAGAATCTCAGATGATAAAAGATAACCGCCTGTGATATGTGTATAATGACTCCACCTTAAACTTTTAAGTTCTTATCAAGTATACTAAATAGCAACATTTATCAATGATGATGTCACACGCATTATAGTCATTATAGTCACATACCTTCTCTCCAAATAGCGGCAGAAATTTGCATGGATTCACTGCTATCAGAATATCACCGCAGTTGGTCTGAAAAACAACAAGAAAATACAAACATATGAACTTAATGATAATCAAAAATCAAATTCAATAAAGCGAGAGCCTTGTTCTGTTCCATCGTTTCGAGGTATCCTTCGTTAACAAGCAACCTGGTTCTTTTGATATGTAGAGAATGTGAAAATGTCTCAAGACAAGGATTCAGTTTTTGGATGTCGTATCTGTAGACACAAAAACATACCTGTCATATAGATATTGAAGTGTAGATTTAAATAAGGACCGAGGAACGCTGACTTTTCCTCTTTGTTTGCTTTCATTTCAGTTTTCAAGCTGCTAATTATTATGATATGAACTTTATTTATTTTTCAACAATTGCGAAACAAGCTATTAGCTTCTATTAATCACTCATGCTGGCGCGGATGGAAGCTCGCAAGGGAGTCATGCTGTTGGAGGAAACCGGAGTACCAGGGGAAAACCCACGTGGTCGGGAAGGTGCCCAATACCTTTTCACGTCCGTTGCGGGAGTCGAACCCCGGACAGCCAGGTAAAAGGCGAGTGCGGTACCACTGCGCCATTCGACCATCCACTGCCAACTTTTTTAAAGAATGATGGACTTAATGGATTTCCGACAAATAATTCGACACAAACATATACATAGTTTGTATTTATGTTCGATTTTCTTTGCGAAATATGACGTTAATGATGTTAATATTATTTTTACCATGTTCTGTCCGAGATCTCCAAATTAGATACGCATATGTAAACTTGGATAAGGTCATCTTCCTTCCTATATATAAATTCCGAATTCTATTGGCTAAAACGAAGTTATTTACAATAAAAAATAGCTTTGATTGGCAATATTGGCCAGAAAATGTAAGATGTCATTTGTGTTAAAACATCCCCTAGTTCACACTTTTAGAAACCCCTTCGTCCACATGAAATATCGAAGATAAATAATAATTGTTCTGAAATTCTACAGCCGAAGGAATCGGAATTCATATTCAGGTTTGTTCTGTATGCAAAAGTCGCCATACCCAACATTGGATTGTAATGATGCATTTCTAGGAAATGTGAGGAAAGCGAATTTCAAAAGTGAAATATGAAAATTTGTTCGCACTGGTCAATCTTTGTCGAACATATAAGATTAACCGTAAAGAATTCAACCTCAATTAAGGGTTTATACATTTTGGAGACCCGGATGTGGCGATTTGCCATGGTGATTTCCCTACAACAGTTTTTCCGTTTTCTCGATTCGTACGCTCCTGTGTATACATTATGGAGACCCGGATGTGGCGATTTGACACGGTGATTTCCCTACAATAGTTTTTCCGTTTTCTCGATTTGTGCACCCCTGTGTATACATTTTGGAGACCCGGATGTGGCGATTTTCCACGGTGATTTCCCCACAGCAGTTTTTCCGTTTTCCCCATTTGTACACCCCTGTGTATACATTTTGGAGACCCGGATGTGGCGATTGGACATGGAATCAATGACCAGAAATGTAGCATAAAATACTTTTCACTATTGACTTCCCTGACCCCACTATGTAACATTTCCCCGGTGTAGGGGTCAAATTAACAATCGTTCTTAGAAGAAAATGATATCGTTGAGAGACTATTTCTTATTTCCATTGGACATAATTTAGACTTGGTAAGGATTAACATGATAGGGTGACAGTTTGATGGTATACATACTTTGGCAGTCACTTATCCTAGGGGTTACATGGGCAGAGCAAAATGAGGTAAGATCAACTGAAAAACTAAAAATAAATCGATCTCAAGACCAAGATCTGGCAGGCTCAAATACTGTGTATGGATGGTATGATAAGTATGGACTTGTAGGACAGTAAATGTACAAGACAGCGACCTGTAGGACAGTTAATGTACAAGACAGCGACCTGTAGCACAGTTAATGTACAAGACAGCGACTTGTAGCACAGTTAATGTACAAGACAGCGACTTGTAGCACAGTTAATGTACAAGACAGCGACTTGTAGCACAGTTAATGTACTAGCACAGTTAATGTACAAGACAGCGACTTGTAGCACAGTTAATGTACAAGACAGCGACTTGAAGCACAGTTAATGTACAAGACAGCGACTTGTAGCACAGATAATGTACAAGACAGCGACTTGTAGCACATTTAATGTACAAGACAGCGACTTGTAGCACAGTTAATGTACAAGACAGCGACTTGTAGCACATTTAATGTACAAGACAGCGACTTGTAGCACAGTTAATGTACAAGACAGCGACTTGTAGCACAGTTAATGTACAAGACAGCGACTTGTAGCACAGTTAATGTACAAGACAGCGACTTGTAGCACAGTTAATGTACAAGACAGCGACTTGTAGCACAGTTAATGTACAAGACAGCGACTTGTAGCATAGTTAATGTACAAGACAGAGGAAAACTTCGACGAATGTTCCTCCTCGGAAACGTGAACACTCATAAACAAGAAGGACGTTATTTGGGTTATAGGGCTGTGATTACAATTTTTAAAAATATGTCTTAGTTATTTGTGTGCTACTTTGCTTCACTCACAAAATATTGTGAATATCGATAAGACACGAATGCATATCTAGGACACGGTAATTATATTTTCTGTCACTAAGACACATTTTCTGTCACAAGGACATATTTTCTGTCACTAGGACACATTAACTGTCACTAGGACATATTTTCTGTCACTAGGACACATTGACTGTCACTAGGACATATTAACTGTCACTAGGACATATTTTCTGTCACTAGGACGTATTAACTGTCACAAGGCCATATTAACTGTCACTAGGACATATTTTCTGTCACTAGGACACATTAACTGTCACTAGGACATATTTTCTGTCACTAGGACACATTGACTGTCACTAGGACATATTAACTGTCACTAGGACATATTTTCTGTCACTAGGACGTATTAACTGTCACAAGGCCATATTAACTGTCACTAGGACATATTTTCTGTCACTAGGACATATTAACTGTCACTAGGACATATTTTCTGTCACTAGGACATATTAACTGTCACTAGGACATATTAACTGTCACTAGGACATATTCTGTCACTAGGACACAATTTGGTAAGCATTGCTAAGGGATGTGGTCGTTTAACGGATATGCAATACAATGAACTAAGATTTGTAAGTTAATCAGGTGTAATAGAACTCGTGTTAAAGATGAAAATTATATAAAATATTTAACGGACCTTTTTATGAACAAAATTAAATTTATACTAAAGAGGATGTTATTTACAGCACCTTGAGGGACAACTCGTGACGTCCATTTTAAACCCCTACAGGTCCCTAAAGCCTGTGTTGTGAGTTACATCTTTCTTAGTTTTCTACCGCAAAGTCCTCTCTTTTTTGTTGTTGAGATAATCTGTAACACTCTGAGACCATCGGTAAAGCCGTAAGCTGTATGTTGAGATAATCTGTAACACTCTGAGACCATCGGTAAAGCCGTATGCTGTATAGTATTTGAGAGGTTGGTTTTTTCTCCTGATAGATATGGCTCAAAATACATGTTTGAAATCTTTAGAGAAAAGTCAGTCCGCTTTGCCCAGTTTTTAGTTAGTAAGGATATTGCAATTGTAGGGCAGTGTGAAGATTTCTTTTTATCTTTGCTGTGAATTTCTTTATAGTTATCATAGAAACAGTATTGCTACAGCCATTTGATGTGTACAGTTTATATTGTAGTGATACTAGGAGGGTATTTCGGAGTCCTTAGATACATGACATGGTCTGTACAGGTCTAGGTTAACTTGTTCATCTGTCTTTTTTTCCAATCCCGCGATAAATATGATATATATTATAATAAACGTAATACATTTGTCTCGATCGTGCTCAGAATACTACTAAAAATACTTTTTGTTTTGATTAATAATTCATTCTAACTAGGCAACCACCAAGACTGACTGAAACCGGTTAGACAAGTTTTACCTATTTCACTCTTGTTTTTTGTCGATAATTTGTTTTGATGATAAGCGAATTTACCGTCAATCAAGCATAACAGATTTTTTTTAAGCTGAAATTTTGTTAGGCCATGATTTACAATACTGAACACCCTTTCACGTCTAAATCAATGTTTGGCATGCTATAAGCTATTTGTTGGATTTACCATGTTAATTGAATGTGTATTGTAAATGTCAGGTTATATCAGCGGAAAAAAGCGCTTGGTATACAAATGTTATATATACAACAACTGAAAAGGAACCGGTTTGAACACATGGTAGGACAATAGGTACAGTACGTTATTGGACAAGTGTAGCCTTTGGTTTCGACTTCTACGACTCGTCAGAGATGCTACATCATACTGATGTTTCGTCCTTCTAGGACTCGTCAGTGATGCTACACCATACAGCTGTTTCGTCCTTCTAGGACTCGTCAGTGATGCTACATCATACAGCTGTTTCGTCCTTCTAGGACTCGTCAGTGATGCTACATCATACAGCTGTTTCGTCCTTTTAGGACTCGTCAGTGATGCTACATCATACAGCTGTTTCGTCCTTATACGACTCGTCAGTGATGCTTCATCATACTGATGTTTCGTCCTTATACGACTCGTCAGTGACGCCAAGGGCCTAAATTTTGAAACTTAGAAGGCGATAAAGAAATATCTTAAAGTCATCAAAATAAAAGGTAAAATTTAGACGGGGAGGTGCACTTGTCCCTTAATTAAATAAACTTTGTAATTTTCATACTGTCATATAGTACATTTAAGAACAAGGACATGTACAGGTGTAATTTCTGATCCGTGCCGCCATTTGAATGAATTAAAACATGGCACAAACATTACGGCAAACCTCGAAGATTGAAAGACCAACAGCAGTGTCTACCACTTGCTATTACAAACACTTTGCAAATGACAAAAAATGTGTAGTAAGCGGGTCACACTGCGGTTTGTCGAGTCTCTCATGTGTGTATCACGTAGGCTTTATTTGTCACTGGGCCGAGAACACCTGACAATAGCGGTGTTCTATAGATAAACCCATGCTTCGTCATTGTAAAGACTGTGCATACATATCAATGGCT